CACGTAGTTATCCGATTGATACCAGAGAAGGTGATAATAACCACGTGGTAAAACATCATCAAGGGAATGCTGAGAATTAAAGTGAAGGGTGTCACACTCCCTGCCCTCCCCCCATCCTTCCATCCCCAAGTGCAGCATGGGTTCTTCCCGCGGATCAGTTCTGTGGCATGAAGTTGTCACTTGTCTAGTGAGAGGGTAGCTTCCTTCCAACTTGTTGCCCAGTTCCAGATGCACCTCAACAACTTTTCCAGAGTATCCTCGAGCTGCACGGTTCCAGCAGATATAATCTATTCCAGGTGCAATCTTGCGTGAGCAATCGCGTCTCCAGTGCACCACATACAACGCAGCACCGTACGCGAAGAACGAAGCGATGCGTGTCCTAGAGGTGTGGAGCATGTAGTAGTGAGTGGATTGTTTGTAGGTGGCCCAGTAATGTGCACGCTGGTCTAACACTGGTATGCACAAGCTGCGACACATTGCCCCCCCCCCGTCCGATTAATGCGCCAACGTCAACACGTCGTTCTTCTCCAACACGAAGCGGACCACCTCAAACATCATCTATCGGCTACAACCGACACTTCATGATGTGGGGTTCACAGTGGTGGAGGGCAGTGGAAACCCGAGTGAGGAGTGCCGCACCGGTAAACCGACGCGTTTTCACACTTTATAACTCACACATTTGCATTCACACGATCACGTGTGTTTTACAAACCGAAATGAGTCACAATATGCTATTGGAAGAAGAACACTTTGGTCAGACCAACACCTACCCGAGGCATTGCGGAGAGGATAGAAATCTCCCATTTCCTCAGTTGACAAATTACCCCTCACTCCCTCGTCGTCATCATCCTCCTCGTCGTCGCCAGAATCCGGAGAAAGCACCAGTTCCGCCGCAAGGTCGTTCTTCATTCGTTCCACGGGTGGAGCAGTCGCCTATACAAGCCGAAGACACGCAATGGGTCGTCAGGACCTAATGCCAACTCGGCACCCACCTCTTGAGCAGTGTCGGCACCGTCGAAATGACTTCCGAGATGCTTTACAGCTGGTGAATGGATAGCGGTGGTAGTGCCAATCTCTTCCTCCACTTCTACATCCTTCTTTTCGTTCGGAAGCAGAAATAAATGTTTTAAAATACCTTTACACATAGTTATGAAACTGGCCCTCGAACGGCACTTATGACGGAGAGGTCAGCGACTGCATTACTTCCCTTGTAATACGATAGTGGTTTATCCCTCGGTATTAGCGAGGCGTCACTTTTGTACTTTGAATTATCCCCTTTGTACCTCATTGGGTGGGCTGGCCTTTTTTGGGCCATGCCAATAGCCCAGATACCTTCTCTGCGCTAAATATATATTCTACCCGATTATTTTGTCTTCTTTTGTCTTCAGAGAGTCTTGGGACGCTACACACTATTACTTATTTTCTTTATTCTCCTTTAAATCATCCTAAAAAACCTTGTAGTTTAGAACCAGTGATTGTATTAGCCAAATCATTGTCAGATAGCTTGAAAATTTTTTGTTAAACTTATCTGTGAAAATGCTTTTTGAAGGTTTAAAATACCTTTAATTCTTGAAACCCATCTCTGCATAACTTCTGATGTAATCAGTCATTATTATATGATTCCTTGCGCGCTTTTTCCTTAAAAATATTTAACACTTCGTATTATAAATTATGTACTATATGTAATTTGGTCCTTAAGTATGTATCAGTGGGAATATCGAGTGGGTGAGCCTACTGGCCTCAAGTGCGGTTTGATTTCCTGCGCTGAACACCATTTTTTTATTCATTAATGTTTACTACGAAATAATACTGCTTATAGAGTAAAATAATGCGATTAATATGTAGAGGGGTTTAGCTTATTAATGCTAACTGCTCGATTACCAAGGTCTTTTATAGGTACCTCGCGTTTGAATTAGAAACTCGCTGCATTGCCTAAGCTACTTTTACTTAACAGTAGTATTGTGTGCAAGCCAGCTGAGAAATTTCGCTGACTATATTTGGTATAGCTTTGGCAAAGTTTCCCATTTTAGGGAATCGTGCGGTGATCTGACATTTCGTTTTTACCGTTCGCTTAAATACGCGGGGCACTAAATCGTCACAAGTTGCACTTCTGCTGGTCGGCGTGATCCTGCCCTCACCATACCCTCTAGCCTCCAAGCCCTCTTCTCCACCGTGGCACCAATTTTAGGCTTCAAGAAACTGGAGTGGGGTAAGCGGGTTTGAATGCCTTTGTTTCTGCCTTTACTATAGCCATAACTGTATTTCAAGAATGAAACGATTCAAATGGAAAAAAAATCGTTAAAATAATTTGCCACTTTTGCCCTTCATTTCGTAACGGAACATGCTTATTAACGTGACTGTAGCACCCTCAGTCTCCTTTGAAGCCGCAAGGAACCATACTAGTATGAAAGACAACTATTTTCTAACCCATGAAAGCGACGGAAACTGTATCTGGGGCGCGACATCCCATCAGCGGGAGGCACATTTACGGAAATTGAAAGGCCCGTTCAGTTGAAGTACAGGCCATTCGTCAATCCTTATAACGTGCCTGGTGAAGATGATCTTCATGAATGAAGCCAGATCTTTTAAATAAAGTGGATGGCAAATAGACACTAGGTTTTTGATATTAACACAAAAATATCTTGCACATAAATGAAGGAAAGCTGCGCAATTACTTGTAGTGCATTTCCACTTTTTTTATTGGCAAGTCAATTGGGCCTTTTTGGAGTCTGGGCTAAGCTTTCAAAGGCTAAGTTAAGAAGTGGTAAATGTCATGTTTTCTCATTAGATTTTAAAAAAGTGTAATCAGACAGTTTTACTATTGTGCCTACGGCTTCCCTTCTTAGCAGGTGACATTTAAAAGCGCGGAACGATAATAAGTTTTGTAAATAAACCAGCCCACGTTAAACAATAACTACTCTCATTTTCGTCAATTGCGTGTTTATTTAGTGCGAAAAAAGTGCATGTGAAAAAAGTAGGACTCTAATCTAAGGAGGGCTAAATTTGGCACAATATGCACTGACGTAGTCGTCCACAATGGTCACTTTTACATGTTATTAAATAATGCAGTTCTCTCCTTTTTCGGAGGAAAACCATTTTAATCGAATGTACTTTTAGATGTTTAAATGCTGAAGCACTTCGCTCTCTGGCGGATTTACTTCCACTTAACATCATGGATCTTCAGCCATGTCCATAGCTTCTCAGCCAGTTTTGCCCCAACAATAAGCAATTCTTCTATAATGAAATTCCTCATTACACCTTCAGGGAAGACGCGGGCCAGTGCGTTGGCAGTAGAGATTTTCTTGATTCTGATGGCTGCCCGGTTGCCTAATCCAAGCTTTATGGGGATGAAAATCTATTGCCGCTGGCTGTATCTTAGAAGGACTCACTCCAAAAAAATTAACACAGGGCCTATTCTTGTCCAAGCTGAAGCTTTGGGCCTCAAAACTGGAATGTGTCAATTTCAAATAACTGTAAATATATACAAATAAAAGCCTTACCAGATCTTCACTCGAAAGAATTGACGTGTGTCTTCGCCTGTAACTGACACACAGGCTACGCTCTTTGTGTAACATTTTCTTACCTTTAACGATATCTCTCAAATGTATTCTTCCCTAATATATTCTGTCCTTCATAGGACGTGACATTTAGAAATCCTAACCAGGCCTACAATATATACTGCCACTACTAATGTAGCATGCTTTCCAAAGCGTGAGCTAAAGCTATCTTCGAACCTCCTTTTTTTTACTGCAGTTCACGCGACGACTCGTTGCGTCCGAAGGTAAATAGCGACCATTAAAATCACCACAAAAGGCTTTGTACTTTTGCAATGTTTTTACAATTGGGTATTTAATTGCACGAACACTTCGGTTCCAGCGGTTTGTACTTCCGCTTAATGGCTCCTTTCCCAACCTCTCTGTTCGCCTTTGACGAATCCTCCAGAGGAGATCCGGTACACTGCAATAATCTCTTTTATGGATAATAAGCAAAAAAATGCAATCAACTGGTCACCTCCTTCCCTGCTGCCAATATCGACAATGCAATAATCTCTTTTATGGATAATAAGCAAAAAAATGTAATCAACTGGTCACCTCCTTCCCTGCTGCCAATATCGACAATGTATTTTTCGCGGCAATTTTACAGTTTGGTTTAATTAAAGTGCACTCACCAGTTGTCGTCAAGGTAGACCCCAAGGAAATATCCTCTAAGTGCTGTTGTCTAGGTTTCCACTGTTATGTATTCATGCCTCAAAGCTTATTAAAAGTTCCACTGCCAGTTGACAAATGTATCCACCTCTCTGCATCAAAGCACTCTTTTTGTCGTTTCGCTGCTTCATTTCGCATATTATATTCGGATACTTTAGTCAGCTACTACAATGACTCCGTCCCACCCTTTTCTTGTCCCTAATTGCGCAGTTGTTTTATCAAACGCATTACCGAGATTGTAGAATCCATTGCTACTGCAAGCAACGAATGACGTGGACAGGGCTAAACTATTTGTCTCTGTAAATACAGCTCCTAAGTTGACGTGGGCGTTTAATTAGTCATTACGTGGGCGTTGATTTGACCTGCAAGTCAAAATGCGAACTCTGAGTGAGCCTTCCTAGCAATGCCGGTGTTTGTAAAACCAGCCAATGAGTACGAAACTCCTGCATATTAATCAACACTTTGTATGTTTTAATTCAAATTCATATGAAAACGTTGGTTTGTAATGGTGCGAGTGGCTGCCTTCCCCCCATTTCCCATTGGAGGATCCGACTTAATTAATGCGAATAAACTTAGTGTAAAACAGTCAAGTAACAAGCCTCATGTATGTAATTACCTTCCATCTCCAATGTTATATAAATGTTTTACTTGCTTAATTTGTACGGAAAATCCGATGTATATTAAAGACTACTGACTGCAATACTCAATTAAGAGTTTGGAATTTTAGTAGAATCGCAGACATTACTCAGGTAGGTATAGAAATTAAGTGCTTTCGCATATTCCCAACTTTATATCTACTTTGCGCAATTGTTTAAGTAATTGGTATGACTTTGTCCAAGCCAAAAGAGTTTTATACATTATCATACACAATCCCCTTATTTTCCACCTTTGCAATGAAGTTTGCTTTAGTCACTTTAGTACAAAATAACCCATTAAATTTGAGATGTTGGATTCTCTGTGTGTAAATAAAATTTGCTGGCCGGAAATCCGAAGTTAAATACTGCGTTAGCAATTGGGAGGAATTTTAATTTTAAAGCACCGAACAATTTGCATTTCGAAGATAAAATGATTGAATAATTAGAAAGAAGTAGTGGTGAAGTTCAGTTGAAAAGGCATTGGTGACGCGACTGGGTTGGTGGCACATGCACACACACTAATACGCGCAAAAACGTGGATTTCTTCCATCTGGGTAGAAAAAACGCGGTGTCCACTCCACATTTTTCGTCGGTGATGACTAAAATGCGATGCGATTGCCAAGATAAGATTGATGGGGGCCCGATTCCAAATTCCAAACGAATTGTGGAAGACTATCCATACCTTCAAATCAAAGTTTCACGAATGATAGGCGATAGCGGTTATTCTGTTAATCAAATCTAATTTATCTTAGGCATCGTGTAATCAATCAGTGTTTGGCGAAAATACCATCGTTTGGCAGGAAATTCTCTTCTTGGGCTGCCCCAGTTGCTGCAAAGGGCCAAAACAACCTTCCTTATTTGCACCTAGCATTCCGACATTCATCCATAAATATAGGTGAGCGGTAATGTGAAGGCTCGTTAGTGTACCACTTTGGTCTGCTTTATCTTTCACAACATAATTTCCATTCAAACGAGTCTGGGCTCAGGTGTCCTTGGTGGCGCTCTTGCCGCCCTTTCATGCGACAAGTGGTCGGTTTAGGCCAACCGTTTGGCCGTGCAAATCTCGTTGATCTCCATGGGCAAGGAGGGAACTAACACCAAAAAAACGTGTCAATATGTAAATCTTCATTCTACTCAAAGTAAAACATGGCGTGTTTTCCTCCAGTTCATCTTCCTGATCCAAGGGTCTGAAGTTGGAGTTAGAAAAAGTAACAGCAAAAAATGGGCGGTTCCTTTTTAATTTTAAATTTCCCTTGCAAATTTTTTTTTCGATCACAGCACCACACTGCTTATCATATTTTAAGAATAATGGGTTTTGGAAAATATGACCATTTGGGGGCAATTCCTGACCAAAAGACATATTTGAAACAAGGGTAATAAAACACTTTAAATCAAACAAAAGTCAAAGTCAGGAAGTCTTACTTTTGCTCTCCTGGTCTTTTTGGGCTTATGTATTTTTGGTATTATCATTGACAGGACGACAGATTTTCAACTGACAATCGCACGTTGTGTCAACTTTGCATCTGTCCTTTCAAAACGCCATGAGATATTACCGAATCTTTTGCCAATTTTATCGTCTGCGTCGTGTGGCATTTAAACTCGGCTATTGCGTAGTCATGGTAAGCTGCTGCATGTCCATTGGTGCCAAAAGCGCTTTACCTTAGCAATCCGAAAATTGCATGCAATTATGTGTGATAACCAGGACTTGTCAGTTAGCCAAAAAAATTGTCAGCGCTACTGCGTCGAATAAGAGGTTAAAAGTGGTAATAAAATTCACAACTTAGAATGAATTACAAGCTATAAATGTAGGTAAGAGTGAACAAATATGTGTGCTCTGTGAAGTCAAGAGGCCTCCCCGAGATTTTAATAAGCCAAAGGAGCGTAAGAGAGAGCACTTTGTTCACTAACACAGACAATGGCTGGGAGGCTGCTGGCATGTTCCGAGGGACGCGTCGCAGGGTGGATGTGCAAGCCGCAGAAACTCAAGAGCCCGCTCAGCTATACACGCATCTAAACAAAATGTCGAATCACTGCAACCCACTGTTAAAGTTTTAAGCAAAGCAAAAATTCCATTTCTAATGGCTTGACAGTGGAGGACAACAAGGAGATACTGAGGTGCGAAGTGACAATAACGCGGTTACTGTTGAATTTCGATACATGACTAAAAAAATTAGAGCCAACTTACTTGCTGCCCCACTTAAAGTAAAATCCTTACTGCCTGGATGGTTGTGCAGAGGTAAATTAACTTCTTTTAAATTGGAAAAGTCAAAAATACAGCCTATTTGAATCGCCTATTTTGCCTATGAAAAATGCTTCAAAAACACCAACAATGCCGTTGCTTATTTAAAGGAACACACTCCTGATATCGTGCTCCATACCCATTAAAAAGGATCAAGACTACAAAAAATATTTTTTCTAATTTTAGTTTTAAAATTATGTTAACTAACCGGTTTGCTTTTCAGATACATAATTAAAGATTTAGCACAAATTTTGCAACTATATGCTCGCCTACTTTTCTAATATTTTGACTTTTCTCTCCTCTACCTCCTAGTTCTGATCCACGGGTCGAGAAGATTGACGAGAGGAAGACGTCTTATACTTGTATAGCATGGAGAGGTTTACAGATTGCTAAAGTTCGTGCACCAGACTTCGTCTCATCCTTAGGGATTGATGGCGTCCACTTATTCATGCGGCTGGTGCCTATGGGCTATGCCCTAACAAACATGTACCACTTACTTTTAATCATCGCAAATAAAACCATTCAGGCTTTGCGGGACTGAAGAGAAGAGGCCAACTGATGCTGCCTTATTTTTAAGTTTCTCATTTGAATCATCTCCGTAGGTGTCATGCGTCAAAAATTTCTTTTGATTTTTAGGTTTAGTTCGATGTGTTAATTTGTTTAGATATGTAAAGTGGATGTGACTGCTTGTAGGCATTACAAAAAGCAGCAGAGATATCTTTCAGTCTATCGGTATCGCAAACTTTACTGCGCTTCCTCTTCTTCTACTGTTATTTTGAGCCCGATGGATGAGTTTTGAACTTGTCTGATTTACAAACTGAACGTCAGTGCAAAAGTCGCAGAAGCTTCTCGTTAAGTCTGTACAGCAATTGGGAAAGTTATATTGGCAAAATGGTAGTTTAGCAATGGTTTAAAAACATTTAATTGGGGTAACAAATAATTTAAGGATAATCCACTTTATTAACAATCCGTGATCATGTATCGACATTGCCACATTACGTCGTGGTTACCGTGTCAATACTGTTCTGTGGTATTTAACCTTATAATTGATGATACAATTCATTTACATCCTCATCAATTTAAATGATGGCTGAAAAATTAGAGGACTTTTATTTCGGCCTTCACTCTACGTCTTAAAAGTCAGTTAAGCAATCTAAATTGTTTGCTGACTGACTGATGGACTTCAGATGAAAAATGGCTTGTCAAGCAAAAGAGTACCTCACACCTTATCCCTAAACGATCCACCCACCACGCAGCCCACCATTTACCCACAACTGCACAGTTTGATGGCAAGCACTCTTTCACCCCCAGTAGACTACATTGCTTTGTTCTCGATGCATTGCCGACAAAAATGTTTACTACATTTGTTTACTTGATGAAGACCAAGCATTTATGACTGAAACCTAGATGCAACTCGAAGGTGTGCAAGAAAACTTCATACGATTTAAACTGTGGTGAGCAAACCCTACACTATCATTGGACAATGTAAGAGCCGATATCGAAAATCTCGCACTTGAGGAGACCGTTTTACCAGCCTTGAGAGTGAAGAAGTAAGCGAGAGACACAGCCTCCTCTTCTTTCTCCTCCTCCCCCGTATTTCCCTAAATGATGGTTATCACCTTTTCTTGACATTAGACATGCCAAACGAACATGCAAAATGGACAGCTGGAAATGGAGATGGCTTTGGACAGAATAGGGTTTTTGTAAGTAGAGATGGCGGTTTTAACATGTGTCTACTGGAATGGATTGTAATTAGCAGTGGTAATCGGCTCATTAAATGGAGCACTTAAAGGCGTTTTCTTCTATAGAAGCCCTACGTATCGGTATGAGGTGCTTTAAAAATCGACCGATCTAAGTCGCTTTTGGTGCGTCGGTAGAATGTTAATGCTTCAGTATTCATGTAAACCTTACTGAAGCTGATCATCTATTTTATTAGCCTTTGGCAGTTGAAAAGACCTTTTTAGACCACTTTTGTAGCGATTAGGTCTGATCTAGCCTTAAAAGGTTGTTCCTACTGGAAAAATTGCGATCTGCCTAAAACAAGCTATTAAACAGTCACCCTTGATCACTCCGATCACGGGGTAAATTGACTTTTAAGCAGGCTAGATAACTCGTGAACCAGGTGGAAGAAGTAAAAGATGCTACCCGGGATCTCTGGACCACATGCATATCTACTCGTCGTCTCAAAGGATAAAGCAAATTTACAGCACTAATTTGACACAACTGAGCTAGTTAAAGCAGGTTCGAGAATAATGGTATTATAGTAATCACTCATTAATTCCCACTATTTCCCCAAATTTGGAAAAAGTCTACTTTTTGAGGCAACGTTTTAGAGGTAAATAACATCTCAAATAGGCTCCAAAAGTAAAAACTGCAGGTTAAAAAAAGACAGTTTGACATCTGACCTGTTGCATTACATGTAGTTTGTTTGTAAACCTCTTTTCAAATTAACTCAGGCCCTAAGATTGAACCATCCTCTTTACCGAGACCATGTTCATCGGCCCCCCAAGGTGGCGACTAACTACAATCCTCTCCCTCTCATAGAACCGAGTGTTTGGGATAGCACCAAATTGTACAGCAAATTAGTCTTCCCCTAAACATTCTTCACTTCTAGAGGAAGGGTAAAGTAACGGAGCTATTACACTATATTTAGTTCTTTAATTACCCCTTTCTCATTCTAAAAGGAAGTTGAACCAATCATGGCGGATGGCAGCTCACAACCTCACACCACCCGATTAACCGCCAAAATTTACACCCATCCTCGGTCCAGCCTCGGTGACAAGAGTGTGCTTCTGGAGATCCTAACTTCAATTCTTTCCTTAACTTTTTGAACTTGTTGAAAGCGCATTTTGATCTTCAAATAATTTCTGTTTTTTGGTTTTTTTACCTTAAGTGCAAAAAGTGAAATTCAACTCTGTGAGACCAGAAAATTAGTCAAATCTTACAAAAAAAAGGAGAAAAACAGGCAAAAAATCTTTATGATGGTTTTGTTTTTTGAAAAAAAGGCATTTTACCCATTCCCTTCTTTTAACAAAGATTCCCTTTAACCTACTAAACACGCTTTCCCATTGGCAGCCATTTGATAATTGCTAGATTCAATCTCTGTTTTAATACCTGTTTTTAGCTAACGAGCGTTGCAGGAATACAAAGCATCAAATTGGTTGCGTATATAAAATGATTATCGTCGAGGAACTCATTGTCCTTATGAAGTTGACTTATACCGACACGGAAGAAGAAAAAGGAGAAGGTCGCCGATGTGGCTCAAAGTGCAGAGTACTGATTAATCAAAAGTGCCACAAATGCAACATTAAGGATTTGGGGAGAATAAATTACAACCTTGTTTGATGGATTTGGAAGAGGAACAAGTCCGATTGCGTTAAATGATTGATGTATACAAGGGGGCAGAGTTTGGATCTAAGCCCTATCCAGGAGAGGCACTGGTCTCCTGGTGGGATGAGGGTGGCTTTATTGAAATCTCCATGGCTTGATGATCCGTCTCGTCGTAGGCTAAGAGATGAGATGTCTCCCTGGTGCTGTCAGGGTTCTCTGCAGTCTCCATCCGATCGATGTTCACTGCGCTGTCGTTGCCGTTGTTACCATTGTCCATGTCACCACACAACTCGTGCTCGTAGTATCCACTTCGTGGACGGTCTGCTAGATGCTAAAGGCATGGATTTCAGCATAAATTAGTCGAGTCATTCATGATTTTAGAGAATACATCATTGAAAAATTCAAAATTGTTCAATAAAGGGTTTGAATTTTCGGTTTTCTCATGGACACAGGCTGCACACATCCACATAATCGTGCCACTGCTAAGGGGGTGACCTACTGCCATGGGAAATCTCACAAATGCCAACTCCTTTTCTCCTTTGTTTAAAGTAGTTTATTTAAAAAAGCCCCTTGGACGGTAGGTGCAGTCTTTGAATTCTTGCCAAAATACACACACGCGCAAACAGCAGCACAGGGTTTTATGATTCATAAAATGATAGGCCCATTGCGTTTTAAATGAGCCAAGGCGGGACCCCTAAATTATATTCATGGCACCAGTTTACCAGAAGACTCGAAGAAAATGCAATTAGGTGCACTGATTCATGTAAATGCATGCACTTATTCTCTCGTACGAGTAAGGGAATTCTGCAAAACTACAAAAATGGTGTAGTTTTACTTCAAAATTAGGTTTTTTCCCCTAATTAATTCAGTTAATCATGAGTCCTACTCACTCACCTCTGATTGGCTTCTCTGATTTGGCGCGTTACTCAAGTGGGGGTTGCTTTCAATGTCTGTGGGATTGTTTTGTTCTCTTTCCCACTCCTGATTTAACCTATGCCTTCACAGCGAGATGAAAAAAGCAATTTCAAGTTAGGATTTGAGCTCATGATGAGTACTCGTATTTCGTTGACAAGTAAAAGGCAAATAATGCGTTTAATCAAGTGGAAATTCAAGGCCTCACCTTTTTAGCAACGCATAGTGGATTTTTACCTGGTTTTACAAGCAATCATGGTTTACAAAGATAGTCGTGTAAAGACGATGAGCTTCTGAAGAGCATTATAGGGTGCTAAGGTGCATGGTTAGAAAAGCATATCTTCCGTGATGCACGGAGGTGGTACACTGTACCACCTTTTAAAACCACCCCATGGCGACAAAATCAGATGTAACCTATTTTTAGCAGCTTTTTTGGGCTAAAGAGGAGGCTAACAGATGGCGTTTTTTCTCACAATGCACATGCACGTAGTGGTGGTGATTTGCCCAACCCTGCCTGCCCGCCCGCATGAGATGGGCTGGGGACTAGTGTGCAGTGGTAGTCAAGGCGGGTCAGACAGGGCAAACGCGTGCAAATCGTTCCATCAAACATGGCGCAACAGGCTTACCTCTTTCGGCGCGAATGACTGAAAGAAGAAGAAATTGGCACTTGGATAATGAAGTAGCTCTCAGAGAAAATTGTTAGTCTAGCAAGATTATACCTCGGAGATAATGCTAGTAGACCAATCATTATCTGGCTAAAAGCAAACTGTAAAACGGTTGCTGTGTTAACTATTTTCCGATTTCGTGTGTGGAGTGAAATGCTTTTTTTCCTCCATTTGAATGTCATTCTGAGGGTCAGAATTGACTTAAGGCCGATGTACCGATCAAAAGTGCATGCACTATGCCACTAACTAAGCGAATCCTCCCGGTGAACTGTTTTTTTTTCTCATGTCGGTGTCAAATCGCTACAACCAGAGAAATTACTTGTCGATGCTATTTGCAACAAGTAAACTTTCACCAATCAAATTTAACGAAGTAAAAGGAGAAAGAAGAAAGGAAGTAAGAAAGCGGCTTCAAAACTTAATTTTGTTGCCATCAAATGAGGTGGCAAGAAAGTGTGTGCATCCCGCGTGACCTCCAGACGCTTGATGCAACAGGTGCGTGACAAAGCGAGTTGAACTCTGATATGAGATAAGCTTTACTCAACTTTAACCAATCACAGCATTGGATTAAGTGAATAAAAAGGATACGCAAAAAATTCGCCTCCACATTGTTACGCGTGACTGGCGGGCTAATGTTACATGAGTTTTGAAGGAGTCAAAAAAGGCAGGTTTTGTTCACACGCAGATACAATTTGGCATATGATGCAGTGAGCCGAACCAGGGAGAATAATGGTGGGGACAAAACAATCAAAAATGACCCTTGGTGGACAAAATTTCGGGTATCTTGTGATATCACGCTGCATATCTTCTTCCTTGTTAAGAAATAATACACTTTGAACCTAGTTCATCCAAATAATTTCTTTCTTTAACATACAGGAGCAGCAAGAAGTGAGATCAAAGGCAAAAGTTAAGTTTACGCCACCGGTAGTTTAAGTCGCCCATTCACAAAAGCGCTGTATATACATCTACGCTAAAAAGTTGCCGATTTCAACGAGAGTAGTAGCAGTTTAGCCCGTGAATTTAAAATGAAAAGTTTTGTTCTAATCATCCCGGCATTTTAGACGGGGAAAGTCATTTTCCGTCAGTTTATTTCACTATGATTAAACATTTCTTCTTCTGGAGAAAAAATCTATGTGTGTAAAGTTGTGGTAGAGTGCTGGGATGATGCAAAGCACTTCCTTAAACATGGCTTCTGGGTTATTTTGAGGTTACGCATTACAAATAAGCCATTCTTGAAGCTATCGTTCAATCAGCCTCTTCAGTTGATCCATTATGCTCTACCTTTTCGTCGGTTATTTTGGCTATACAATTCAAGAATTGTGTTGATATGATGGAAAGGGAATCAAATGCTTCAGTTTGGAAGCGACATTCTAGAGTATCCTTTGAGTCTTCCCTGAAGTCGTAGCAAGCTGTAGTCGTGTGGTAGAACATCCAAGTTCCTAATGTAAAAAATAGCTGGGAGGCTACTAGCGTGGTTCCCAATGCCTAGCCGCCGAGCGGAAGTGTAACCTGTGAAGACTCAAGCTTTAGCCGCAGTCTAACACACGGTTAAAAATACACAAAATGAAATTCCGTGAAGCAAAGTGGTGACAAAAAGGAACCCTACAAATGGCTGTTGCGAAGGCACTGCCATGCTTAATCAGTAAGAAAATTCTCCCTAGTTACAACAAATTAGTATTCAACCGCGATTTAGGTGTAAACGAATCTGCATACCCATTGAAGGGGAGTAGTGAGAGATCTTAACCACCAGTTAGTATGTAGGCCATGTTAGCGCTAGCACTGACAAGGGAATCCAAATTCACTTCATCCGAAAAATGGCTATTACCTACCATGTCAAGTACCTTTTTTGGCGGAAAAAAAACCAAAATTAAACATTTCTATGAGAAGCCATAGGAGTGACTTCAAAAATGAGAAAGGTGACTTAACTTACCAGCAACACCAGATAAGGGATCCAAGGAAAATGAGTAAAAATATCCCAATTATGCCTCCTACTATTCCAGCCGTGGCAAATATTGAACCTATCAAATAAGAGCTGCTTTAGCTTCAAAATTTTCGGGAAGATAAAATAAAAAATTTCACCAATTTAGTGCACAAATTTATGACTGAAATCTTTACAGTACTGTAAGTCACTTACTATCACGAAACTGGCAATATTCGCCAAAATATCCCGGATAGCATCTAAAAGGTAAAACTTATATAGCCTAACAGCAAATAAATAGGGAATAATCATTAATGGTTTTTGTCACTACAAGTCTCATTCATCGTTTATTAGTAGTGGTTGTGCATTTTAAGACTTACTTGCACCGTTCCACACACCGTTTTTCTGTCTCGGCTATAAAGAGCGCGCAGATACCCTCAAAGCACATAAGGGAACTGGTTTCACTGCATTGCATGGTGCCTATGCTGTCGCAGCCGATTTCGCCACGAATAACCCTGATACAAAGATGGACAATTCCAGAAATTTGTAAAAAGGAACTTTTAAAAAAAATTTTAATAGTTCGAACCTGTTATAGAGGGTTTAGCAAATGACAAGGGCTGTGTGAATCCTACACAAACTATCCAATAATATCTCAAATTTATTTGAAAATACAAAAATTTACTTAATACACTGTGTACATTATTTATATTTTAGGAGTCATCACAGTGGCCTCATGCTGGACAAAATGACATATAGGTAAACCAATCCGTTTATTTGCATATGCATGTTCAAAAGCCACAAAAAATTCTGTTTACTTTCCGAAACAGAAAGGCCACCAGACGTAGAACACTTCAAGACAATAATGCAAACTACTTCAACTGAGACGTGAAACAAATTTTGGTGTATAAATGTGTGTCATACAAAATTAAACAAATGAGCGACAACAATATCACTTGAGCTAAATCATCACACAATGAATACGCATAGAAAAAGTTAGTTTCCAAAAAATCGCAAAGTGTAGTGCATGTACAAAGCGATAATCTATCGAAGTAAAGGTATACGCAAAAAAAAATGATATGCGGAGATGTGGGAGTATTGTAAGCTAGGCAAAGCTCCTCAAATTCTCTTTGGGTGACAACAGTGTACAAGGTGCCTCAAGGAGCCCAGAAAGCAATACTGAATGGCAATAAAACAAAAGGTTTCAAGCTTAAAACATCCAAAGATATCTGAACATACTCGTCTTTCGAAGACGACAAACCCATCAGGCAAAAATAAGACTTCTCTCATGCATACGCCAATTATATTGTTCTATGTGACCTACGATTGTAGAGAACATAAACAAATTTCTTGAATACTAAAATTGTAGACGTGGTTTGCAAAATAATCTACTGCAATATAATCAAACTTTTAAAATCTGCATATTTTGTCCTTACTTTGGCAAAAAAATCCGCCTTAATGCCAAATTACTGGCTTATGTTCACATATGCTATAAGTTCACGATGTAAAATTTCTACTTTTTAAATAGTTTTGGTCATATTTGACAGAATTTTTGACACACGAAAAGTGAAGAATTTTTGGTAAGATGGTGCTTTTTCATGCCCATGGTACGAGAAGTGTTCGCAGCACAAACACCTTTAATAGAGCCCAGATGTGAGGCTGAAAGTCAACGCTTGAATGATATTGCAGTCCGCCCTCCCGTTTTAAGTATATCGGCAAATTTAGTGCCTTGAGACTTTTTTTAATGTGAAAGAGGACATAATACTGAAGTATAATATAAAACTGGAGCTACCGGCAAAACCTACGGAGCGTATCATCCAGAGAATGTATAAGGAAAAGTTCCTTATTTTCTCGTTGCCAAAACCTAGAGTTAAGCAACTACTAGAGCGTAACAGCGGCACTTTGGCTGTTTGTTTGGAGTTGCGTTTTGGTTATGCAGGCATTTAATACTCCACCATTGTTCTTCACTGGTCGGCTTGGTCTCTGGGCCATGCCAGTGGCCCTTCAGCCTCATTGATAGTACGCTTTCTGTTAGAATTATGTTCTCACAAAATTAGGATAACAACCCGAGTGCCGCATTTGTAGCAGCGAAAAACCATTCTGGTCCCAAAGAATAAACCCTTATATCTGTTGTTAATTGCTGGACCTTAATGGGACTGAAGCAGAAAATATGTCGCCCATAAAAGAATCTGTGAAGAACCCTTCAAGAAAGATTAAAAGGGCGTTTGCCTTTAGCAAATAGCCCTGTTTTGTATTCTACAGTAGTGCTATTTACAATTAAAGCAGTAGCACTAGCAAATCGCCTCGAAAAGTTCGTTTTTGGAACCATTTTAGGTATCCGTATGTAAGTATCAATGGATTAAATCCGCGATGCCGCCATTACTTTTTCTAGCTGAGTGGATTACAGGCAAGCCTGACTAGTTAGCACTAAAGTTTAAACAAGATGGAGAAGAGGTTTTAGACGCAAAAACCTACTTCCAGTATTTTTATTACTAGCGATAGACTTGTTTGATGACAAGCACATTCCCCTTTCTCCAATGCAGTTATTAAAAAAGGTGGTGCTAAAATCGGTTGGATTTGCCAAGAAAGTTCAGTGACGCAGCGGTCAAAAATTGTTTCTGCTGCACGCAAATTTGTTGACTAACGCGGTTAGCTTGTCCCAATGGCCATCGCGGGAGGTTGAACAAAAGAAGCTCAAACACTTTGAGGGATGCACATAATGCTTTGATCCTTCGGTGAGCATTTAAATATCCGCCATTGTATTTTTGCTCAGTAAGAACACCTCCGTGTCATGCCAAAAGCCCTCCCAGCCCTCGTACGTCAGCAGGGCATTTCGTGAAGAAATTCAATGCTTTATTGTCTTCAGAAACTACTTGAGGCGTTAGAATATAAATAAGCAAAATCATCTTATGGTGCTTTTTGATGCACTTGATAACGCGGCTGCATATCATCCTTCAGCTCAGCGGCATGACCTTAGGACCACATCGTTTGCCTTTCCGCACTTCTGTATGTAGGTAATATGTATTCTGCCATTCTGGCATTACTGCAAATGACTTCAGAGAAGCTACAGAGTGCTATGGCAACAAAAGAAAAGTCGCATGCAGAAACGTATAATACTACCATGCAAAAGAATTTTGAGCACTTCATCACAGCTGAAGACAGCTACTGGATAAACTTTTCTAAATGTTCTAGGTCTAATGTCGCGTCAGTATTATAAAAAAAATTGTGGAATGCAAACTAAAGGCAAATGTCAAAAGTAAATGCGTCTCTTTTTTCCCTTTTTTTAAAGTCAACACAGACTAAGCAATTTACGGGATTTGTCCTTTTTATTAACTGTGTGATTTAGTAGTAAGTCATAGAACTCAAGTAAATTACCTTATTTCTTAAACTTTATTTGCTGGCACTATTTGTTTATCCTGCATTCGCAACGATGCAAAGAACTGTGAAGGAACATGTTCTACGAACTTACAAATTAGCTGGAAACCCATTGGCATGAAATGAAGTTTGTGTGGCAGAGAATAAGTCTCCTGTAGAGATAACAGTGCCAAAATTGGAGACAGCAAAGTGCACTTAGATTTGCTTTTTCCTCTATTTTGAATAAATCGATCCATAAACTGAATTTTTGGTATCAAGAAATATATGACGAACCTAATTAGTAAGAATTTTCTGGGCACTTAGGCGCTTTTAAATAATTTATCAGATATTAAAACGCTTAAGAGGCTGAAGTTGGTTTTTTACTTTATATCTAGAAGATTGTACATTTCTCTCAACTTTTAGTGCTATATAAGGCCTCTGTACCACTTTGCTAAAAAATATTACGTTCATTTTAACACTAATCGCGGGTTTGGTAAAAAAAGCCAAAAGTAAGAAAAACATTTCTGAGCAACTTTTCTGCAGTTCATGCATAATTTGTTCTAACCAGTCTACATGATGATGCGAATGCTTCCAGTTTTCAAGCGCCACTCTGGGATTGGTGTGCAAAGATTGGTGCCGCGACTACCAGCTGAAGGTGAGTGAGGTATTGAATGCTTGGGAAGGTTCCCACCATTCTTATCACCACTTTGAACATGAATTCCTTAAGTCCTTTTAAACAAGCAGATAAGTCTGCTGATCGAAAGTTCAGTGCACACCAGTTCCTCTGTCAGGGATTCCAATGAACCTGCTATTATTTTCAGGGTAAGCATGTCCAAAACCCCGAAAAGATTCGGTCTTTCTCACAGTTAATCTAGGTTGAAGGCTCGTACCCTTTTTCGGTTTAGCTTCATCTTGTTTGGATTGTGTTATATGAGACCTGCACAATCATTACTCATTGTTGGGCACATGTTGACTTTAATTTTACTTTATGTCTCATTGGTAGGTGATATTTATGGGTTCCAAAAACATCTGAGCGATGCCTTCAAAAGTGCTACGAGAAGCTTGTGTATCCACAATAGGAAGTCAGATGCTTCATTTAGTAGTCTTAAGTGCAAATTAGTTTCTTCAAGAGCACTTAAAATGATCTAAACACCATACTTGGAAATCTTCCACACTCATGCGGTATTATTAAAGTGCACACAGCGTAACAGATGAAGTTTACCACTTTAGTTTCCAATTGCAACCATCCTCTGCCTTGATTAGAGTTCGTCCTGTTTAATATATTCAGAAGGGAATAAAGGTTTTTGAAGTTATAGTGCCGTTGTTGATCGTCAATGATGCTGGACGTATGGTTTTTGGTTTGAGTCTAACGTTTAGAACCTCGATTACCACTTTTTTACATTTACCTTGGTAGTGCTTTCGCGTTATTTCCGTGCTCCCTGGCATTGTGAGCCCCCCAACTTTCTTTCGCACTTGTGTATGTGTAGGCTTGCAGACAGGCAGGCATAGTGGTGGATTTATGGATTTGGTTCTTGTTTTGCTTCCGCACCTATTAAAAGCGCACGAGCATTTATTTGACTGACCAACTTTGTGGAGGAGGGTGGGGCGGTGATTATGGTGATACTTACTATGGGAATACAGTTAAGCCCCTTCTATCATTGCATCTTCTATTATCTGCTACCGATCGGCTTCTCAACTGTTTGTGGTTAATTTCCACCTGATGCTTATCAAAGCCCCAGAGCCCTTGCATCATCACCCTTTGAAGACTCTGCCACGTAGCCGAATGAGTTCACAGTCTTCATATTTGCTTTCCAATGAACCGAAATCAGCCTTTCAATTACCTAGAGACCGAGTTTTCCTTTTATACTTAGATCATTTCACTTGTCTAATTCAATTGACGCCCTCATAAGGTTTTTACCCTCCGGTCTTGTTTAGCCTTTTTCAGTGTCTTTGCAAGTGTTGCTGTCGTTGTCGTCTTTCCCATCTTTAGCACTAATTGCTCTGTCTTTCTCATAGATATACCTGTGGGGTATATCTGCCATTTGTTGCTCAAGGAGAAAAATCGTAGACGTTTACTAGGTAAGGCATTGTTTTCGACATCTGGCGCAATTGTAGTAGCCGTTGTCCCACACTTAGGTAGTTTAATAAATTCATCGTAGTACCTCTTTCGACTGCTTGTGATTATTTACCTCTGGAAAATGGTGATATGATCGAAATAGAAAGATGACTGGATTTAAGAATTTTTCTGTCCAAGTTCTAGCTTAATCAAATTGACGTTTTTTTTAGAGATTGGCTTTTGCCCAATTTGTTTTCTATAGCTCTGTTATCTGTAACTTTGTTTTTCTTCCGTAGGAGATTGTGCATTCTGCAGTGCCAAACGATCTATTTTTCCGGACTGTTGTTTGTTTCAACTGTAGGTTAAAGATGTCTAACTGAAGTAGCATTATCGTGCTCCATCAGACATTACATTTATTCCTAATCTCGTTGCCGAAGTAATGGGTACGATTTTAAATCTGCATCCTTTTTCTACCGACATCATTGATCACATGCTATCTTCACTTGCTGTGATGAAGTAGCTTTGTTTCTCATGCTTGACCACCTTTCTAGCATGCTTAATTCATGCCGCAAAACTTGTCTAACTAATTGGCTTCAAATTAAGTGATTTTAGGGTGTTTAGCAATTAAATACTTTTGTGTTTAGCCACGTGTAGTTGAGAATATGGGTGTAATTCATTCAACGATATCTGCTTTCTGGTCCTCATTGTTTCCTTTCTTGATCTAGATTCAAGTCTCTTCACTGTCTCTGTTTAGTCGTAGGAACAAAAATTCTTGCCGTAATCGCCATTTTATTTTATTATGGATTATTTTCTAGTAGCATCCATGCTGGTTAAACGCTTACTGTTGATGTTTTGGGATGCCCGCATTTCCGCACAATAAACTAAACGGTGTAGTTCCTCCATGTTGACAAGAGTTTTTAGCTTGGTCCTATATACCTGATTGGAGAAGATGGTTCAGAGGGAACATGTTTCAGCTGTTGGTTTTAAGTGGCATTTATAACAATAAAACTATAAAACATTAAAGGATATCTAGTTTCAAAGTACTTTCCTAGGAAATTTTGCCATTTCATGCCTTTGCCCTCGCTGGTAGACTGAAATGTCGGGTCTGACGGACAGCACGCCGGTAGGAGGAGGCGGCAGTAGCGGGGATCACCTGGAGACCGGTGTGGATCCATCGAGACCGCCTACGGGGCCGCAGTCCCAGGCCTCAGGATTACGATTCGCAGGCAAACGGCAGGTGACTATCCAGAACCTTGACCTCACCCCCCTACGACTGGACGATCCCCCTTCCCATCATACCTCCGCCTCTTCCAACGCCAACACTAACCCCTCGTCGAAGCCTACTCGCGTCCGCCTCCCACCGCTCACCAGCATCGGCGCTGCTGAAGCCTCCACCGGCAACTTCTCCGTCCTTCGACATGATCGCGGCGGGGCCAACAAACCTAATGATCGCATGAGCACCGGACCTGTTGATCTCGCTGCTGCGTAAATTTCCCTAATTTTAACTAAGGGTTTTTGCTCGGGATTTTCTCGCAAACAGTAAATGGATGGGCTATTGGATGCTTTCATGGTTGCTTGATTGTCCCACAACATTGGCATATCGCTTTTTATACCTTCTACCATTTTTAGTCAACGCCAACTCGATGATCAGCAATTGGATGACAGCCAGCGAGAGCGCATTGAGGAATTTCTGCGTTGCAAGAAGGACATCCATGAGTTGCACCCAGAAGACTTTACTAAGATCTCCGAGCTGGGCTCAGGCAATTGGGGTGTGGTTAGTCGTGTGCGCTACAACCGGACTAACATCATAATGGCCAAGAAGACCATTCGGTTGGACATTAAGCATGAAGTAGGTACGCAAATACTCCGAGAACTTGAGGTGGGTCATCACTTCTCTCTGAGGTTACAAATTTTCTCTCATGGGCGACAATTCAGCTCACTATATGTATCGTTATGTTCTCATAATTGTTCAGGCCGGGCTGGGAGGCCTCAAACAGCGAAAACGTAATGGAAGCCTCGTATAATCTGCACAGTAATCGTAACACGATAGAATGAGCCCGATTTGGATAATTGTTTTTCTCATTTCCTCACTTGATGTTGGCATGATCTTCGGTACCCTCGATCCTGTCTCTTCAGTTGTTGTAGGTTGCTCTTCGACAACCAATTAAGTCAAAGACGCGAATGTGTTACAAGCATCTTATCGTAACGACTAGGCATGATTTGGGGTTTGGGTGTATACGTTGGATATTGAAATTAAGATGAGTGAAGCCCGTACGTATTATGCAAGGTTGATGCAGGGATAGTCAAACTGTCATCTAAAGTTGACATTATTTGGTACAAATATTACTTATCCAACCTTAACTTGGGAGCAGCGCGGCTATGCGCTAAGGTGTACACACCTAAATTACCGGTGTCATGGTCGAAATGTCGTATGTTAGTCAAGCTGTCGACCATGCTACAAAATTTGAGGTCACGAGCCACTTCTTAAAAAAGCTGATTTAGGTTTGCTTGATGCTCTTTTGCCTGCCTCCGTGGTTTCAGTTATTTAGACCCATGCACTGGTAAATTTTTCTTATCCCTTGCTGGAAATAAAAGATGCGTGACATCCCAAAATGCTGCTACCAACACCATTCTAGTCATTTTCGAGGGCAACATTCAGAAGTTTAACCGCGCTTTTCAACGTCATTCTGTTTATTGTTTACTTCACCTCTGGAAGCAAAGGAACTAATCAGACGCATAACTACGAAGGCGGTTTTAACGCATATGCCTCCTTGTTTTATCGCAAAATTGGGGACTTCTCGAGGCTAAAATCAATGAACATTGCTACATCTCTGAAATAGTTTGCTGATCATATCATCTCAAAGCGCTACCGCAATTCTCTTTGGCTTTACTGACTGTGCCTTTGGTTTTCATAACCAAAGCCCAACTCCGAATTGGATTGGTAAAGTACTTCTCACCATTGATAGTTCGCAAACCAATCAGTTCTATCCCCACTTATGATTGATCTCGGTCATTTTCAATCTACCTCTATAAACTACTTTCGCGTCTCTCCCTTGTCCACCCCCAGATTCTACACGACTGCGCATCGCCTTACATTATCGGTTTCTATGGTGCGTTCCTGGCTGATGGGAACATCAACATATGCATGGAGTATATGGATGGAGGGAGTTTGGACATGGTGCTGAAGCACGCCGGTCGAATGCCCGAGCCAATTGTGTCCCGCATTCTATATGCCGTTCTTTGTGGCCTTGAATATCTACGCAAACAGCTCAGCATGATTCACAGGTGGGTCACGCTCCGTTCAAATTTCAGCGTGTCAGTCATTCCTATAGATGATTGGCTAAAGTAGCTTCAGTATATATTTACTGGAAGGCTGGATGGCTCTTAGCATAGGCGGTGTGGGCCGAGCCATAATTAGAGCAAGATTGTTCGCTAGCTTCCGTTTACGCTCTCCCGTGCGATTTAGAGATGTGAAGCCGTCGAACATTCTGATGCGTCGAAATGGTGAGATCAAGCTGTGCGATTTCGGAGCGAGCGGCAAGTTGATCGACTCGGTGGCGCACTCCTTTGTAGGCTCACGGTCCTATATGGCGCCAGAGCGCATTTCTGGTCAGTCCTACAACACATCCTCGGATGTGTGGAGCCTTGGATTGACTCTCATAGAACTAGCCACTGGTCGCTATCCTATCCCCGCTATTGAGAACGAAACCCAATACTATACCGGATTTTCTAATGATCGGCAGACCAACCTGAAGGAACACATTGCTGCTGCTCGGGAGGGACGAAAACTGCCGCGTGAGTTTACGATCCCAGTCACAACCAACTGTCACTTTAAGTGTGTCTTAGGTTGTTCAAGACATGCTTCGCTGGATATTTATCTTGGCTGAAGTAGTAACTAAGTTAAGGGAATTTCATATTGGAGCACTAGATCAGGATTTTCTTTTGCCTGTGTGTTAAGGAATTGTAAATCCATGTTTAAGGGTGTCGCTGCCCTGAGTCTGAGCATTTTTATTCATTCACTAGATTGACTTATATCATTATGTATAATATCCCCCTATAATCATACGAAATTAGCGTGCACGTTCCATGGCCTTTCTCATGAACTCTCTAATCGTTCGCATTCTCTTACATTTTGTCACATTGCAAAACTAGATTTGATGAACTTTACACATCATTGGACCAGTAGATCTTGTGCAATTTGGATGCAGGTTAGGGGTATACTTTCGTCTTTAACAGGGCATTGTGCAGATTTTGTAGTTTTCATCTGAAGCTTAGAATTTACTCTCTAACATTCATTTCCTACACTAGGTGGCAATCTTTCTTCTTCAACGCAACTTAGTAGCTAAAATCTATCGTCGTACCTTCTACGCACGATGTGATAGATGGTTTTCGTACAGTTCTGTTGGTCATAGAATTGACGTTTGTTCTGTATCGACAAATGCATTATGCGTAGGTCAGTTCGAGTGTAACCCTGACGGCTTGGTACTTCCCACTTTTCTAGCTTTTCGAACATGCACCTACACACCTTAATAACGATTCAACAATCCTTATTCGTCTTTCTTTCTTCCTATCGTGGATCTTAAAGGAGAAAGTTTAGCCGCATTCCATGACCCTGTGTGTTAGAAGGCTTAGTTTATCGGTGGGTCAGTTACCGTCAAGGATGCTTTTTACTTAGCGATACACTTGTACTATAAAGCAGCCTGAGAAGATCCCAATTCATTTAGTAGCCATTCTCTTGTCTAAGTCGAATTTCTTTCGCATTGGGATAATGTAGAACTTCCTAAAACCTTTGCTCAGACGTAATTTCTCCCAATGTCGAGGGAGAGACGGTCTATTCTCGCCGGATAACGCCTTCATTCATCTTGTTTTTTTTGGGGTCAGAAAAGTCCAAACTCACAGTTGTGTAATTTGCTTAAAGATGTTATCTAGTCCTCTTAACCCTTTTATGCAGTAGTCGATTTAGTGGTGTTTCTACTTCCAAGAGAATGAGCTTCTGATATTGAAACTACCTTAACGACGGCAATGTTTCTGAAATGTCTCCGCCTCTATGTGAGGTTTTTTATCCAATGGATTAGTCTTCTGCAGTGTTATTGTTGTGTTTCTGCTCTTTCAACCACCCTCTTACATCTGGATTTCGCTCCGCAGATTACTTGTCATGACCATCAAAATGCATTTTCATTGATCGACTTGTGATGTGGTGTTTTAGAATAAGGAAGCAGTTAAGCACCCTGTCAGTGCTCTGATCTTTCCAGAACAAAACAGATGGGTGTTTGGGTTTTTTTCTTTGATTGTACGGTTTCTTGCATCCCTAAGCTTTTTTTAAAAGCAGGAAGTCGTTTTGTCAACCTAATTCCAATTACCTTGGGTTCTACCGAGTAGCTCTTGATTGACTGGCAGGGGCTAAGCTGACCGCATTGATCCCCTTTTTCAGTATTTGTAAGTCTAACCTCTGTTGAAGAGAAAACCGAGATGTACTGCGCCAATTTCTAATCTCGAGCCTCGTCTTGCCATAACAATAGTGATCTGCCACGTTTAACTTAGTGCTGACCAGTAAGCTAAGGCGTTTTCTTCTATCATAGGGTGTAATGCAGATTTTTTCTCCATCTAACAACCTTTACTTCTGACTACTCCAAAGTTGTTTGGGAGCTATTTGTGCTCACTTTTGTGGTCATTTGTAATGAGGTTACATTTTGTCAATAGATAAGCTCCATGGTTATTGAGGTTTTTCGTTGTATTCTGTGCAAACAGTCCATTAAAAGTGTCCCATATAAGTACTGGTTACATGCTCACTTAACCCTCCAGTTTTTCTTCTTTCCATCATGTTGTTCTGTTTATTGACTACTTTACTGGTTGAGGGTGATTTATAGTGTGTTTATTCATTGTCCTAGTAAATCTGAACTCATGAGTCCTAATTTGTTACGGCCATTTACTTTGGAAGGGTTTTCAACGTTCAGAGCAGAATTTTGTCTGGTCAAAATTGTCTATATTAGACACGCATTTGTAAAGCGGATATTTCTTCCTCTTCAAGCCGTAACGACACCGGAACAGGCACCATTGTCTATTTTCGAGCTGTTGGTGCTTATTGTGGAGCAGCCGCTGCCCCGCCTGCCACGAACATGCTTCAGTGACGATTTCATAGACCTCGTAGCTTCTTGCCTACGCACAGAGAGCGTAGAGCGACCGTCGCTGGAGGTGCTTCAACACCACGCCTTTGTCGCCACGGTGGCAGGTCTGGTACCCGCCGGAGCGAATCGACGCAGCAGCATTCGATTCCGCGATTTCTCCACCGCTGCTACTGCTCGTAATGCACCTTGCGGCTCTCAAGACACTAATGTCGATTTGAATATGGACGATATCGCCTTCTACCTCTCTCACATCTTACCACCTCATGATGGCATCGGCTAGACTCCTTGGGGTCCACCATCCACTAATGCTGGTGACGATAGTGATTAAAACCTCCCCTTTTATTCTCTAACACTACTCTCTCTCCACCTCTGATGTTGTATTGCTACTGTAGTTCGCCTGTGACTACTTCTATTTCCTATTTTGCAGTGTGTATGCTATCTCATGCGTTTGGAGCGTCTAAGACGGTGATGGTACTGTTATCTGTGGTGACTATTAATGAGGAAAATGTATTTGTACGTCGATTTTGTAGTGCAAGCACCTGAGGTTGTAGCTGTATTCATCATCCAGCGAAGCAGTTCTGTGAAGTCGCTTCACTTTTTTGAGCGTTTCTAAGCTTTGGGATACACTGTTTGAATAACAGATGTCAATCTTCCTTCAAAAGAAATTGTGAGGCTCCATTTTCTTGTTCACCCAGATGCGTCCATGCGATTTTTTTGTAATAAAAGTCAAGTAACTGCATAAGGTTTCTCGAGGTATTTCTACTCGTTAAAACATTCACAATTATCATCCTTTACTAACAAGCTACAAGCTAGTGGTGAATTCCGCAAACACCCAACTCTAATCATCTCGATTTCTACTGTACTTCTATTTCCCAATGGTCTATTCTTTTACGCACTTGATAGCCCAATGCTAAGAAGAGGCGGTAATCATCCAGGGGACTAGCAGGGGATACTTAGGGTGAAGCAGCGTTATTCTCCCATCGTACGGAGCAGTATGGGGTTTTCTTGGTCTCGCAGTATGAGGTATGGAGTCTTGTGTTACCTTGTGAGAGTTAGGCCTTCTCCTGGCTGTTTGCGGAGGAGTAGTCTTTCTCAAACGCTTTCGAGTCGCGATGTACTGAGTAGATGGACCTCAGCTATTGCAAACAACGAGCTGGAGATGAACGCGGAGGCTACGCATTATGCACGCTTCCATGTTCACCAGAGGCATTACCACCTGACACCGAGATGATCACAGCGGCGCTGTTTTTGTGTATCAAACTGCATCGGTTCCGTTCGGCATCTTACCGTTCGCTCGCCAAACTGATACTGTGGGCTTTTCTCGTACTACCTATTTGCCACACTCCCAACCCCTCTGTGGGTTTACAATGAAGTTAGTTCCAGACTCATACGCCCTGCGAAAAGGATAGATCGGAGGTTGTTTTCTCGGTAGCTTAGCATGATATGGTCTACACTCTGTCTTTTGGGAGGCAAATGACCATATTTATTAGCTGTTTGTACGTTTACATCCAAGTGCTCAAATCTTCACTGAAGCTGTAGTACAACAACACCGAAATGTGAGGTTTATCCTTGGTGTACGCAAGGACAGAGGATCCTGTTATCCAGCAGAGGACGGAGGGCGCGCGTACTCAAATCAAACAGCACATTGCTGAGTCCAAACGGACGGACTCCTTAGCGAGGACTATAAAATCTAATTATTGCTAAAGAGAAGTGGCGAACGCTATAAAACCTGTGATTAATGGTGCCCACCTTACTGTGGTGCAAGACGAACTAATTCCGACAAAAGTTATGTGCCTCACCCGCTTCATCGGGGGATTTAGGCTTGTACCCCAACTTGTTGGGTGACCCGACAGGTGTCAAGTTATTGGTAAGCATTTGCATTATAATCACGACTTGGCTGCCATTTAAGGGCCCCATCTACCACTGGTCTTATGGAACGTTGAGTTATGGCTTTATAATTTGTCACCGGTATGTGACTTCAGCCCCTCAAACACCTACTATGGGTTGATTTTTTGCTTTTGAGAAATGCACTAATTGGTCCGTTTTAACATTTGCCTATTCCATTTCATTATGGCATAAATTAATTTTTACTTATGTGTAGTTTTGCTGGAAGAGCCCTCGAAAAGTTTTACAAATCGTTACACTCCATCTGAACCATGGTGCGGTATCTCATTCAAAGGATATCGAGGTCTATTTCTTACACTCATTAATACATCTTACTTCACAAAGCCTGGCCAAGTCAAAATGTACTGGCAGTTAATTAATCATGTGGAGTGAAATTGGCATTGTTTATTCGGCAAAAAAAAATACTTTTTGTTAGCAAGTTGAATATGTTAAATCGTCAGGACTACAACGCCATCTCTTTGACAACAGAAATGCAGATGCTTGGAAGTCACAACATCGGCGCAATGATTGCTGCTGGGTGTCATTTACTTTCCTATTGATATTAGCAGTGCCACCTTAGCTCTAAGTTCCAGATAGCTGAAACGCCTAAACAACCCCAGGGTAACTAACCTGGTTACGTAGTTTCTTCAAAAGAAAGAAGAGTGAAGCATCAAGTTCAGCAAACATACAGGGCTGCAAAGTGTGCTTTTTACGACGCGCTGAGGTGTGACGGAGAGAACGTTTTAGTAGGTCGAGGCTGCTTTGATGACGCCGGGAAACATCCACAGAATGAATGATAGGAAAGTACGCTGTGAATTGATCATGTTCTTTTTTCAAGGTCAGGATCAAGTATACCGCTTTGGCAATTAACCAATCCCTAGGTAGAGTAAAGCATTTTTTGAATATAGGTGGTTGAGGTCTCACACCATTAAAAGTCATCAGTGTAGACTTATCCACTCAGCCTTTCTGGATACTTCATAATACAGTCTTACCCTACTTTCTAACGATCTCGAAGGGAATGGATGGGTTTATAGAAAGAAAAAAGGAGCTTGTGAGGCTCATTCATGTTTTATGTGAAGTAAAGTGCTTAAATTTGCGTGTGTCACAGGGGGAAAATAGTTTGGTATTTCCACTGTTAACAAAAATCTTATTTGTTCAGTTAGCTTTATCAAAAAGATGTAGGATTGGGGGCAGGGAGAAGATGACAAGGTGGGAACTCCAGACTTTAAGACTGATTCAAATACAAGAAATTCTTAAAATATACTATTTAAAAGGAGGTGTTCTAACTTGTTAGGCTCAAATTGTTCATTTTTGGCCCCGTAGTGTGTTTCATATATAAGGACATCGTAAAGCCTACCAGCCGTGAAGCAGTTTTACCATCAACGTAGGGAGAAGTTGAGGAATGTAGGTGGTATTGTAATGTTTTGAGGTTTTTCTTAACCACATATTTAACCGCACAAGTTCTTCAGTTGCTACGATATGGATTTGCGCCCGTCACCTTGGCCTTCCGGCCTCGCCTATAGTCCTCCATCCCTTCTGCTCGCTAAAGTAAATTCTTCATGCTGGCACTACTTACTATGGCATTGGGGAAGAATGGGGACTTTAAAGTGTAAACAGGGCGCTATAGCACGGGCGTGGTTACCGTTCGGCGGAGGCAAAAAAGGGCGTTGAATATTTGTCATCCTGCTTTTACACAGCCTCCCCTTCCCCGTCTTCTGAACGTCGTGTTCAGATGGCCTTGTGTCTATTTTGCTGGTTAGGTAATCACGTGATTGACGGGTGTCCTAAAGCTGTTTGTGAGAAAGAAACGAAGACTGCGCAATTTTGCTAAATTCATTGCAATACTCATGGCAGGTCAGTAGTCTAAGGCGGGTTCATTTCATATTTGCCACTACTTTGTTGAATTGTTGTTGCCCTCTATCACTTCGTAACGGCAGACTCAGTAGTGTGATTCCATTTTAAATGGTTAATTTGATAATGTTAATTTCGGTTAAACACTGCACTTAAAAGTATTTGCTCGTCCATTCTGAGTACTGAATAGGATCAATTGCCCATTTTATGTGCCATTGGAAGGCATGTGCATAAGTGGAGTATTTTGATACGTTTTTAAATAAAATGAATAGTAGTGGTGATGGTGTTGGCGGCGGCGACAGTGGTGACGGTGGTGGAGAAGCGATAACAGCAAATCAGCCTTAGTCAGAGTGAACCGAAACGAAACTTTAAAGTTATGACGTTTTAAAATTTGGGACCAGTCGTTTTTTCTCAGTAGGGTCCAAATTCAACCAAATGCAATTTCTTGTGAACGAAATCTTCGGCTAAAACTTTTTACTCTATAAAATAAAGCTTTGCAAATAGTGGGATGGTGCTATTGCTCTCTTTTTATAAAATGCATCTGGGTAATGCTGGCATGCGTTAAAGTTACCAATAAGTCTTTACGTATAATACAATGAGAAAGTGTTTCTTCTAATCGTATATTCTGCTCATAAAATCGGATTTCGTAACACAGATGGCGATCTTCGCCATTTCAGTGCAGTAAGTCACCGTGGGGATTGCATCATTTGATGCGATGATAGCCTGTGTATGATTGCGCCGATATTGCACAAGTAGAAAAATCTTCATTTGATGCTAATAAATGACGGTAGAGGGAGGTCTTCTTGAACTTTTGAATAAAATTTTGTGACTTATGCATGGAGTGGGTCTGCAAATAATGTTGGGAGAGTTTTTCACGACTGGCCTTACTATTACAGGTCCTGTGACAATGTCCCTTCCTCCCCCAACCCCAGTTCGGAGGTTTCCTCTCACTCCATTTGATTTATGGAAAAACACGTCGATTGTTTTACTTGGGCGATTTTCTCCTCTAAATGCAATTCCTAAAATCATGTTAGTGTGTCTCAAGCTCGGCAATATACGCGCATAATAAAATCTGGAGAACTGTGAATTGCTTTCGCTTCTAGCAGCTGCAAGTACACTCTCGCCTGCCGAACGTATCCAACAGCGTTATTCCTTGTAGTGTCTCAATGAAGCCGGTATGCGAGATCAACTGTAAAACATTTGTCATCAATACAAACCCGAGAGATTTTAAATCTTGAATGCATGACTCCAGGGAATGCCATGCATCGGTCATAGTACACCGACCATTTGAACTGCGCTTTCATCTATGGGGATATTGTAACGCCCCAAGTTTCGGACATATCGTTCCCTTGGTTAATCACCTATCAATGCTTTACGCATTTATGCATAAGCTATAGCTAGACTTTGGTTCTAAACAAGGCGATTTTTAAACCAGCTCGATGATTAGCAGGTAGAGGGATTTAGTGACTCAATTATTAAGGGAGCACGAGTAGACCTCTATTGAGAGAGCTGGAGGCTCCCATTATTAAGAAAATAGGCAAATTAAATGTTTTTATAGAGTCGGGGAAGAGGTAGCAACAGGTGAATTTTGGCTACCAAAATTATCCTGTTGAAGTAATACTATCACTGTAAATCATTCCAGGGCTCACCCTCTTGTTAGCAATTTCGCCTGTGGTAGATTCAAGGAGCCACTTGTTTCTCAACAATAAGACCATTGAGTGGGAATCTTTTACAGCACTAATTTTGGTTACATGCTCAGGTGAAACGGTCGCATTTGTTCAGGCTTTGTGAATCCTTGCAAGAACTTTTTTTCAGAATCGACCTTTGGCACACACACTGTCGGGTCCATTTTTGATGTCGGGTCTAGCCATTAATTTTTCTGGCATGGTTTATTCAGGTGTCTTTGCACTCATAGTGAAATTCAAACCCTGGCAACTAATCGGAGATTACTGAGGATTTTCTTGCTATTGAGCACAATTAAAGGTTATTGTCGTAACTGGGGTATTAAATTAGCAAAAATACTCGAACACCCAGGATTTATGTGTTGAAACAAACGCGTAATTCTGATAACCACTATAATCGTAACCATAATGGAGTTATTTTCATTCTAAAAATATCCCCTTTGTCACAAAATATGATTATAGAAAGCGCATCTATCGCATTTTTAGCGTTACCTCACGTGCATCTCCTAAGCCTAGCCATTGGAAAATGACCTACTGTTTGTATTAAGTAGACAAACTACTGCAGCTGCATTTTAGGTGTTGAGAAACAAGTGACAGAGAAAATATAGAAACGTGGTAGAATTCTCGCAGCACTTTCATTTATCGCCGGGGCAGCTAGTTTTAACATCTTATTCCCACTAAAAATCGCGACCAGATGTCGAACTTCTTCAATAGCAACATCCAAAATGCCTGTTTTGCGTCAAAATTCCTGGCGTTAACCATAACCCTAACAAACGCCGTTTATGTTGTTTCTATACGATCGGGAATTACACACTCACTGACCCCGCAACTCCAGCATGACTGCTCTGATCTCAAATGCTGATAAATAGGTTGTGTACAGTACTTTTTGAACGCTCTTTTGGACTAACATTTATGGGAATGTGATTGGTGGTTGACGCTGTCACATCCAGGAGGTGTGTTGAATGAGTAATCCAGTGGCTGGTCCTCCCTTCACCCACCCATATCTGTATGGCACGAACGCACCCGCACATATGCACACGGGATGCAATGGCCGCTGTTCACAACTGTCTCGTTTCACCTATCGGAGGGCCTAGGAGTGCTTTTAGGGACAGGTTTAGCTCTGAACTCTCGCCGTAATTGGTCAAAGGTAAATGCCCTCGACGTGGTCACGTTAAAGCCTCATGCTGGCGGTGTCTCGCATAGTTTGACTGCTCCAGACTTTTATCAATTTTTTTCCAAACCATTCCCTAAAATGCGTTTGGTTATTCACTTCAACTACAAAAAAATGTCAGGTCAGATTCTGTTTCATCTAAAGCAAGCCGTTCTAAAGGTCACACAACCGTTTTCCTTCAACAGGGAAATGTTAGAATAATATGTGGTCAAATAGGTTTGGTTCTAATATTCAGGCGTGGCTACATGGAAGGCTTATTTTAATTCACCTAAGTAAAGTAGAATGTCGATCTAAGGATAAAAAAGCTCTTGAGAGTACAGAAATTCCAGATTTCATTGACTCTTTAGGGTATTGGATGTGATAGGACTGGTGTTTAATTCTCCCACTTTGGCCTTCGTTCCCTTGGAACGCATGGACTGATTAGGAAAAGAGGTATTGTGTATTGGTAATATTGTGAAAGGGGTGCAGTGATGAGTGTTACGCACGTTCCCCTCCCGAAGGGGTGACTACTGTTCCGTAGCGAGATTTGTGTTCACTGATCGCCTCCCGCCTAAAAGGTGCATTCAAACAAACTTGTGATACTGTGGCTTTTCATTGACCGCTTCAAATTTTATTCGCCGCTTGGTGGTCAGCTGTAGGTATGGGATGCGTCCACCTCATCTTGCACCAGCCAATCGTTTTATCCCTTGATCGATTAAGCACATTTTTGATTCGTTTAACTGCTCTGCAAAAAACTTTTGATGACACCTTTAAACAATTCAGTCCTTCTAATAACTTCTTGTTTGCATACAAGTTATTTTTAAATGTTTTATATATTCGTAATGGTACGTCTAATCAGCGTATATGTTCTAACCCTTGAATGCTAATGCCTGCGTGCCGACGTTGCTACGGCAACCTCGCGGTCATGACCTGGAATTGGGGTTTACCTAACCCTCAAATTTATGCAACCATTACACTCAACCTACAGTCAGGGCATGTGCGCAAATGGGAAAAACAAAGAGAAAACCAAGTTCATGTATAATTCGTATTTTCCGACGAATGTCATTCCTACCCGGATCACGGATATTGCACGAAATTACCCGCGAATATCTTATAGGGTGGAATGTTTGCCTCCATTGTGCAAGGTTAAAGCCACCCCATTTTAACGCTTCAGCGAAAAGTGACCGATGCTTGCCTAACCAAAAGTGATGGTTGATGTAGCGACCATTTATCTGGTTTCGGGTGGGGCAACCCATTTAGAATCTAGGCAAATAGAGCTTACCTTCCATAAAAACTAGGCACGAAAATGCGAAAAAGCCGCAGAGCCAATAAGTATTGGAGACCACAACTTTGCCACATTTGTGGATGAATTTGCAGGTCACTAAAATCACGTCTGTTTGGATCCATTGATCCAATCTACTGCGTACGCCATTCAAACCATTAACGATTAAAATGTTTTTCAGTTTGAAGCAAGGTTCTGACAGGCATGGTGCTACAACTCCATGCAGCTTCGATCATATTCTCATGCACTTAAATTGCTAGGTCAGCCCTTTTCGCATAAACATTTACTTTAAATGGGGAGGGCCGTAATATTTCGCTGCCATGGGTGGATTAGTGCGAAGTTAAGCAGAGCAAGCATACCAAAAGATTGCAAAACAAATTTTAACTATTTGATACGTCGCATCAAATATTTTGTGTGAGCACTGTGAAAAATTCCTTGCTCCCATTTGCAATGCGAGATGATGGAAAATCTTTTTTGCTACGTGATTGCAACTCGATGGCGTGAGCCTATTGGTCCAATTTGCTGTACGTGACTGTTCAAGGTCACTCGGCTGGGGTCTTTTGGAATACGATTGGCTGTATTTTTGACACTCCATGCCACACCGTATGGCGTGACTTGCCGACATCACGTTCGATGAGAGTATGCAAATTTGGCTAAGTTGGTGCCTGCACCGTTGCCAGTGTCATGCATATTAATCATTACGACATTATTTCTTTGTATTGCAGGCATTTAAGCCCAAGTAGCATCTATGTTGCCCGTTTGGGAACCCGTTCAACAGTTGAATAACTAGAATACTTTACAAGTTATATACTCTCTTTAAAATGTAACTGGAACAAGTGGGCATTTTGAGCATCTATTTATAGTACCCGAAAAATCGATATCACAGCCACTTATCGATCTTAGTCGATCGTGGTTACACTCTGAAGTCGTTGATGAAAAAAATCGATATTCACCAGGTTACACGTCACTTCAATGCACTATGCCAACTATTAGAATACTTATTTGAAATCTACTGGATATATGGTCTTTGGGACTGTCCGACCGATACGAGTGGTTGGGGAGCGGGACACGCTGAAACGAAGTAGTCCTGGGGACTTAGCATTGATTCATGGGAAATCAGTAAAACAATCCTTATGGATCAGTGTCTGTTGAAATAAAAGCTTGCAATTGAGCGGTGACGGATTTTCGATTTTGAAACAGCCTGGGGTGTGTTGCGATTCGCATCGAACACAACGCCGACGTATATCCTCAAAACAGCAGAGAATATTGCAAGGGTGATATTTCACATGGGTTTGACTGATAAGTTGTTCATCTTCATTCTCTACTTTGGGGCCGAAGTCTGCTAAGCTTCAGGGTAGGACATTGATCACAGCCTCTATTACAAGGCAATGAAAACAACCTTTTACCCGTTAGCTTTCAGTCAGTCAAAGGGCTGGTATTTGCCACGCCAACCAGTTGGATGGTAATTAAAAGCTCACTGTAGAAGCGCGTACTCTGTGCGGTCAGTGGAGCACCTGGATCATTCCTAGCAGAACAATTTTGTGCTGGCAGTGGGGACACAAGAATAATCGGTCATTGACTTTACACGTTGATACACAAAACTCAACCGTCTGTCTCAAAAAGTAAACCATTCACACGAGTTTGTTCTTCAGGCAAAATGGTTTTATGAATGCATCCATCCTAAATATCGTCCGAATTTTGCATTTTTAAAGGTTGCAACTTCTGACCTCCTCTATGAATGCAGCCTCTGGCAAAAAAGAAACAGTAGAATCCATTTTTGCACCTTACAAATGCATATTTCATCCACCTTCAACTTACAAAGGGGACGCAGGACAAGCTAAAGCATCTAATTTGGCCGGGCATGGAGTGATAAGCAGCGATCATGTTACTGACAGGCGATGCAGATGTAGTGGTTCAATTCACACACCGTCGGACAAACGATACGTCTAAGTCACATCGGCGTCTCAGAGGACACACTGCTCTGCTTCGTCTTATACATCACAGAATCCGGGAGTAGACGGCCGAATTCGCAATGAATACCTCACTGGGCTAAGCAAGGGACAGAGAGATCGCCAGTCTCCCCAAACCCAAAGCCTCCTCAACGTATTAGAAGTAACCGAGCGCCTCTCAGATGCGACGTGAGAATCGAGGCTTCCCATAAGAGAACTGCCACACGACAACAGAAATGCTTCACTTTATGGGACAGGCCAGTGGTTCGCTAACCAAGCGTAGCTCCAAAAGTAACCCCGGTTTATAAACCTCACCAACCACCAATTACAACGAGAATGGAGAAAAACGCTATGTAGAACTTCGAGGAATTTTAATTTAAAAAATTCGACAAATCATTACTGCTGTCGAAAAAGGGGAGTAATAATAAACGCGGGGGCAACGTATTTAAATCTACGACGATCGAGCCAGACGACAGCAAGAAAGATACCGTCGATGACGATTACAAAGGATTGCGGAAGTGCTCGCCAGCATAAACGGCCTTGGGGCCAAGTTCCTCCTCAATACGCAGCAGCTGGTTGTACTTAGCCAGGCGCTCGGAGCGGCATGGCGCGCCAGTCTTGATCTGCCCGGTACGGAGACCGACAACGATGTCAGCGATTGTGGAATCCTCCGTTTCGCCCGAGCGGTGCGACACCATTACGCCCCAGCCGGCAGCGCGCGACATCTTGCAAGCCTTGATAGACTCCGTCACCGAGCCGATTTGATTAACCTTCAGCAGGAGGGCGTTGCAAGCCTTCCTGTCGATGGCTTGCTGCACACGCTCTGGATTCGTCACAGTCAAATCGTCACCAACAATCTGAAGCGGGCAAGAACGCGTTATTTTTACACCTTAATGCATGCTCACGAATAAAGAAAATCTATCAACCTGGATCCCAGCCTTGGCATTAAACTCAGTCCAGGCGGCCCAGTCATCCTGATCAAAGGGATCCTCGATTGAGACAATGGGATACTTGGAAATCATCTCCGAGTAGATGTCGGACAGTTTCGACCCAGAAACGATGGAAGAGGCAGCCGCCTTAGGATTCTTGAAGTCCAAATTATAGTTGCCGTCCTGGTAGAACTCAGAGGCGGCCACATCCATGCCGATCTTGACCTTGCCAGTGTAGCCGGCCTTATCAATGGCGGTCTTGAGGAGCTCAAGACCCTCCATATTGTCCTGGATGTTGGGAGCGAAGCCGCCCTCGTCACCAACGTTGCAGGCGTCAAGACCGTATTTACCCTTGATGACGGACTTGAGGTGATGGTAGACCTCAGTGCCCATCTTCATGGCCTCGCTGAAGCTCTTGGCACCGGTTGGCAGAATCATGAACTCCTGCATAGCCAGCTTGTTTCCGGCGTGGCTGCCACCGTTGAGCACGTTAAATGAGGGCACGGGAAGGACGACATCCTTGTTACCAGCCAAGTCAGCGACATGGCGGTAGAGTGGCACACCCTTCTCGGCAGCTCCCGCCTTGCAGACGGCCAGAGAAACACCCAAGATGGCGTTGGCCCCCAACTTGCCTAGAAAGCAAGGGCTTAAACAGTTTAAACGGGGTGGTTAAGGGCAGAATAAAGCATACCAAAAAGTTTTCCACTTACCCTTATTTGGTGATCCGTCCAACTTGATCATAAACTCGTCGATTCTCTGCTGGTCGGTGACGACGAATTTCTCCTTTATGAGAGCAGGAGCAATGACTTCATTGACGTTTTTAACAGCATTGAGGACACCCTTGCCCATGTAAGCATTTTTGTCGGCATCGCGGAGTTCAACTGCCTCGTGTACACCAGTGGAGGCACCGGAGGGAACGGCAGCTCGAAACAACCCCTTGGAGGTGGTCAGATCAACCTCAACAGTGGGATTTCCGCGGCTGTCGAAGATTTGACGGGCATGGATCTTTAAGATGGACATTTCGTTGCAGGTTTAACGAATGTAAATCTGTAAAAATAATGGGACAGGTAGAGTGGAAAAAACCCACAGAATTGTCTGGAAAGCTAAATACAATCAATTTCTCAGTGAAACTGAATTGCACCGAGTTAGGTACACGGCTTCTGCGCGATAAAGGCAAAAGCGTAAAGCCGAATTTGATAAAGTCCATTAGTACCAAAACGATCAAAGCACCCACCACAACTCAGACGGCCCTACCCAGCGGCAGCGATTTGACCGAGTGCCGATGGTGGGACAGCTCATGACGAAGTATAGCAATTTAAACAAACACGGAATTTTGATATATGTGTTTCGTTTAAAAAGCCTTCCTAATTCTAACAATTGCAAAAATAATTTTCGGACACTGCAAATTAAACGCATAAGTTGTAATGCACTCAAGGGAAAAATAAAAGTTGCAACCAGTAATTTAAGTCTGTTACAGTTTTTGGAAACTATGTCAATTGAGCAGTAATTTTACATCCCTGTCTGCCGCCAAAAAGCCCAAAGTAATAGAATATACCGAAAAATGCTGTCGATTTGTGGATCTTTATTAAGTCGCAGGTATGACGCCTTAAATGGACTGCCCTAACAGTTGAGTTGATGAGCTTTCAGACCCCACAACCCCAAAAATTGCTCTTTCGACTTTCAATGAGACCTTCCGTCCGCCTTAGAAGCGCTCCAGCCCCCGCGTGCCAGACCAAGACGCCTTTCGGATGGCTAGGGTAATCAGCTCAACCGAACAAAACCCGAATCCCACCGGCAAAGTAAAAACAGGGAGTCAGAGGAACTCGGATCTCCCCCCTCCCCCTCTAACTGACAATTAGGCATGGATACAACACTTCGTGCAGAAACCCATGGAACCCCAGCAGAACAAACACAAACAATACTCAGTTGCGACCCTGCATTGCAAAAGCTTGCCACTACTTTAAAGCAGGGCAAAACGGGTAACAGGCATGATTGTGAAATACATAAAGGTAACTTTGTACAGGTCGTCTTGGATCAGCCGAGAGAAGGAATTATGCAACTAGCGAGAGACATTGAGGGGGGGCTGTGGTTTAGTCACAATGAGTGCTCCCGCGGGAGTGGCATGAGGTCGCGGTGGGTCTGCCTGTGCCGCCGACGCGAAAAGACACGACGCCATAACTCCGTAGTCCGCCTTATAGGCCTCCGGCGTCACTGGCAGATTCTGCCTTACACGCCACTCCGCCAATAGGCCCACGAATCGCGTCTGCATGACATAATCGGTGGGCCAATCAAAAATGGCTACAACAGATTGAGGTGGACTAACTGGCCACTCACATTCATGAGTTTCTTAAGCGAGTCCAGCGATCTCATCTCAGCGTTGGAAAGTAGAGTGGTGGCGGAAGAGGCGTTGAACGTTTGCTGAAAGCCCTCCTGGTCCATCACCACCACCATCTCCGCTGGGTTCGACACAGATGCGGTGGATTGTGGAGTATTGGAAGCAGAAGCAGTGGTCATACGAGTGAGGCGTCTGCACAGCGCCGGTAGGCGAGGAAAGACAAGCATGCGAAGGCAATTACCACCAAACTCGGTAATACAGGTGAGGGTGCCGTAGAGAGTATTGAGAGAGTCTACTGCCATGCCCAAGGAAACTCGAGGCACCCCTGTGATCTCCTTGCGTGTAGGGTCGGTGGGGGTGGTGGAAGAAGAGTGGTCAGTGTTGTCGGTGGCGGCAGAGGTAGTGGCAGCAGAGGAGGTGGAAGTAGAAAAGTGGTCCGAAGTAGCCGCCGATTTGCCCTCAATCCAAGTGGACAGCACGCGGTAGAGCTCGCGTGTTATGCGACTGTAGAGACCGTTGCATGATGTATTGTATCTGGAGGTAAGAAGAGCAAATAAATAGGCAAGAGGCCCTAGTATTTATTTTGAGCTAACGTTTACAAGAAGGCATCTGGTCAAAATGTCAGTTTACGGAAAAAAGTGCGGTGGAACTGAACTAAATTTTACGAACGGAAATATGAGATTTACAGTAAGAGAAGGTAAGATATCCCTCAAAATGTGGCGGTTAAAGTCGGTGAAGCCATCGAGTTCCTTACTACAGAGTAATTGTCCACGGTTAAATCAAAGTATGATGGAAGAGCGACAAGAACAAAAACGTCCGCATCATTAGATGTCGACGAACATACACAAAACGGATCCTGTCAATCCGAGGACGAGGAGGTTGTCAAATTGCATTGTTGCAAAATGTGAAGCAAATAGCTCGGCAGAAATTGCAAATTATGACGTGTAGAATTGAAAAAATAGGCCACTCTTATCTGCGCTTAAGGAAGACCAGATGTTGATAAAACAATGTCTATTAAAAATAGAAAGTGGAATCCATTATGCTGGGAGAAAGGAGCAATTTAGAGCCGAACATGAGAGCTGAAAACGCAGGACGTGAACCAGTAAAACCTTCTTACAAAAACAAATTTAAAAGATCGAAAACAACCATCTATGTAGGCTAGCAATTATCCAGCGAAAATCAGACACTTAATTCTTGGATAGTTTGACGAAAGAAAAGGAACTTTTGCTATGTGGTATTCCTGACACGATTATTTCGAAGGAAAGAAAAACGGCGTTAGGTATGTAGTCGCTCCAACAGAAGAGGCTGGTTTCAGCCTACAAGGTGAAATTATTTAGCAGACGAGAAAAACATCCCCTTTAAATCGATCAGCAAGCAACACAGCAAAAATGGTTTCAAAGAGGACTTCCAAGTTAACAAATATACCGCAGGGAGACAAAACGGATTCGATTAGAGGTTGCTTCAAATACTCACAAAAAGTTGATAACAGCGTCTACACTTTGAAAATAATCAAAGAAAGCAAAACACGCAATGGACGCTTCGTGAGACCACGATCAGAGCGCCTTTTGGACGGCGAAAAGTCAAGGGGAAGACAACATGGACGCATGTAGAGGTACACTAGAGCAAACTATGGAAGAAAAGAGGACCCTCCTTTTCCAAGCTGAACTATTGACAGGATTCCCCGTGACAAAAAGAATTCCACAAAAAATAACTTCAGAGACTGGAAAACAGCCGTCGGAATGGGGAAGGTGGGAAGGGAGGAGGGAGCAAGACGCAAGTACCTTTAGGAAATTTACGAAATAAGTTTGGAACTTTAACTTTAGTCACATTCAAAAGCTCTCCAAATATGAAAATCGAATCGAGGAGTAATAACCACACAAAAAAGGAGTGGTTTCGAAGTGGTGACATTCATGCACTGTTAAAGGACTAGGTGAAACAATAAGACAAAACGTCAACGAAAGCGATATTACCTAAGAGAATCGAAAGCTTAGTAAAATAGTGTTTAGAGCTTGACGCTCAATAAGATATATGGGTTGAGGCTACTTGAATAATGCCGAGCGACTGAGTAGAAAATTTTACTCCAACTATTAATAGGTTTACCAAAAGGCAAAATAAACTGGCACTCAATGCATCACAATCTGTATCATCGTTGACAAAAAAAACCAGTTTAAAAGATGATCAAAAGTCAAAGTTAAAAAATTATCGAGAAAACCAAATGCTGCAATGCAACATGAGCAAAACATTCATCACAAGATTTATTACCTCAGAGAGCTAAACATCTAATAAGAGGAGAAGTGAGGCAGAATTACTTCAATGTAAACGTGAATACAACAGCTAATGAATAGCTCCAGACGATAAGTAACGCTACTTCTTACATCATAAACACGCTTAGAAAAATGGAGTGGAGGCCACTACTTGTTACAGATGGCGACAAGCTGCTTAGCCGCGAAGTCGCGCAGCGCCCAGTGATTGTCGGTGATGGGTTTAGCGCAGACCTGGCGACAGAGGCTACAAGTGATTATGCCCGGCACGAGGCTCTGCAAGTAGGCCTTCAGGGAGACGTTGGGGTTGTCAACCAACGCCTTAGTTAGACGAACCAGGTAGATAAGGATAGCCAGGTTGCTGTTTATTGCATTCAGTCGGATCTAGACGGAGAACGAGAGTAGAAAAGACGAAGACAGCAGGATGGGAAGAGGAGGAGTGACACCTACACCCTCAGCAATGAAGGTGACTAGGTAGGGCACGAGGGGCTGCAGACCGGTATCTAGAGTGGCGTTCTCCAGAGCGTCTCGCCGACGGATCTCGTTGGCCCCGACGCAGGCCTCAGTGAGCTCCCGAAAATAGAGCATCAATTCTTGACTTACTTCTTGTGGACGTCGCTGAAGAGGGGAAGGTACAAAGTGATGAATTAAGTACGACTTTAAGAATAAAAAATTCCACTCACTGTAGTTAGGAGTTGTCACACTACTCCTCCTAGTCTTGGGATGTGAAAAGCAAGCGGATTGAATAAAAGACGAGCCATACTTATTCAAACAAAATTCAGTGCATTTTCAAAATCAATCAAGTACTTCCTTTGAAAGGCTGCTCTAAGCTTTGATGAAGGGAAATATGTGTTGCAAACGAGAATTTGACCCATACGTAAAAGAGAGCTAAACCATTCATGGATTATTTAATGGTTAATGACAAGTGCTAGTACAGATCAATAAAGACAGTTGCTTGGTTAATTTTCAGTTAGGTGTGTTTTGTAGAGCACGCAACGCGGCTTTTGCTAAAGGTACCGTCCAGAAGTATGATATCAGGGTAATATTCTCAATTGCCTGATAATATCATACACGTTGATTTTGTAAATCAGATCAATATCTAGAAGATAACCATTCGGATTAGTATGGTAGTTCATGCTTAGACAGAATGGGTGAATTGCTAACGTTAACCGAAGGTACGGGAGCGGATAATGGAGCATAAAGAATGCGCCCTAACACCTAACAGAAAACACACCTACTGGTCCAATTAATGTCTCGTTCTCACTGAGACTACAAAGGCTGAATTATAATGCTGATATATAAAGCAGTTAATAACCTAAGTATAGACCCATATCACAAAAAGAAACACCCGAATGCAAAATTGCAACGCCAAATTTAAGATGGCAATAATCCTGACTTAGCGATAGACTTTTTAGCTAGTTTTTGGCTAAAGAGATAAAAATCTACTAACAAACGATGTATAGAATTATAGACAGATGAAACAGAATCCATTAGATAACTAAACCAATTCCTCACTTCGACATGAAGGGCTTGCATAACCCGCGGGTGAGAAGCCCGATCATCCCCCGCTTTGTTCTTATCAGTCTTTGCGTCAACAGACGGCTGCTGCGTGTCGTCAATTTTTAAAGTGGGGTTTAGGGCTGTACAAATCGCCTTCGGTGTCTGGGTACCCGAAAGCATTGTCATTCGACGCAGAAACTCTGGTGGTGGGTTCTGCGGTGAGGCCGGCTGGACCCCATCTATCGCCAACCAATGCACTACCGAAGAGAAAGAATAGTACTAGCTCCGAAAACGAAAAAATTCAAATTAAAAATTGACAAACTATAGTAATAACAACAAACCCACCCACTAGACTGATGTCGTAGACCACAGGAGTGGGTTGACGTCGCAGAAGGGTCTTAATATCCACCTCCTTGTCCTTTCGAATTAGAATCATCTTTCCACCCACTCCAGGAGCAGCGTTGCGTCCGCTAGTTCTCACCGGAATAAGTTCACCGGTAGCTGCACCATAGGGAATGTCCATACCCATTGCCAGAGCCGCAGAATCAATATCGGAGATGTGGGGAGTACCGCGCCGATTCTGTTCCATGTTACGAACGGCATTCTGCACAAGAGCGGTGGTGATTTGATAGAGGTGTTTCTGTAGCACGCTAATGCCCTCTCCGGAGAAGGGACTGACTGCGTTAATTTCAGCACAGGACTTGAAAAATTCGAGAGGAAAGTCGAGATGTCTCGAAGTTGTGGAACGAGACAAATGAACGCCGTTACTGTTAGGATGTTTTTGGCCCTTAAGGGAGGATTTTCCAGCCAGACGGCTGTTCAGAAGGCGTTTTTTGGTTCCACAGGTGTTGGAAGCCTTACGAGAGAGCCGATTTAGCTTCTTTCGCTCTTCCGAATACATAACACTAAGACTGTTAAATTATTAAACCCTCAATGTGGTCGTAAATTGCAAATTAAAGTAGCAGTTATTCACGAAATGCACAACAATATAAAATAATAGTACAACGAATGGTAGGACCTAGGTACACAGACCTATACCGACGATCAAAGGCAGGAATATAAAGTTTCACTGAATAAAGGAGTAAATGTGGATGTAATTCTGAGCAATTCAACTGATAAATTCTACCACATTGCAGGATTCAAAAAACACAACAGGGACACTTGAACTCCTAGTCAAAATAAACGCATAATCGCGAGTCCATATAAATAAAGATGCATATTAACTAAATCTGACACTCTAACTAATATCTTAACTTTGGCTGCCATATATGATGAGAATATTTCACTGAAGCTTATTTGTGCAATCCAATCAGACTGTAATTATTTAAAAAATTTAGTTAGAATACTTGGAGCATGTTGCACTGAAATAAATGAGACGCTATTTCTTTTCCTTTTGTGTCTCTTTTAAACAAGCCGTAATTAATATAGCAAACGTCCGAATCGTTTAACCAGAAATCAAGTGATTGGCATAAGAGAGTTACCACGCTGTAATACGATGGTTGTTTATCCCTCGGTATTGGCGAGGAGCCACTTTTGAATTGGCCTTGGCATTACGTCGGGTGGGCTGGCCTTCGGGCCATGCCAGTAGCCCAGAAACCAACTCTGCGCTGAATATATATGTTCCGCCAGAGTATTGTGTTCTTTCATCTTCAGGGAAGTCTCGGGACGCTACAATACCATCAAGTCGGTAAACGTACTGTCTGCAACCGAAAATCCAGAGTTGCTGTATTTTTTGAGTCCAAGCTAGTGAACCCCCCTGAGTCTTCCCCGAAGACGAAAGAAGACATAACACTTGAGAGTTAAGCAGTCAACTTTCCACAAAGTGGCATGCATGTGAATCTTTTTTAGGAGACACTCGTGCGATACGTTGTATATTTCACTCGCGGTTTTGGAAGAGGCCACTTTTGATTTGGCCATTGTGCCTCACCAAGTAAAACCGGCTTGCTGGACATGTCAGTAGTCCTAGCACCTTCCCTATTCCGCCCGAGTATTGTCTTCTTTCGTCTTTAGGAAAGGCTCGGGGCGCTGCAATTCTCCCACTATTTTGCCCTTCCACCATCAGCTTTATATCTTTGATCTGAGACGAGTGAAATGTGACAATTTTGCAGATAACTACAATTTTTGGCAAATTATAGTTTTTTTTTTGCCTTGGTGACCGATACTGAGGGCTCAATCACGAATTTATTGCGGTTAGTTCCATTTCTATCTTTAAGGTTCATACAAACAAACATGCATTACGCAAGGCGGTCAGCTCTGAAGAGGATGTCAATACATCTTCAAATTAACAAAGAAACAAACTTTAAAGTGCAATATTTTGCGGTTATTCGAATTAATCTCTTTTGGTCATAGGAGCGGCAATTTCGAAAGCGTGCTTTGCGCTCCCATACCGCCTCATTGATGGACGCCATAGCAACGCATCTTGGAATAACGCACCGCCCTCCCCATCCGGTGACTACGACATAAACTTCCGTTCCCCTTAGTACCTTGATAACTATCTTGAGAGGCTGACGCACCGTTTACGTCCATGCGAATCATGTGGACCTCCAGAGGCCTACGCCGTACAAAAGTTAGCATGATTTCTCAACCAAATTGGGCGGTATCCGGACGCTCACAAATGAAAGGAAGCGCAGCTCACCCGCACTGCTGGAGAGAAACCAATTCAGATTTGCATGCAAACCCGCCCATAGAACCAAAACGTCTCATCAGCCTGCGGCTAACCACTGGCATTGTTCCCCCAAATGACTGAAGTTTCTCTTAAAAAACATCAAAGCATCACTCCCTATTCCCCACTTTCCCGATCGAAAGAAGTGACATCTACTTGCAGTGCATAAATACTCCACATTGAAATCGTATCCCATAAAAGACTAGGTGGAAAGACAAGTGGGCCTCATCAGGTGGTAGCGGCGGCGAGAAGGCATAAAAGGGGAAGAATCTCAATCTTTGCTGGTAGTGAGGGGTAATTCGGATGGAGGTGGTTTCTCTCGTCCGCCCAAATTGTACAAAGCGGTCGCGCTCAAGACAGCTATCGTTCCGATCGCAAAATACCTGTAACCAGTGTAAAAAATAAGAATTACAAATTGTCGTTGGCACCTAAGACTGCTAACCACTTCAGTTTAAAGTAGCATAAAAACTGTTTAAACGGGTATTGTTTGCGCCTACTTTGTGTTGGGATTTCTTCGCAGAAGCATTATAAGATCACATGACTACAGGATCTTAAATGCTTAGAAAAGCAAAGGCCTAATTTGGCAATGCAAGAAAGTTGCGATAATCAAATTAATAACACTAGAAGACTTAGGTTATAGCTGGAACATCACATGTATACTACTGGGGGAAGGCTTGCCACTACTTGCCTACGGAGAAGTTGTCAAAAACAGACCAGCTTGAAGATTAACTAACAGTAACCACAGTGAAATTCCACAAAGCCGATTTCGAAATAGCACCTCGATTGACATTCTACAACGTCAAGGTTAACACTTTTAAATGAGCAGAAGGCCCAAGTGAAGAAGAGAAGTGCATTCGGCACCGCTTTTAATGATATGGCACCAAATTTGACGTGTTTGTATCATGAATAAGAGAATAAATGGCCAAATTGAGTGATTGGTCTGGAAGGATGGAATGGAAAAAGCCGCTTCGATAGAACTTTTATCATCAGAACTGTAAAGTCGTTAAGCCACGAAACGTCTCATTTAAAAAAAGGGCATCGATTCCACAAAGAAAGTTATACCAGTTAGGTTGAAAGTCATTGAGGAGGTAGTAGGAGGCGAGACAAGAGAAGATGATGGAAATGGACGTGGCGAAGACCTTGAGAATGTTGTCAGCGTACTTGATTACCACTGCAACGCAGAGTCCACCTAGCGACTGTAGAGCAACGACAATGACCACAAACAAGTTGTAGCCACGGAAGAATCCATCCCGCATAACGACATGACCGTCAGTCAAAAAGACACCAATGAAGGCCAAAATGGAGCCCCAAAAACCTGTCAAAAAGGTTCAACATGAAGATGGCAGCTGGTGTTTCTGGTTTAAGTTAACACGTCAGACCCCAAAGGAATAAATCTGCACTCCAAAAGTCTTGCAGCTTCCGGTATAGAAGACTGTCATGACTCGAAATTTGCAAAAGATTGTAAAATGGATGCGACTATACCCAGACATACATTCAAAGCAGACACGCTGCACTAATTTTTGCCTACTTTTCACCCCTTGTTTCCTGGTGTCAACTGAACTTGACAAATGTCCTAGTTTGCCTGCTTTAAAAGGGAGTTTAACCCAACCTCAGAGCTTAGGGGATTTGCGCTAAATTTGACATGTGGCATTTGGAAAAGGAGCAGTAGTTAAATCCATACCCAGAAATAGTTCAAATAATTTAATTCCATTGATGATTTACCAGATGAAGAACCACAAAGTTAGCAAGGGACCGTTATTCCTAATCATGGAGCACGAAGCGTCATTATTGACTAAGGCGATCCGAGACTAGAACTTTAATAATAACTTTAAATAATGCTTAAAGCGGACGATAAAACAATTCGCTTACACCTGCATCAATTGAGGAAAGGACTTGGAAGATACTAAGCAAATGCGTGCCACATGCCTGGCATAAAAAAATGGTGGTCGGCTTCAAAGAATATCAATTTGTTACCCACTTCACATCAGAAAAAGCACATACATTACACACTGCTTGATGAGTGGCTGATAAACTGATTTATAATGAGAAACAACTTTAGAATTTTAGAGACGTCATTGGTCATCCCCCATGAATCCACTGGTAGACACGCCACACTTCTAGGGTTCCACTTCATTCGCAGACGACCACTCTTGCTTTGTGCAGGACGGACAGGAGACGGAACTGGTTACTTGCTGTAGACCAAACATTTACCTTTTAAAATTCACCCCACACCAAGCGATTTGCAACATTAACGTCCTTTTCAATAACACCCAGCACGATTCAGCGAATCAGAAGTCAGTCCCAGTTTTACGAGACCATGCAACACCTCATTCTTCATACATCACCCCTCGTATGATCATGCAGAACTTCAACACGAGAAATTTCGCGCTTCAGGATGCAAGGAAGGGAGACGCTGCTTCATCAATCCCATCCCCACCTTCATCCTCGTTCTGGTTTTCACACTCCATAACCCCATCGCAATAGTTCCCAAAGTCATGGACAGAGAGTTGGTCAATGCAAGTGAAATAGAAAATGAGGTGTCTGGGACTTTGTTCTTACGCCTGGAGGCAAAATGTCTCAAATAAGTTGAATTCCCCAACTCCGCATCCCGCTGGGAATGAAAAAAAAGGTGATAACTTGTACCAACTGCTAGCTCGATAAATGTTATGTATCTATTTCTTGTATTTAAAAAGACTCTACGACCTAATTTAGTTACCTTGAAGCCAAAATCACGCGTTTTGTCTTTTCTGAAGGTCACTGAAAACCTGCAACTTCATTGCTTCTCCATGCCAAACAAGATGACCCAGTAACCATTGCTAACCTTCTACTTGTTTTTTCATCATAAAATTTAAAAAACAACGAAGAAACACAAATCCTTGTGAAGATTAAGAAATACATCCGTGAAGAAATAGGAGAGGAGAAACTTAAAAAATCCAACTAGTTCTATCATTTGTGCATAAAACTAAATCAACACTCCTCCCGGTCACGGCTAGGCAAAGGCATACAAGGCTAACGGACCACCGAAAAGCTTGAAAAGGTAAGCAACTGCCATAATCTCTAGATTAGATCATGCTTCCTTTTTCAGCTGTGGCTGATTTTTAACAATACTAATCCGTCCTGTTGTTGACTGTGAGATGCTCTGTGAAAGTTCTACAGTACAAAGAGTATGAGCCATCAAATACTTCTATTCTGTTCTTGGACATGACGTGACCCAAAAGGGATCGTTTACAGGAGCCCTGAATATTGCGTCTCTAAAAGGGTGTGCTACTGTAGCGGTACTACACACGGCCGTCCCCATCGTGGAATAATGGCCGGGGCGTATGACTTAGGTCAGTCTAAATATTTCTGTGTACGATGGTAGTGGTAGTGCATGCGTAGAGAACCGGACGTTGACAAACAAGGCTTCATACTAAAGAAGGTCTGGAACCCAAACACGCAGATACCTACACAAAAAGTCAAGTAGAGTACGATAAGGCGGTCTATCGTACCTGTGTCGGCAAAGACTCCAGTCGCAGTGATTTCGAATAAACAGTAGTAATTCTTTATGAATATTTAGCGCGTAAAACGCCCAGTCTTCAAGAATCGATGCATAAATGATAAAAACAACCATTCAAGGTTGGAAGTTCCAACAAGTTAGTGTACGGTGACTACAAAGGCAAATTTCCGCTTCTGATAAACGCAGACTGGTTGGTTGCTGAAATAAACAAAGCTTTGATAAAGGCTAGAATTTTCCGATTTGTATTAGTAAATGTGAAGAAATTTGGACATACGAGCATCGATGTGGTGGAAGAATACAAATTCACCACCGCCAAGGAACTTCGAGCAATGGTGTATGTGAAAATAAGGCGATGAAAGGTGTACTCCAAGGCGCGTGGTGTTATTCGGGTGGATTTCCAAGTTTGTAATTTAAACATCAATAGTCAGCATTGCCGTTGTTTTCTACGTGGTGTGCATAAGTCTCTACGGAAGAAACGACCGAATTTGATCGTAAAGGGCTAATATTCCTCCGAGCAAGCGCCAATCTTAGATTTGTTTGTCGCACTACGCAAACACTAGAGCAACTCACTGAGTGGGCATTGCTACGTCCTTCTCAAAGCTCGCACCTTACTTCGAGTTATTTTCACCCGCTTGAATCCCTAAAGAAATGCCTCGGATATCAGCATTTCAGCATCAATGACGAAGAAAAGCAGGCTTCCAAGGGCGAATCAGATCTAAATGGTAAATCTTTTGAGTTGCTAGCCAATAGCTAAAATGTATGAGTAAATGTAACAACAGAAAACCTTGTATGGAAAAAATGAAGTCAAAAGTCCTGTAATTTGGTAGGATTCCTGCAAACGAAAAATGTCTCGTTATACCAAGTGGTTGGCACGATTAAAATTTCTGCTATGAGAGCGAAAAATATACGTTATCACATAGAAACTACACAGTTTATCAGCAATGGTAATGAATTTTAAAGGAGCTGAAGCTGAGTGGTCGACTGTTTAAGTTATACCACATGAACAGAGCACCACAAAAACAGAAATTGATCAATTCTGAACCAACCGTTATCATGCTACGCCACAAAAATGACAAACCACTACTGATACAAAAGCAGAAGTGCGCCGAAGTGTCTAGCGATTGTACAGGGTGCGACATCAAATCGAGATAGTGTTAGGTGATTCAAAGAGCACTCAACAAACACAATAACAGATCTATCTGACACCCAATCATTGTAGCTACATAAAATAAGTTATTAGGACTGGTTAGTTGAAGTTTAGCGGATCGTTTTTGGTGCGGTAAACAACTCTACCACTCACATCAACAGCAATGCTCAAACCAATGGGTGGGAGTTGAACTTGGCAATTTACCGCTTGGATTGCATCTCAGCCATATCATTGCGTGACCTATTCAATAAATAACCATAAAATGGAGTAAAAAAGACCAGTACCACTGGATTTCGCCTGATACAATTTGAGTGTACGAAAAATTGGCTCCTTTTTGAGAGAAAGTTGGCAGCACTTAATGAATCGGTGGCATGGGAAATGAGATCATGCAACAGCTTCATTTTGCATGCCTCCTATAGCAAAATTTGTCCTTTAGAATGACAAAAAGGGTAATACTATACTATCCTAATCCTCGTCCTCATTTTCACCTTGTCATTCGTCACTCACATCTTCACGTACGAAATAGGACAGGCAGGCATGAAACAAACGTGAGATAGAAAAGGAGGTGGCTAGGGGTAGGAAAATTAGCTAATCTTGTATATGGTTGGGAGAGAAAAATAGATAAGAAATTGTACTGGTAGTTATCTTGAAATGACATTTGAGTTCAGGCCAATGCTATCACCCAAAGCGAAGAAGGTGCAAAGTGGACTCGCAGCGAAACATCATCCCTTTCATACATTTGGCTAACAATCAGCAAGATGTACAAGGAGTAAGCGAATCTAGAGGTTTTCATGCTTTACCAAAAAACCGTCGTAGGAGGGCTCATGTCTCGAGGTGGACCACTACCAACGTCTAAAGCAGCATCCATACTAGAACGGCGACTAAGCACCAGAATAAAGCTTCCACTTATCCAACCACTGGGAGTCAGTGGTGCGCAGCTCCGCCCATTCCTGCTGCCCATTCAACTTGTGCACAGTTGATAAATGCGCTTTTGTAATAATGCTTTGTACAGCACCTTCAAGAGTACCACGACGATAGCAAACTATACGAAACCTAAGAAGACCAGAAATATTTGATACAATTTAAAGTCGCCTAAGGTGTGTCACAGTAAATGCACTCAGGGCAAAATAATGTGACAACAGTACCATCTCGTGTCGAGTTTTGTGTAGAGGCTAGACAAAGAGGATAACCTGAGAACAATCGCATAACAAATGCACGAAAGTGCACTGAATGAAAGTGATTTGCTCTTAGGTCTCAGAAACACTACGACAGTCTGCATACGGCTATTGGGAAGAAACACAGACCTGCCAATTTTGAAATCGGGAGACTTTCCATTAAACTCTGTCTTTTCACGCGGCCTGCACGATTAAGAGGATGGATGATTGGACATCTACGGGGTTGTCTTCAAAGTACTGATAGGGCATTGTTGTTGAGGAACTGTTTTCTGTTTTACCTCAACAACACAGATAAAGACCTTATGAAAGCCGTTAAAGTACAAATTTATTTAGGCTTACTTTAAGGCAAAAAAGTTGTTGAAGCACATCATTTAATGCCTCCGTGGAATGACAGAGGTAGTCACCGTAGAACTAGAAGTGATAAAACGGTACAAGTATTGCAATAGCAAGATTTGTCAAAAAAATACGACACAGAGCACGAAAAAACGGGAAAAGAAGCCTATTTTTGTGGGTGCCACAAGCCTAATAACTCACCGAGTTGAATATTACGAATCCAAATGGAGGGTGCGGTGAACTTCATGAGTTTCTCAAAGTAGACTCCTGCAAATCCGCTAGAAAGACTGGCCAGAATTACGGCGGTGAGACCAATTAGGGTATTCTGGTGTGCTGGCAGTGGTTTGGGAGTTTTGGCTGTTGCGTTGGCAGATGGCGCTAGCTAAGAGAGAAAGAGTCAATCGAGAAAAGTATTTCGCCTACGAAGAAGCACCTTGTCAATTGAACAAAGACATCCCCTAATCAGGCTATAAGTGGGAGCTACAGTAATGGAGGCATGAGTTAAACCTCTTCCAGGACGACTGACTCGAGGCAAAATTGCAAGATTGCATTGTGCCTATGCTTTTTCTCCTGCTTGCGATGACGACTGTTTAACTGAAAAAGCCCCTGCATGACCCAATTAATAGAAAAAGGCAAATATATGTACGGGGCGTGTGTAAGAAACAAAGCAGAAAAGCCTAATGCCAGTCAAGGTCTAGATTACGAGAATAAGTGTAGGATGTGTACTCCTTAATCAATTTTTGTAGAATAGGAAATCTTTCAGCCGCACTATTAAGCAAAACATACAACTATATTGACTTCAAAAGGCTACCATTCTTTTGACACTCATACTTTAGCACCTGTAATCACTCACAGCCACCTTAATCATCGGTATGTACCAGTGAAGTTATTTATACGCTATGACAGTGACCAACTGGGACATTAGTGCCTCGGTAAGTAGGCCATTCCACCTATGATTTCATCGGCTTTTTATTTAGTCACATTAAAACTTGCTCCCCTTCCTTCATTTTCTTGGTAAAGTGGCTGCGTGAGTCAGATTTGGCGTCCTAATTATTAACACCACATATTGCATAACAGAATAAGTCATATAAGAATGAAACTATTATCTGGTTTTTCGAGTCCGCAATTTTCAAGAAAGGGGAAGAAACCAGCACTACTAGAACACAGCGAAAAAGGATGATGTAGGTCTGTCCACCCCCAATAACAGTCCTACGTCAAATGAGGGATTAAAAGAACCAAATAATGGGGGCGTTTTTTCAATATTGAAGGTGAAATCATAGTGTTCTAGTTCACTTAACTGCTAGTAGAGCGCCATTAAATGCGCCCACTTATCTCCTACAATACAGGTATCTTTTAAATGTTGCCCTTTGTTTGCAGTATTGGGAGAAAGTAAGGGAACAGGATTCTAAGCCCACTGAATAGAGAGCTTCAAAGGTATATTTCGGACCAGAAAAAAGGTGAAGATGAAATTATGCCACATCGGAATTCAGCACCATTCGCAACAGGCGAACCCGTACAAGTGCTATGCTCACAATGAAAATGACTACTGCAGCGTATGTTACTTATATCCACTATTTAAAGAGCACATCTGAAAGTGTTTAGAGATGAGCATCGTGACCTATGGACGAAACATTTAAGCTCCTTCCATAATTTGTTTAAAAATATATCTGGACAAAAAATAAACCCATGGTTGAAAAAATGATGAGATGTTTTAATTTAGGGTGGGTACTAGTTAGCATTAGGCAACAGAGCAGCACACCTGGACAAAAGCAACTCCTATAACGAGAATTAATAGAGCGATCCACTGCGAGATCGTAATCCTCTTGCGCAACATCACCACCATAAACACAGCCGTAGTGAGGATTTTCAACTGATAGGTGATTTGATACGTGGCCGCATCAAGGTTGGATAGGGCCACGTAGAGCAGATTATTCTGCAAGGTGTATAGCCCCGCAGGAACGCCCAATTTGACAAGTTCCAGCGGCGCAGAGAAGAGCTCACGTTGCAATTCGGTAGATGTCGCTCTGAGGGAATTACCGTTCTGCACGAAGACAGCCCAGAAACAGGCCACAACTTTGCACACTTCAGCACAGAATACTGCGGTGGAAGTGAGGTAGAGGCTACTGGCGGGGTTGGTGGCTGAGGGAAGACGCGTGTACCTCATGAGAAGAACTAGCGCGGTGGTTTGGAGAGTCAAAATGACCAGGCCAATGACCTTAAGGTTTCGTGGATGTAAAGCCAAAGATGGCATTGATCTGCAGGTCGAGAAGAGGAAGTATAAGTCTGGTTGCACATTGATGCAAGTGAATTGAAATGGGAGACTTGCCGTGATTTGCTCTTTTGGGAAGGAAATCTAACGCTGTATGAGGCTCGCATTGTAGATAAGATACCGATGATGGCAAACTTACAATCTTGGCGTAACTGTTGAATGCATTAAGTGTAATTAGGCAAATACATTACAAATGCAAGGCGAGAAATCAATTAAATGATAAAATCTACTTGATGCATACCCAACGGCTCATAAAAATGTTCGAAATAATATCAAGGGAAATTGGCAAATATTTGGTCCACCAATCAAGCTAGCTTAAGTATTCAAAGAAAACAAGGGAAAAAAGCAATTAAGCACGATTGTGACCGCAAAGGGTGATACAATGAAAACAAATAAAGTGTAATGACGAAGTATACGCCTCTGTCAATTACCGAAACCAACGGATTAATAAACATTTTTATCAAACATTTGATTCTTCTGAATACGACAAAAAAGGAGGCAATATGCGCATCAGCGCAAATCCAAGAAGTTACCAAAGGCAATGCTATAATCCCAAAACCACCCATTTAAAGGCACCAATGGCTGCTAAAAAGTGACAAAAAGACTCGAAAACAAAGTCTAAATAAAAGCAAAAAACTTTAAAAAGAGGTAGCTAATGTAATAAATAGAGTTTCTAACTGTCACTGATGAAGACAGAGGTACCATAAAGTACAAGCAAACAAGTTTCAGAGCTTACGCAGACCAGCTAGTATACCAGGCAATAACAAAACAGTCTAAAACAGCGCCCGATCGAACTTAGAGTACAGGGCCGTAACAATGGGACATCAGCAGTTAAAAGAGACAGTAATTTGTGAAACAACAGTATACTAAATGATAAAATCAGATGTAGCTTATGTGGGCAAAATTAACTAAAAGGCATTAATTGATACTAAAGTACTGAAATCTATAAACTTGACCAAAACAATCATAAGGCAATGAATAATCGGACTCACCAAAGTTCGAAACGCAAAAAATCCGTCATTTCCCGCACACAAGTGCAAAAAGAATTTGACAGTAAATAAAGGAATGCAAACTAATCCAGACTAAAGCATCTAAACCCGAATACCTATTTGATTTTAAACACAAGGAGGGTATGCTGTGGCAATAAAAAGACTAAAAATCCAGAAAATACGGACCAAATACTATGCTAACAACCACTGGGAAGTGACGCACTCAGTTAACAAGAAATCACCTTAACAACCACGAGGTACAGAAGCACCGCGATTACCAACTAAACCATCAGAACGGGCGTCAATCAATCTAAACAAAATTCAAAATTATATTAAAAGCCTTAAAAGAAAGCTTAATGATTCAGGCCTCAAAGTCCCAAAACTGGCTTTAGTTATACTTAACAAAGGCTTGGGGCCCTCAAAAAGTTTGCCTAATTAACTCAACGAAAAACTGTTCCATTTACGGTGAAACTATGAATAGAATAAAGTGGACCAGGTAACTAAAAAATTCTTTTCAATATTTAAAATGCAAAATTTTGGTCTACTTAAACTAGGGCTTTTCGAATGTGATAACAGCGTACAAGCATGGATGTAAGTTACTGTTAACGCCCACCAATTTTATGGGCAGTAGACACGACTCTTTGGCCACGTACCTGAGGTCAAAACAACCGGCATTAAAAATGGGATATTTGGGAAGCTTACTGTGTTGACTCTACATACAGGCCGGTTGTGTGTACCGATGTTTCATATTATGGTGTCAAAATGTCAAGTGCAAAGAGAAATCATTCAATTTTTATTCCCCACATTTACTTGTACGGCAAAATAATGTGAATGTGATGACGGTTGGCAAAGCCCACCAATCTGCCTGCGTATAGAAAATTCTGAATATATGTTTATTATGACCAGCCATCCTAATGATTTATCAGCATATTTTTATCGTTAAATATAATGGGTAACTCCATTAGTACTCCGATAAGTTATACAATTCCCCTGAACATCTATAAAAACGTAGAGGTTGTATCGCAGCCATAAACCCCTTGAAATCTATCTTACTTCAATCGCCGATTAATTATTTTTCTCAAATTTTACATGGGTGCTTTTTTATAACTTTATGCATTTGCCTTGGTTTTGATACTCAAGATTTGCTACTGAGCCCCTCCGCGCCAAATCTAACTGTTATTTATGCAAGTTATTCTGGTCGCTCATTGGTTGCTTAGTTCAAACGTACTTTAAAAAAAGGGTAATTTACACTTATGAATTTCACGTACGTACCTGAGCGCCTTCCCTGTTAAGAAATGATGACGGGATTAGATTATGGTGCGTGCCTTCTGAAAATTCCACATTCCTTGAGCAGTAACTTAAATCGGTTTGCAAGATCATTAATTGGCGAATTGTTGTACATTTTCTCACTATTTTTCCGCGCTCAAGTACATCAGGCGCGTGGGTGCTTCAGTGGTGTAGGCCGCCTAATGCGGCACAATGCGTCAGAAATGGTAAGTGAATTTCAAATGCTCTGTTTGGTCGGCATTATTTTTCCAGGGCATTTGCCATTCTTCAAAGTGCCCTTGAATGTTACTTGGCATTAGATTGCCTCTTAAAAGCATAAGCAGATTTCCGCGGTTATGACTGCTTGCCTCACATGATCAGATACGATTTTCGGTGTAATCTCCAAATTTTAACCTGAAATGGTCATTCTTTAGGAAGGCATAACAAGTAGTGACTAGAGTAGTACGCAAAAATCTGTCCTTCTATAGGGCTTAGCGAGGACTACTTATTTACTATAATTTGTTTTTCCTAATTTTATTCAAATTGTTTCCAGATTCTGCTTCCAAGAAAGCCCTAGAAATTGCTTATTCACGAGATAAACAGAAAACGCACGTCCTTCGTTTACCCCATTCATATTTTAAGTAAATAGCTTTCGTACAGACTGGGAGGCAGGATTTGAATCACAAATATTTATTTTTAACAAGTATTCATATTTTCACATTTATATCACAATTGCTTGGGTGACAACATTATCATAAAGACTGAAAATGATTTCCTCAAGGGCCCATTAGAAGTGATCCCATTAAACTCGCATTTCTCCGGCTACCTGCCCTTAGGGATAGATGGGAATTGGTATTTACCTGTAAATAAGTTATCGTAAGATGAACGCAATGCCACTGCAGAATGAAGTATTTTCTCCTTGTTGAGTAGTAGTTTAATTGCTAGTTTTGCAGCGAAGTAGAAAACGAAAAAAAAGCCTCAGCGCCGACGTAGTCAATTACCATTCAGCAGTCTCACGGAGCTCGGTTTCGCGTGAAATCCCTCAAAATTCAGCCTGGGAAAAGGCCTGTTTCACGGTAGCCATTTTGGTATGCTAGCAGTGAGACACAAAAAATAAGACTCTGGGGGGATTTTTTGCCAAGAAAAACTGACATGATATGCGCAGTCAGGAACACTAGATGTTTTGACTGAGGAATTGTACTTCATTGTGTCGGTTGTGACGCAGGATTATCGACAACTGATAAAATAATATTAAAGCAAAATCTTCTAATATTTTAAAGAAATATGGAAACAACGATTTGGTAGACCTTCATCTTCGTTCTCGTTCTCACACCCCATAGTCCCATCACAATAGTTCCCCAAGTGATGGACATCACCCTTTCCTGGTATTCGTTGGTCGCATCATCGTTTGTGAAAAGGGCCAAAGAGTTGGTCAGTGAAATATAAAAAAGGGGTTGCTAGAACATTTCATTTACGCATGGAGATGAAATGTCTTACATAAGTTGAATTTGCCAACTATAAATCTCGTTGGAAGGAAATAGAAGGTGATAAAGTTCACCGGTTCACATCTCCGGTAACAAAGTCTTTCAAAGAGGTTTTCACAGGAAGAAAACGCTTTCAAGGAAGCTTTTTGATTGTACCCGACTCTCATCAAAAGCAGCAGCTTTTTGGCAACCGCACAATTTATGCTTGTAAATCAAAAAATTGCGATCCCCAGTAGGTTTGTAAATGAAGGCAAAATTACTGTTTAAGTCTCTTCATATTTAGGACAATTTTTTCCCATAAATTCGATTGGAGCCGGATATTCAAATTACCATTAATTTATTTAAAAATCCAGAACTACGTATCAAAAAGACACCCTCGCCGAATGCAACCCATTTTTAATCAACAAGGCTGCTTGAAAATGTGAGTCACGTTAAATAAAGAGATAAACTTGGCTGAATTTAAGGTACTGATATGGTAAATAGATCATATTCCGCATCGACTGGACTATTTTGAGAGATAGATGAAGGAAAAATGTAGGTGCCATTGATCACTATCATAACGATGATACTCCTGTTGAACCAAACCAACCCAGGAGTTACAGATTTTGTCTGGAAGATGCACACTACGAACACCATTATTTTTCCTCGTCCTTGGTATGTCAGGTTTACTAACACAGAGAGTTGACAAACCTCCCATAATTCTCACAGTTAGGTGATCTCACTCACATTATAGTTCATGCCCATGTGTTTAAGAGAGAACATACCACTTGACATTCATCCCAGATCCCCTCTCCACTGGCGTGTGCGTGTGCCTGCAAGGGTGGTTGCTCCACACCCATGCGTGTGTGCCTGCATGAGTGTAATTAGGCATTAGGTGCTCCAAGCCACGAAATTTGATTGGTTGGCTCCCGAAATTAAGTATATCAACGCCCGTGATTTATCAGGGTGGCACCCCAATTTTGGAAATCACTCAGTCTACCTCTAGAGCATGTTCAGCCAACGCAGGTGCCCATGCTGCATCGGTACGGAGCCTGAGTATCGGTAGGTCCGGGTGCTCCAACCTCTTCATGCTGACCTTTCAATCCACCTTTATTCATCCGTTGATCTTTCACCTAACCACATTGTCTGATTTTGTCATGTTTTTGTATCATTAACAGCAAAAGAGATATATTTCTACGCAATTGGTGGATAAAAACGTTCAAAGACGGCCCTGAAAAACAACGCTTCCCTTGCAAATTCGGGTGTTTGAAAGTGCTTTTGAATTTTAATTCCACAGCTTTTTATCCACTTTCACTGTGTAATATGCATGGCAAAGTCAAGCGAGATAATTTTCCACATCTTTTTTAGAAAATGTGAAAAATAGCAAAATATGTATTGTGTGCATAATACAAAAGTATTTGGCAAACTACTTTCAGAATTTTTCTCACAAATACAAAATCATACTACGTAAACTCGTTTTTAGGAAAAAATAAATAGCGACGATGTCAATACTTGTGTACAACAGCGTTATCATCTTTCATACCTATTTGCTAGCCCATTCTACTAGTTTTGCAATTTTTTTTGGTATATTCTTAGCAATCCGAAGACAATGTAAACGTGACCCACGCTCCTAGATTTTACAGTTACCACTGTCTGTACATTTACACGAACAACTGAATGCCTGAAATATGGTTTTACTTTGTCAGTCATGCTGTTATTTTTCCATATTTCATGCAAAAATATTTTCTAAAAGTTTTTCAAAATCCTTGTGTGTTATCGCCACTTCAACCCTCTGTACCGAGGCTTCCAGGCCTTGGGCTAATTCGACTTGAGGGATCTTATCAAGTAGCTATTAGTGTATTTAGCTATTTATCTAAAATTGTTTTTTGTCAAGAACCACGTGTCATCTTAACTGCAAAAGTTTTTTTCTCTATTAAAAGCACAAACATGGAAGTATTTGCCTACAGAGCACTAAAGTAATTACACGGTTTATTAAGCCAGGTTTTTGCATATATTTCCTTTTTTTCCAATTTTAATGCCCAAGGCAACACGTATCGCGCAAATCCCAAAAAACCACGAAAGTTCAAAAAGCCAGGCATCAATACGTTTCCGAGGGCTACTCAGATGAGTCTGAGGGCAAACCCTATGCCTACTTGGGTGAAGGCGAGATCTGGGCAAACGGGTGAGACGATACTATGTCAATTTTCATCGACTCTGCTCGAAGGCGTGTCATCTTATCACCTGCTTTTGATTTTAGGGCCTTCATGAAGATACTGCAAAGAAAGTATGGTCATGGAGCTCACCATTGCTGTTCTCATTCCCCTCAAGTGCGTACTTTTGCTTAAATGTATTTCCTGATGGGTTGAAGGAAGAGGGCCCGTGTGGAAGTCATTTTTCGTTGTTTTTTGACCAATCGACTCACCTCTGAAGAACTTAAATTTTGTAACCAAATGCCTTCTTCAGATTCTATTTCTCCACTTCCCGTGGTAGAGAAAGTTTGAATGATTTTTTCCCCACGACTAATTCGAGCAAAGCAAAGTCAGATTTCATGTTAGAACGGGAATGTTATGTGTTTCGGGAAATGCTTAAATAAAAATCGTCTTTTTTTCCTTTTCACCCCTAAAGACATCTCCACATCGGCACTCTCCCACAACAAGACAGGTATGTTTAAGACCTTGAATTGACACGAGGACAGATAGTTGGTTCTTTTTGACTATCCAATCTGATATAACCTTTTAGGCTTCACCCACTCGTTTGATTAAGGTTCCCTCACCAATCTGCTTCGTAAGTCACCCGGTTTGTAACTTTGTAGCCTTGAGTTTCGAAATTTTAGCCTCTTGTTACGGAAATGATTTCCTAACTTTATTAATTAAATTTGATATGTTCGGCATATACGCACACACAGAGGTACTCATATAGAGATGAAGAAAAAAAAACCGGCAGAGAAAGAGATATCACTAATTCACTTATTGCGCCACATACACGGATTTTAGTAATAATTCCCCAATGTCACTTTGTCGGGAAATTACTTCTTAATTAGTATTTGTGTGTACGCATGACTTCGCTGTCAAAATCAGGGCAATTTGCTCGACAAATGGCATAAGGAGTTGCGTAAAGTTCCCTCTATGTGTTTAAAACAATTTGGCACTAGTAGTTGATCAGATAACGTCATCGCGCATAGGTCTGGATCTCTAGTGCTGACTACTGCTATGCATTAATTGCCATCTAATGATGTTTTGATTATTCCTTTGAAGTGTTGTCACCCAGCTTCGCAATTTGTAAGTTATACTATCGTGATTACTGCAACCTGATAAGGAAAATCCACTTACAAACTGGCTCTGCTCCACCACTTATTTATTAAAGAATTTCAAGCCAATACTCATTCAAACAAAACACCGCCTTAGCTCTTTTGTTTTCGCTAATTTTGATTTGAATAATCTTGGTGCTAATTGCTAACAATTTGAACAATCACAACAAGTAACAAGAAAATGAATAGTCGACAAGGGATTTTCGCCATTTAAACCTAAAGACACCTACGAGCGTGGCATAACAAGGCCAATCTCCGTTTGTAACCATACAAAGAAATAACCGCAAACAATGCAAAATCACTAAGCGAGCATCGAAAATCTGGCCACCATTCTACATTTACACCATCTTGATACAAAAAATCCAGAACTAAAGCGGTATTCAAGTGCAGATTTATCCGTTCGTTTTGTTTATTAAAGCGCTGCTTCCCAGCAATCACGGTTGTAAGTCGCATTGGTGTGTCAATATCTTCGTGCGGTTAACCCACATTAACATTTTAGAATACTTCCCGGCCTTTTTTTGTTAAGGTTATTAGTGGCGTCTAGTCCTTTTATTTCAAACATTTTGTCCAGCACTTAACGCAGTTACTTGTTGTCGTAATTTGTCTGATTTTATTGTTTTCTTTTCAGTGAGTTTGTGCGGTTTAACCCCATTGTAAACTATCCGCTGAATTAATTAATTTTAGAGTTACAAAATATTGCATTGTATACTTTAATGAGTTGAAAATTTTTAGGAAAAATATCCATTATCAATGAGATCACGAACGCAAAATAAATTTAGTGTATAGATAGTACTAAATTAATCTCATTCTAGGAGATTAAGTACCATTTATCTTATACAAACCAAATAGCGTCTCTCTTTACGCAACCCAAATGTGATGCAATATCAAGTAAAATGTTTGCAAATATTTATTTTTTTGTGAAAATTTTGTCGCATAATTAGAGCATCTCGATGAAATTCCCCATGCTAAATTAAACTACTTAACCTTGCATCTCTTTTTTTAAGGTCTCTCCGCTAAGAACTGCCTCGCCATCCAAAAGACGATCGGTAGGATGCGCCCCGCTACTTATTTGTTATTCGGTGACCTTGAGTAAATGGGTTGAACGCTTAATCACTTAAAAATTTTAGCCATCGGCTAGTCATCGCCGCAGGCTAAAGTCACCAATCAAGTCTAGCGTAAGTCCTAATTCCGTAATGTCCTTATGCAAAGAAGAAAAACTGGTTTGATAATCATATTACCTTGTTTATCCTACGAATTTCATGCACATGGTTTGTCACGTCATGGTATAATGATGTGAAAATAAGAGGATACTCTTGAGTTTCAAATAGGAGGGAACGAATCACTTCTGTACTTCGTGTATCTATATCCTTAAAGGTTGAAGTTAATTGGCCTTGTCGAATTTCCGCTTTCGTTAGCATTAATGAGAAATAAGCTGTTACGACTCAGGATTCCAAATAATTTTGAATTTAAAAAATTGGGAAGTAAACTTTAAATTATTACAGTGCACCTATCGCGTCTCTCCAATCAAGTCCAGGAGCGAGATCCAAGACGGTATGGCGAGTGCATTTGTACCTGATTACCTTTTTTTAGAAATGTTCAGTAATTTTCAATGCCCCTTTGTCATTTTTTTTTCACTCAGGCGACCTAATCATTGAGACAAGTGATCACAAGTATCTGAAAGTTCTCGGACCAGAAGACCTGAGCGATGGAGACGACTTCTATGTCCGTAAGCTGAAACTCTTTTTCAACTTTCGGAATTTTCCTTCAATAATTGTCTATTCAAACGAAGTAGATGACCTTTAATCTCAGAATTTATTCAGATTTTTGGCCGGTATGGCAGACTTCACTTTTGTGCGAAATGTCTTTGAATTTAAGGTAGTATATTTTGCTAGTGAGAGCTGTGGCATAGTGAACGAGGAATTTTGGTATTACCACGGGGACCTCTTGGGAATATTTAGCTTTGCAGTTAAAACATGGAGCTATTAGTGACAGCTCTTCTGCAGATGCACTTATTTCACGAAGAATTATTTTTAACGCTTATCTGGTCAGGGGAAACCGGTACTCCTAGTAATTTGAAATACAGCTTATTTCTTTCAAACTTATCATTCTTGGCATTTGTTGACAGCTTCAAAGCTCACAGTACTGATCAGCTCCACTTGTCATCCAAAGAAGAATCCATTCGTTCAATAGTTTTTTGCTTATTTTTAAGTAATCGACCCCAGTAAGAAATCGAAGAAGAGGAGTCGGTCCTCCAGCTCTTCGAGCAGTTCGAGCAGTTCTTCGTAGGTTGCGGTCTTGTCATTTACACTTGATGTACTGTTGACCAGTCGAATCGTCAAACTATGAATGTCATTCTTTTATTTTATCAAAAGATCGTCATCCGGAGAAGTCTACGTGGCTAAAAGGTTCCTTTCTCCCGGGGCTACCCAAATCCCTCGTCGGTTCACCTGCCACAAGTGAGACTACTTATTTGCACTAAGTGTAAAATGCTTGGCCTTCAATCGGATGTGCGTTTAATATTGTCACAGAGATAAAGGAGTGTCATCAACCAGAAGATCTGTGGTTATGACATCGCCCAATCATCTTTTGACATCTGACGACATACTACTTATTTTTATTTTGGTCTATCTTCCCGGCTTTCTAAAATTTAGACTTACGGGACCATGCTTCTGCCTTTGCTGCAACAGGTGCTGTTCCAGCCAAATGGTAAACACTCCGCACCGATTTCTATTCTCTGCAGACTTATAGGAAATATTCAACGAAAGCTCCGTTCCACTTTTTAGGCAATGCTGAATTGAAGCTAACTCCGCCATTGCAGGATCGCCCAATAGGGGTCGAGCTAGCCTGTTCCAGTCCTTACTAAACACTTTTGCTTGTCTTTGCTAAGTCCACCTTATTCGTGCTATTTCCCATCAAACTGATTTGCTACCATTCGTTCCCATAGACGTCTATCAAATTTGCCCAAAAGAAGGACCAAATGTAGTGGCCACTCTTGCCGCCACCAGTTGCGCAACTTTTCATGAGAACTTGCAGATCCCTCACATTTTTTTCGACTGAGGAGACAGAAGGGAGGACGGGTGGATCCAGCTCTAGTTGATGCCTAATCTAATTCCCTCGCGTAGCTTTGTGACGAGCACTTCAATTAATCAAGCCTAATTTGACTGGAGACACAAAGAGTCACGCACACACAAACACGTAAACCTGTCTCCTTAATCATCCCGCTTTAAGGGTTTTGCTCACCTCTCCTGTCTCTCACTAATTGATTTCCATCTTGATTGCCTCTGACACTAATTGCTGCTGTTACTCAATTACCAACCGATTAAAAGTGAAAATGTGGACCCTTTTTTGAGGTCGGCTAATAAACGGCATCCTTTTTGCCCAAAATAGGGCGATAATGGAGCGCTGTGTCATGAAGGCGAGCAGCAATTCTCCAAAAGAGTAGCAAGCATAGGGTAAGCAAAGCGAGAGAGAAATGGTGCTGACTCTCACTAAAAAATTGAAATCGTAGCTAACAAGCAATACCCACCACCTACTCTACCAAAAAATCCAGAGGTGCAAAGAAGGGCGGACAGGTCTGCTATTCATTTCTCGGTCGCTTAGCAGAAGCATGGGACGCACAGAGATGGAGATCGAACTGTAGACAGTACATGTCCCTAAGCGGCGCCGTGTTTCGTACAAACCGGACCTTCCACCCAGTTAAATAGGTACCAGAAGAGTTTTCATGTTGATCATCCACAGAGATTGCATCAAATTCAACACCCAAAGCCTCGCAGACTCTTTTACGAGTGTCCGTATCTGCCTCCGTCTGTTTCATACTTTTTGAAGTGTCGTTTTCGAGACTGTGACGAACAAAACAGTAACATCGAATGTGGATGGGTTTAGTAGGGAAATCGGCTTTGAAGTCTCTAAATACGTCCAGGAATTCAATAGCTAGTCCCGGAAGATTCATGAGCATGAAGAACTCGGTCGAGTCAGATTGTGAGGCCGTTTCGTAATATGGAAGGATAACCTGCAAAGGAAATAGAAAATTTCAAGTTGAAAAAGGGCTCAAAATGATTAAAAAGTTATTTCAATCCCAATGAAATTCCTCATAAAAAGCTGACTTCACAATCCAGCAGCCCTATTGGTTAGGAAACGGTCAATAACAGAGGAGAGCAAATATTAGCCAATCAACAGGACAGAGTCGAAGTAAAAACTTCATCGTCTGAAATTGGACAAGTACGATAAAATATGCAAAACAGAAAGACAACAACCTGTCGAATGAAGTCTCTGCCATCCAAATTAAAGCACTTGATTTGTTTCGTCGTAAGCGGGTGCCTTTTGGAGCTATTTCGACGCACATTTTCCTGAAGAAAATGAAAGGCGTCAGGATTAAGGTCGTTGGCAAGGACTTGACAGCTGCCAGTACGAGCTAGAGGTATGGAAAATGGCCCAACACCCGCAAATACATCGAAAACAACCACGGATGTTGCATCCGACGTCTTCGCGATGCACTTTATTTCCTCAATGATTCTGCAATGTTCAGTTCCTAAAAAAGGTGAGGAACTCTTTAAGAACCATTTACCAAGGCGTGAATTCCAGTAGACCTTTGAGAAATCCAGATGATAAGTAACGCCATTTTCTTTCACCTCAGTCAGGTAATTCTCCTCCCCAGCCATCAAATCCACTGCGAAAGTCCGAAATTCGGCGTCTATTTTCGCCGCCTTGTTTACTACAGTTCGCACCAGAGGCAGTTTGTCCAGAGCAATTTGACCTGTAATGATTTGACTGCTGCACCTCGTTTAGATGGCTCTTACCTATGAGCTTTCGATAGGGCAAGGCGGCCGGTTTAAGATTAAAGTGTGCCACATGACCAATCAACGTAAATCCAGTTACGGCCTCCATGTCTGATGGCAACACCACTTTGAGGGCGCGATCAAGAGGGTAATTTTCGTACTCCAAGGGCATGCGAAACGCACAAGGCTTAGAAGGCAAAGTTTGCCCATCGGTCCGCTCACTTGGTGAGCAATTCTCCACAAGGAGAGCACTTGGATGTGATTCCAAGTAGGTGATATCTTCATTTGGAGTCAATGGAATGTCCACATTGAGGTTTCGAAGTTGGTCCCACACTTTGGAGTCGTCAATCCTTCGTATTAGCACTAATTTACGCTTCACTCCATTAGAGTCAGTACTGTTCGCGAATAAGTAAAGTAATTGTTACTTATATAATACAAGTGAGAGAATTACTTCAACCACGAACGTACTAGATATTCATGAATCTGGGCAGAGCTAAGTAACCAGTGGTGTATTCACGAAGTTTTTCTAAGATCTTCTTGAACTGTTTACCTAAGGGCAACCCAATTGCAAAAAGAATCTCCGTCTTTCTAAAGGCATTCTTGTCGAGTTTAAGATCCAAGGCAGGCGGCAGCGTGTAGTCTGTCTTTTCTGACATGATTGAAAGAGATTCACGAAATTGAGAATGAGAAGTGGAGAGTGTTCGAGAGAATAAAAACGACTTCTTGAAAGCGTGTTGCAAGCAGCCTGGAATTTGTAACAGCAAACGGTGAATTGAAGGAACCTTGGAAATTAAAGAAATAGTTGCTTATATAACCTTGTCAATGTATTAGCCATTGCGCAGTAGACCAGTCATACGTGAAAGCGGATAGTAAATAGTTTTCTTAATAAAACGGGACCACAGAAGGTAGGTAAGATTTCCCCAACTCTCCATCTTCAAACTACGAAAAAATTGGCAGAGAGCTTTGAGAAAGTGGTGTAGTTTACTAGTTTTGTGATGATGCGAATAACTGCATGAATTCCCTACAAATCTGAATATTCACGATGAAAGTCAATTTTTTTGCAAAAGATAAAAAGTTTCAAGAGACCAAACAGGTAGATTAGAAAATGTGAGCAGAACAAACGATTAGCTTAAATAACATGAAGAAGGCCAATCAGCAGTCCCACCCCATCCAAGAAGCATTCAAGCAAGCTGGAAAAAAATGCAGTTGTTTTCTCAAAAGTCAACAGTCCTCTACATCAAACATATATATATATATATGCTTCCAACTGAGGTGGTACGACATCTAAGCGTCAGATAAAGAGACCACAGCGACTTTCTTGGAGAGCACGCGTCAGGTAGACACTCGGTGAGATACCGCACGCACCCCGCGGCAAGGCATGAGACAGCCCGCGCCTCGCTTCGCCGTCTTCCATACCACCAGCTTCACCAAAATCCCCTTCATCATTGCCAGAAGCTCGTAATGAATCTTCTCTCTCCTCAGCGTCAGTAGTTCCATTCACCTCCTTGGTCGTGGGCTCCACCACAGCTTCCAGATACACCGCCTCCAGGGTGTTCCATCGAGGGCCGTTAGACGGTGACGGCGGATGTGGACCACACAGCTCGGGGTGATAGGGCTCTAACCACTCCTCTAAGTCCCGAGTAGCTTGCGCCGTTGTCTTTGCAGAGGACGACAACGAGGATAAGGAAGACGATTTTGCAGTGTGGGAGCGGGGGAGAACAACCGTGTCCGTTTGTCTCCCGTTACGAGTGTTGGAGGGAAGAGGAATGACAACGCTATGGTGTTCAACTGACGTGGCCCAGGATGAAGTGGAAGGAGGGGGAGGGAGAAGTTGAGGGATGCCGACCATGGCAGAGACAGGAGTGAAGGGAACCCCTGACCAACGGGATGCGGCTGAGAGAGGCCCAGAACGTTGGGAGAGGGCAGCGGACGGTGGAGGTAAAAAACGATGCTTCGATTCAAGCATCGCGGAAGGCGGAACAGCGGAAGGAATAGGATGATCAGGTGGCGGAGGATTTGGGTGTGGATCGACTTTTGGTGGGGGATCCTCAGGCAGGGCGATAGCGGCTGCACCACAGAGGAAGCCCTGAAGAGTTCTTCCAGCATGGAGGCGTTTACGACGCTGAAGATCCGCCGCCTCGTCTGCCGCCTGCGCCTCAGCGCGACGCTCGCGAAGAACTCGCTCCTGCTCCAACTCGCGTTCGTAGAACTCTGCGCAGTTCGACTGGTGGATTAAAAGGGCGGACTAGTTTTAAGTGGCATGAAAATTGAGCCAGTTAGGTGAATCCAAAATGCACAATGTGGAAAAAAAACGCTACTTGGCAATGAACAAATTTGAGAAAATTCTCAAGATCAGGTACGAACTGTTTCGCAGCTCATAAAATATATTCAAATCAGTTAGAAAAAAAAGCATTTAAACGACGAAAATAATATTCATGGCATAACTCACGAGAAGGACAACCAAACCATACAGCAGCAAGCCAGTGAGAATCAAACCGTGATTGCTAAATTTGTGGAATTTGTTTAAGCACAAAAGCTTGTAATGGCCGAATTTGAAAGCAAAAATTGAGCTTTCAAATATTCCAAGGAGAACTTATCCCAACGTACACGCATATAAAATTGTGGAGCCTAAAGAAGCGCTGAAGTTATTTGCAGACAGATTTCGAGAAAACAGCTAAGTACACTTTGGGAACAAATTAAACTTTGACGAAAAATTGAAAGAAACTAACCTGTTTTTTCCTATTGCGCTTGATAATATCTTTGTTGTCCTTTTTGTACTGCTCAATAAATTTCTTCGTTTTGTCAACATCCACGTCATTGGAGAGATTGTAGACTTAAGACATATAATATCAACAGGCTTACTTATATCCTCAATCGTTTCCAGGTACCTATCGTAGTCTTCTGTATTCTCAAAATCTTCTTCCCGTTTGTTAAACCTAAAAAGAATAAATAATCACAGCTGAGACTCACTCAGCCAGAATCTTTTTTCGGATGTCAACTTCCTTCTGAACTGTTGGATCCTCAAAGAGCTGGTAACGAAAGTTTGTTTTCCGGATTGGAGTCTTGCATTGAACACACAGACCAGAGCCTCTCACAAACAGAACTTCAACACAATTTTCACACCTTAAAGCCAAATAGACCATTAAATGAATTCTTACAATGAATGTCCACACACATTAACCATTAGGCGTAGTTGGGGATTGTTGTATTTGCTCGTTTTGCAACTGGGACATGTCTGCGAATCAGAGTGCATTCGTAAGCAGTGACCACACAGCGAACGAAACCGCACAGTTCCAATGCACCACCTCTATGTTAACCAATAAAAATAAACTTATTAGTGAGGTCGAGCTCTCACAAATTACAGAACTAATTATCATAAAAATTCAATAAATGAATTTAACTTTTAGAACTTTGAATTAAATTATTTCGGGAAATGTGGGTCAAATATACATTTATAGAGCCTGTGAACAAACAAATATATTCACCAATACTTTCCCTTTTAAATATTCTCTCCGAAGTAGAACAGGTGCATCACTCCCTTTCTCATCATTGCCTTCAAACCCTTAGCTTTTATTGAGGGTTATGCTTGAGACCACGGACCAAATAGGGCTCTCATATTTTTGGATTAATGAGTTAGTTTTGAACCGTGAAGCTCGTGCAAAATATGTCTTTTATGCATTGGTTGCACCTTTCGCTCTGACCAACCCTCAGCAGTGTTTTATTTTAGAGAATAAGAAAAGCATACAACTTCACGAGGCTTATTTCCAGGCTTTGAACATTAACAAATTCGTTCAATTTGGTAAGTGACTGGTACTCATTGTCTACTCTGTTGATGGCATGGTCTCTTGGACACCTTCATCTGGTTGCGATTTGGCATACCCTCAGAAACGTTCTGAACGTTATGCCTGTGGACCAACCCGAGCCAAAGGAGCAATAACCCCGAAAATCATGACGAATATCAAAACCGTACAGTGACCACGTCTTCTTCATTCACCTCACCCTTAAGTTCTTCTCGTAGGCAACAAACAATGGGAGTAGCATCAAATTTTAGCAACTCAAAAGCATCCACCATCGAGTTGCAGAAACAACCTGGGATACATTGCGCAAGTGCGTGAACAAGGTCAATCGGAGAAATGTATGCAGAATGCGACCCCATACCACTTGTTCTATCGAATACCTACGCTCTTAGACAAGTACTCCTATTCTTATGAAATACCTTACCTAGGGGACATGGTCCGGGCTTGAAGTACAAAAAACCCGCCAACTACAAAACGCAATCGACGTGAGGGATGGAATTTTGTGAGGAAACAGTCTAGATGCACAATACCGAGATTAATTACCTTCTCAGCTTGGCAAATCAGCGTATGATAATTGTTCCTGGTTTGTGTGGAATTCGCTGATATACCCAAACGACGATGATGTAGTGTATTCGATATACCATCTCATGATAGTCAGTAATAAATGTCAAATTATGGTAATGCTCATGACCGACGAAAGGGCACATAAATACAAGGACACAGAAAAAGTACAAGGCGACAAAGAAAGAATGTTGAGATTGAAGTAACCACAAAACGCGCATACATCCACCCACATCCCTACTCCGACTTCGGTTTGCCAACACTCAGGCGGTAGATGATGCCATCGCGGCCCGGATCCATGTTCCAGAGCCAGCAACACACCACCCAAACAACCGATGCGAAGACCACGACGAACCAGAAGGTCAACTGGAACCACACCGCATACTCAGGATCCACCTCAGGCCCTACGTTGATACTTTCTAGCGATGGATTTGCCTACAATTAGACGTTGTATTTATTGCTTATAAGCAGGAATAACTCTTCAGCCGCTATTTTAGCACAGGCCATGATAAATAATACGGAGAACATTTTTACAAGCAAACCAAAATAGCAAGATGTTTCCAATCAAGAACTCTATTTTAAATAAACAACTTTTAAGCTTCAAGTAAAACCATAAAAGATTCTCCCAAACAGATTAGTTTCGCAGATCACAAATCTTCATCTCCCAGACAGGCCACATTTTCTGTAAGACTGAAACTGACAGTGATTGAGGCACCCATAGCATCAGAGTTGGTTAAGGTGAGTGGCAAAATGATTTTCCAAGTCTCACCACCACGACAATGCTCCACAATTTCGGGCATCTGAACCTCCGCTTTACCCAACAGTTCTACGAAATAAAAAACACGTCTACCGAAGCTGTCTGAGTAACTAAGATGTAACATAGCTGGATAAGGCAGAACCTGCCGCGGAGGAGGCGTTTTTACTGTAAACATATAAGGTGACGACGTCACGGGTAAGGTCCTTTACAGTGAAACGCAGTGAAGAGTTCCATTTTGGCGAGCGTGTGCTTAGAATGACGTTTGTGCGTTTGGAACGAAGACATACACTCGCCTCGCAATAGGGCCAAGGCAGCTCTAAAATGTTGCAAAAAAAACACCCCAACTTCAAAAAAATTACTGTGGGAAAATTAAGGGAGCTAATTTAAAGGGCCAAGCAGGGCGAAAAATACCAGTCATTTTATTATTGAGCCACACCAAAAATCTTTAACTATAAGTAGGGGAGATATTTTGCAAACTATACCGTACCGTCTTCGTTAGGGCCAAGCATAGGCAAATCGGTTGCCGAAATGACAGTCAAATTCATAACAGCAGCGAAGAAAGACCCCTTGCCTAAAGGCAGTGGTGATCAGCAAAGTGCTTTGACATACCAATATCCGAAAGGAAAGGATTTCTGAAGAGGTTCAGATAACGCTGATACTCCACTGCCGCCTTGCGTATCTCTTGCAGCCACATTATCCTACAATGTCAAAGTGGATACACAAAAGTGGTGTGAAAAACGTCTGTTTAAATTCTTTTCCTGGCTTGACTCACTTCAGTGCTTCAGTGGGCGCGCGGACCAAAATTCGGACATTCGGATCGCCATCGTCGGTGATGATGAAAGCAGTAGGCTCGGCACTTTCGACCACATCAGCAGAAGCACCACTGAGGTTATTGAGACTAAAAGAGTGCTGACGCAGGTTCGCCAGAGAGAGACGTTTGGATCGGGTCTCCTTGGTAACCTTAGCAATACCACTACCACTGCCTCCACTGACAACACTTGAGAGATCAGCAAGACTCGAACGGGAAATGGCATTGTGGAATACGGAGCGGCGACGCTGTTTTGGAGATACGGAAGCAGCTGTGGTTACATTGATCTGCATTGAAAATCTATCATTGAAGTATTCGCACCAATATGAGATTTTGGATTAAAGGAATGAACAAACTTGAGCCAGAGATATGGGACGCCTATAGGTCTTGAAGTTCGCCTTGACCAGAGTAGCGTCAGGTTTCAGAGGAAGGGTGAAATTTCCCGATGGTAGAGCACTTGCTGAGAGATTGACGGGTTGAGTAAGGAGGAGCATATCAGTGAAGAGGAAGGCGGTAAGTTCCTTTCGTGATTTCACCTTGAAGAGTGTGCCCGAGAGCAGGAGCAACCGACGCCGACGCTCACCTCCCACTTCAATCTCCATTTCACCCAACCGCTTGTCGTCCTCGCCACAAATACCTAGAGACGTGTTGTCGCCTTCAAAAGTTACGTGATCTTGCAGCCATTGAAGCTGAGTAAAGGACTCGCGATTTCGAATGGCTTCATTGCATGCTGCCAACACTGTGGAGGCTAATTCAAATGATTGCTCTAAGTTGCTGCGATCGGGATGGTTGGCTGGGGTGTATTTCAGCAGCTGCAGGCAAACAGGGAATCCTGGGGTTTAAATGGACTTTCAAGCATCATCCTCAAGACAGAACAAGACTCACCTTTTCAATGAGGAGTTTGTACTTGGTGATGCGTTGCATTGGTTTGAGGAAGTAGCTAGAGAGCGGCATGGCCTGGACTCGCATGAAGCGCTCACAGCTGTGCAAAAATGTACCCACATCTGGTTTCTCATCACAGAGCTTTTGCAGATTGTTTAGGGCGAGATCTTGATTAGCACAGAACTCGCGATACACCATGCATTTGGGCAGCTGGCAAAGTAGCAAAACGCCAGAAGTAAATACCATATTCAGACGGTTAGGGTTTGCAAGTACAACTCACATGTCGAATGAGAATGTCACCAATAACATCATTGTGACCCCTCTTCAGATGTGTTTTACGTTCCTGAAAATCTCTAAAAAAAGCAGTCAAGTCGGTTGAATGGTGACGTACTTGTTAAAAGCTTCCGAGATATCACACAGAGTTGTCCATTTGCCAAAAATTTGTACAAGCCTCCTTTCACTCACATTCAGCTTCTTCAAGCCCTCGATGATTTTCTATCCAATAAATACACTCATTGTTCATGCTTAAAGGCAAATATCATGATGTTCAGTAAAAAATAACCGACCTCCTTGACCTCGACCAGATCTCTGAGGTACTGACGTTCAGTTTCGATGAATTCAAGTATGGTGTTCTGCCGCGTGGAACGGGTGTCCTTAGCGGCTACCACAGTCTTTCTGCTTGTTGCTCTATCGCCTTGATGGGCAGCTAGAAGGCGCACGATGGGTGGGTGGGAGGGGATGCAGGAAAAGGGAAGAAGAAAGTGACGCTGCCATTGACACTAGTTTGAGGTGCTCAATTTGAGCTTTTTGCACCAAATTTACATATTTGCTATACGTATTCAGTCACAGAAATTCTAAGTACACAGACTCCGGTCATAGCAACCAACTAGCTTTATTCATTAAAACTTTACCTGCTTGAAGACACCCATTCTATCCGTCGGTAACAAAAGGCATAAATAAAGTAGTGGAGTCTTTAAAAAGGGAACAAATTCAGCCAAAATGATAAGCAACATAAAGAGTGCGCAAATAAAAAGGAGTTATTGGTTCATTACCATGAGTGCAAGAGCCAATATATAGCCAATCATGAAGTTCGTTTAGATAACAGACTCTAATGGAAAAAAGGATAAACATGAGCCACAGCGGAGCAGAATGCCGCCTTGCACATGATGTTATGAGGCCTCCTCGAAAAAGCAGCAAATAATCGACAAAGACAATTCAACCCTTTTTGATATGAGCTGATCAAATTGATTTCTGAAGATAGTTGATTGCTTTACGTTCACTCCAGGGGAGGAAGGGACCATAAGTTGAGGAAATCACGCATTCGCCTAGGGTTACTGATTTAACGATTAGCCAATGAAAACAGGGGACCAAGAAGCCCAACCTCTACTTATATTATAGGGGAACAAGTTGGTCATTTTTTCACGTTCCATGTTTTCTTTTAATCGAGTAAAACCACCAATGGAGAGGAATAAGAGATTAAAAGGAAGGAAAACAGGATAGCGACAGTTCTAGAGGCAAACAAACAGGTACAACATCGCAAGTAAGCAAGCAGGCGTGCAACAGACAAAACGCACCGTTTATGTTAGCGATTGTTGGTGGTTGTCGATGGTGTCGTAGATACCAGAAGAAAGGCAGAGAAAAAGAAAAACACACTATTGAAGCTGCAGACCAAGTCTCAAATCAAGAAGCGCAGTAAGCGGGTATTAAGGTGTTAAGAAACAAAGCCGAAGCACTTACCTTTCAGGGAATAGGGTAGGCGTTATAAAAAAAGTTATGGATGGAGAGGAATGAAAAGGAGAGAAACAAATGGATACTGGTCGATTAGATACGCAGTACAGCAAACTCACAAGGTTTTGAGACGACACCGGCAGTGGAGGATGATGCAGTAGGGGTGGAAACAGCAGTAGTAGCAGTGTCGGGCTGAATGGGTTTGACATAGTTGACAGGGAAGAGGCCTTCAACACCGGTAGACTGAATGCGTCCGCGCCACCAGCCCTCCTCCTCGTGCGTCAGAACCTCGATCAGTGCGCCCTCGGGAAAGGTCATCTCATCAGGTTGACAGGCCTTGTATGCAAACATTGATTGCACCATAGAGGCCAAAGCAAGATCTGCCGACGTTGTTGTAGTTGTGGAAGTGGAAGCACATGGACCGGAGCTCTGCCGTTCAACCTCGATAGTGGAAGGTGGAGGAGCGGCAACAGCTGCGTCAGCCGCTAATTCCTGAACCACTGGCGTTGGTCCCAATGCAGGTTCAATTGATGCTGCAGCTGTCTGGTTTTCTAACACCAGAGAAGTGAGGATTGATCACAAATGTAAGTAACGCTAGCTACGAGTTCCACTTTTGTCACACTTTGCCACTATAAATAAAAGCGCAATTGAAGCGTCGCTTTTATTTTGGTTTATTTTCAGCACTTTATTTTCTGATGTGAAGAAAAAGTGGCATTCTATCCCATAGTTCACGTCTTGCCACAAGTAAGTTTGAAGGTGAGGCCTTCTATTATCTTGCCAGAATAGGACTATCTTCGGATTACATCACTAGATCTATCTTCCCAAATCGTTTCTAGGGTATTTTTCGCACACATTCCAATTGTATCAAGTGGGAATCTCAGTCGTGATTATTTCGACTTTAGTAAGTGAATAGTTCTCTACACAACATAATCTTCCAGAAAATTGAGTCCTGCCTTAAAAATGTGAAGCAGTTAGTGGGTCGCTTAAAAATAAAACAAGTAACCAAAGGTAAGGAGCAAACTGACAATCTTTGAAGCATATTGTTATCTGTTGATAATGAATTGGGATGGGGCTTATTTAAGTAGAAGCTCCGGCAACGTTCTCAGATAGTGTGGGCGTGAATGAAAGATCTTAACACGCGAATCTTAAATAACTTTAATCAGTAGCGCCACGCACCTCTTCATTATTAGGAGAAGAGAGTCTTCCTGAACGTGATGCATCTATCATTGAGTAATTCATCACCAAAACATTCTTTAGTCAATTCTGGCGGTACGTCCTGTTACCTCACCCTTTCCACCTACTGCACAAGCAGCGTGACAAGAAGTTTCTGCAGATAAGAAACCGATTTAAACTCGGATTCCATCCATCTAGTTCAAACAACATTGCACAATAAGGTTGCAAATACGAGGAAGATAGTAGAGAGCACAATCAAGAGTACCGATGGACTGACGTATGGCTAGCGCTTTACGGTGCAAGCGTATATGCGATCGCATGCACATTACAAGTCCACACGCAAATGACACGTCATTGCGGTGGGGCGTACTGCGCATCACACAATTCTTCCTGATCACTTGATCTCGTCTGTGATGATCTACGGTATCCCTTGAGACCTCATAGAAGAGCGAACTTTATAAAACAAGGAACTGTGCAGTCCTCCAAAAATGGACAAAATTTGCTACACTTGTATTGAAGACTACTTGCTTCAAAAAAGTCTATCAACCCATAAAAACATCGAGAGTATTTAATCAAATGAAGCTCAAAAATAGTGACAAGAAAGTTATTAAACACGGAGTACAAATATTGCAATATGAAGTTAACACTTTTGTTGGTTGTTAACTCACCAGAAGCATTGTTAGCATTGACCAGACGAACATAATCAGCCGGAAACCATCCTATTTGTCGATCCTGACCTCGTAGCTAAAAAAATGGGGTAGAAGAATAGGACTGTGAATGTAACCCGCTAGCAATGCCACAAATGCTACTTTGAAAAGAATAAGTAGCTAGACATGCACAATCGATTTGACTATTATTTTTGCTAAATTATTGGAACAATCAAGGCTAAGGGGCCGCGCAAATTCGCCAAACTAGAAATGCAGATACACACAATCTTATTAGTGATCACAATATTCGAGCTTCGCTACTAGTCACTCTTTCCCCCCAATCAGAGTTCAGATTATTCACCGGTCGGCGTCACAATGTTGGGGATTTTGAAAATGGATTTACTTAAATAAAATCACTTCAAGAAGTAGAGAGGAAGTGGGTAAAAAAATGCAATGATACAGACAGAAAAGATACGAACAAATACAACTAAAACTACGGGGACAGATCGAAAAAAGGGAAGTTTGTCACTGGTGGATGTGTGGCCTCTACTACACCGGATTGGAGTGACAACGCTGAAATAAGACAACAAAGAGGATTGTGATGATAAATAACAGCCAACCCCATACAGGGACTAGGAAATATTCACAATATGTATAACATCGCATCAGAGTCGAATAGGGGCATAACTTGTAAATAAGCAATTTGGATAACAACTCAGAGTCACATTAACGAGAATTACTTGCAAAGAAGATAAAGTGGAAAGCACACCTGGGTTTCGCCCTCCCACCAGCCATTGGAAGATCGTTTTCGGATCTTTACATACTGACCCGTATTAAGAGAAAGCTGTTCGCTGCTTTGCGCTATGAAGGGTGTTACTACAACGGCTAGCTCCGGCGTCTTAGACATTGTGATCATCGCCGAATCAATTTCCACTTTCTTCTCATTCCCCTTCTGCTCTTCTTGATTGATGAAAACAGTGGAAGACGGTGGTGATGGTGAGATTTTAGCACTTCTCTTTTCCTCAGTTGGAATAGCGAATGCAAAGGTTTGGGCAGTTGTTCCGCTTGTGGTTGACAGTTCTGTCTGAAATGGGTAACAATGACATCAACACAGTAAAATACATAGACCATGCAAAGCCCCCGATTACTCACATCAGGTTGCAACTTCTGCACGTGATTGGCTGGGAAAAGACCACGCTGACCCGTGCGCTGGGAGACACCCTCGTACCACCCATTGTTGTCCACAAAGACGTCAACCTTATCGTCGATTTGGAGGCTCAAATCTCCTAGCAGCTTCGCCTCGAAATCGTACAACGCCAAACAAGTGAAGAGCGGTTTTGCCCCATTAAAAGCCATCGGTGTGTCCTCCACGAGAGGGCTACACAAAAGCATTCAAAAAATAAAACGATGACAAAGGCCAAATAACCCCTCCGGAGAGAGGAGGATTAACGTACAGAGAGTTGGGCTGATGCACGGGTCCTGTAAAAGCAGGGAAAGGATTAGTTGAGGCGGTGGCGGAGCTAGTGGTGGTGGGCAGAGCGAAGGGATCGCCAGTGGCAGCGGGTGTGACCTCATCGACGTCGGTTGACGCCTTCTTCACGTAGCAAGCAGGTACGAGGCCTCGACGCCCACCCATTTCACCGTACAGCCAGCCTTCGCATACCTCGAACGGCGGGTTGATGAATATCTGTAAGAGGAGAGTTATTCAAGGGAAGCTCAACAAATTGAGTCAATACTCCACAATTTACCTGGATCTTATCGCGTTCCGCAAATGTTAGTTCATCTAACCGTGTCGCAGTGTAGGCATAGAGGGCAGTGTAGGCCTCCGAAGGTCCTGCATCCAGTGCCGTACTATAGAAAGTAGAAAAGCTCTCATTGAACTGAGGAAAAGGCTTTGTGTGCTGTAAATAGCAAGACTGTATGGCTCAGTAGCGGCAACTCGTTGTTACTAGCTTAAACGCACGACGGGGTCAAAAAACGGCACTGGGAAGCAAAACAACTAAAAAGTGCTTTTGGCCGATTCATCGTGCTTATGGTGGCTATAACTATACGAAAAATTCAAGAGAGAAGTTAGAGTGGGGTGAGCAAATAGCCTTACAGGAAAACAATGGTAATGGTAATATTGGCGGAGTGTCCCTGGGTGATTCAAAACAAAAGCAATGGTGATCGACAAATATTTTAACAAGGGTAACAATTTAAAAAGGGAAAAAGTAGTAAAAATAAACATGGGCAATAATGACTACTGCTTATCTACAAGCTACTTACCACTTCAATTACCTTTACTGCTAAAGACTCACCTTGTGATGCTACTAGCAGCGTCCACATCATTCTGCTTCCCAGCTGTTGCTGCCGCAGCCGCCGCTTCATGTTCCTTGTGGCGTTGATGTTGTTGCTGACGGTAGGTGCGACGTCGCTCCAATAAAGTTGCCAGCAAAGCGTTCACCTCAGTAGCAAGGAGGGTGCGCTTCTTGGCCAACTCATCCGCTGAGTGTCGATGGCTCGCCAGTGTCTGTCCACCACGCAACACCTCCGTCTCTAGCTGTGCCAGTTGCTGTTCCAATTGACGCTTACTGTCTTGAACTTGCTACAATGAAGGGGTGGAGAAAATGTAAATAAGTGGTCGCTCTGCAAGTGCCCTTACCTTCCACTTAGTAAGGAATTTATTTCCAATGAGATTTGTAATGTGATAGTTCTAGGAAGTTGTATTGGGGGGGGAGGGGGGCAGATCAAGTAAAATGTGTACGTGCGACCATATACACAAGAGAAAAGCAAAGAGCAAAAGACAAGAACAAGCACAGATGATTCTAACAACTGTGGATGCCCAGCTTTCTGCACTTCCAACTGGACTTTAAAAATATTAACGCTACAGCAATGAGACTATATCGATGCTACAGCAACTCGCGAATAAGACAACTCTGTAAAGGCGGTATAAATCCCAAACCATAGGAGTGAAGCACTTCACCTTAAGACTAGCCCGAAGAGTCTTCTGCTGCTCTGTCGTATTAGTAATATCAACAGCAACAGAGGGTGGTGGAGCGAGCTGTCGCTGCAACTGCTCATCCTCCCTCTGCCACCGATGCAGTTCTGCGCGCGCCGCTTCCACATGTTCGGCAAGATCGCGGCATTCGCGTTCCACCGTATCACGTTGCGCCGCCAAGTCGAGAATGGCTGTTTTCTGTGCCTCCACTTCCGCCTGTGCCGCGGTGACACGTGACTGTACCGCCTCGCGCCGCGTCGTCTGCGAAGCCGCCGACTCCTCTAGGCTCGCGCGGTGCGCCTTCGCCTGCTCCAGAGCCTGAATCTGGCGAGCGCGCTCCTTGATGAGAGCCCCCACTCGTAACTTCTCCGTATCCAGAGCACGCCGGCGCAACTCCTCACGCGCTGCCTGAAGGCGCGCGGTCGCTACTTCCTGTCGACGAGCCTCCAGGGCGCGTACTCGCTCCGCTTCTACCTCAGCTTGGCGTTGACGCTCGCGTTCGCGTTCCTGCCTATGCAGGTAGAAGGATGAGAAAAGATGAACTCATCCACATCTATTTCAGCAGGATGCTAGGATGTAGGGGATTTGCGCACCTGCAAAATACTAATACTATCACTTCTTACCTTCTTGTCTGGCTAATGGGAGGAAGGTATGTGCTACAATGAGCCAACTCGAATCCATTTCGGTGAACCGCACAAATATTTATCTTTGTATTAAAAAGGGAAGTGTGTACGCCTGACAGATTCTAAAATTGAGTACCACTCAAGTGAAATTATGCATATTTCTCGGAAGTTTACCTCATTGGCTATGCAGACATGCCATAGAGAAGAAGAAAATATTGGTCGTAGTGTGGAATAAAAAATCTACCCAAGAGGAGAGAGTCAATGCAAGTAGCATTTCTGAGAACGTAAAGCATTTCTTAACAGTAACGGCAATGACAGTCTATTTGTGCACTTAAGTACGGCACAGAGATAGGCAATTTGTTTGCAAGATCTGGTTGCCAGAAAGTCTCTAACGTCAATAACTATCTGTAAGTTTTGGGGAAATAAAGCTAGCGGTTCGATCTGATCGAGTGAATACGAATTATCCCATCGTGAGGATTTCGTAATGACGGCCAAAAATTTGTAATAAAAGAATACCTTCGGTGTACCATTTAATTGTTCAGAGCAGTGTCGTTGCTCTTCATAAATGCTAGCTCCAAAAGAATAGTGTTTGCCAATAGTGGCTAAGAAATCCTGGAAGGGTGAGTGCCGTCTGTTAAAGAATTAACCCCATTTTAAGGAGCGGCAAAATTCACTGAGCCGGTAACCAGCGCGCACGCAAGCGCGCACGTGTGGGTGTTAGTTTTAGTTCGTGTGAAATTTCTTTTGGTGAGCCTTCGTTGATTCAGTCTAGCTTTATGGGCTCCACAAGTTGCATTCGTAATCAATTTCCTCAAGATAAAGTAGACTTTCCTAGCTGATATTAGAACCAGGCTCAGGAGATTTGCCATCCCTATGCTCTAGTTACTAATGTAACCCTTTGAAATCCACGACACCACATACGCCACTTCACTTACCAAAATCTTTGCCCATTTCCGGCACTTTTTATGGGGTATCATTTCAGAAATAAGTGGATATTTCTTCATAAGCGTATTATCAATAACATTTAGGTGAATGTTTTTCGTGAAATATGAGGAATTATAAAGTTTAACCAGGCTAGGGCCAATTCAATGCATTTGGTTCTTTACAAGACGCCAAAAGTATTTCAAAGTTTGTGATCACTGTTGACTGAACTGCAGACGTAATAAGCTTTTGGTACGGAAATTTCAAGAAATAAGTTTTAAATAAGGCAGTAGGAAAACTTCATCTCACACCCCGTCTTTGAATAGCTCAGTTGTGCTCCTGACACTTCCACCGAATTGAGACATAACTTTAGCATTCACTCAACAATGCTGTAGATGTGAATTTTGTATTAATGGGTGAAATAATGAAGCAGACGGACTTAGCACCATGCATAAAAACCACCGCAAAGGATTGAAATCAACTAAAGTAACTGGTTCTCGAAGGCGTATCTTTCTAGTATACTTTTTATTGTGAGTGCAATTTTATGATACAACTCCCATGGTTAAACACACTTGCTATTTGATGTGCCGATCCGTTGTTTACAAGGGTAACTTCTCCGTGCAACCAAGGTTAGACATAAATCAAGTTGTGCGACCTTGCAACGAGACAGAAACGTTAAGTGACTACATTCGTGTGGACCGATGCGCTTATCTGGCCTTTCATCAATAAAAACAAAACGATTTCACAAGGCTCATTGCATAAAAGTGGCCTATTAGCAAACACATGGATTTGATAATGATTAAAAATGCGCAGTTAACGAAGACGCACCGAATCTTCTCCTGTTTTTCTGATTCAAACCGGGCTTGCTCGCGCCTCTGCTCCTCTTCTTGTCTCAACTGCTCCGCTAAATCCTGTTTCCGTTTGTCCAGTTCTGCTTGACCCAGCAGGAAATTTTGCATTCTCTTGTCCTCAAACGTCATTCGACCTGCACACGAACGTGCATTTATTCGTTCCCAAATTCAACGAAATACTTACCCTCAGACTCCTCCTTCTGTTCGCCGTCAATCGGAGTCAATTTAGGAAGGTCACCTTGTTGAGCCTGTAGTAAGGAGTAGGGTATAGTATGGAAATAATGAGTGCAAACGTACGAGAGACGACGGCATGAGGGTAAGCGGCAACGTAGAGGGTAGTCTCCGACCCGCCAGCACTTGATCAATGAGATAGGCAGCGATACAAAACTCCTCACAGGTAAGATTACCATCCCTATCCACATCGGCGAGATTCCAAATCGCCGCTAACTGGGAGTGAGGCAGGTTGGATTTGAGAAAGATACCCCGTGCCTCAACACCAGTTAGATAGCCGCGTTTATTGCGGTCGTTCTGGTTGAATTGGAGTTTATACTTGGGACGCAAGGCGGCAGAAATGCTCCACTCGCTGGAGTCAATCTGGCCGGCACCACTGCTACTATTGGACGTTAAGGTGGTAGGTGGATTAACTCGATCAGGAAGAGTGGGTGGGACAAAACGTTGTGGCTCCTGTAGTAAAGAGGGCGGGAGTTGAGAGGGAAGGCCGTTGCCTTCAAGACACTTCTTGATGAGAAACATGGCGATGGAGAACTCTCTGCGATCCAACTGGCCGTCAGCGGTGAGGTCCGCCAGATCCCAGATTTTGGCCAGAAGTAGAGTGGGCAATTTAGAGTGTGCAAAGAAGGTACGCGCTTGCTCACCGGTTATGTAGCCGTTGATGGGACGCAGGAACTGGAAGCGTTCGTCGTGCTTGCAGCGATCCTCGTAGGTGATCCGCCAAGTATTCCAGTCATCTAGTCACAGAGATAAGAACAATCGACTAAATATGTTGATTGCAAATAAGAGAAACAGAAGACATTTGGCATGAAGCCAAAATATAAGATGCTCAAATAATCCGCATCTCATTAGCACGCGCATATTACAGAACAAGTGCAAAATATATGCTCATAAGAGTCACACAAAATAAGTGCAGCTAATGAGTATGAAAAGTGTAACTTGAGTAAATTCCCTCACGGCTGTGTATGTGTCACATGAAAAATACATTAGCAACAGAGAAAAAATATTACAGGATTCATACGCACTCCAAGAAAAAAGGTAGCGAGCATAACCAACGGCATCAAATACAACAGGACAAAAAAAAAGTAAAACCGGCTAGTTGAAATTGGAACATGTACACTAGTCAATTAATGACGTTAGATACTCAAAATAGGAAGCAGAACTGAAAATTACCGCGGAACTCATTCAAAGATTATTAAGGAAACACTCCTAAATAAGGTTCATGTGAGAGTAAAGGAAATACAATAAGTGCCACAAAAATATGAGTGTCTTACTCATTTTCCCAAAAAACACCTGGGAAGAAATGGACGGGTGACCAGACCGAAATATGCGCCACCATGAAAGGAAAGTTTTAATGATGCAACTCCTATCAAGCAATATTTTGCAGCAGAATGTAAAGTAAACACGAAAAAAAATTGCGGAAGTTGTAAATATTTGTTTTTAACCCAATAATTAGGTTGTTAAAAATGAGTGTATGACTGTGATTCTTGTAAAGTGATTGACACCAGTTTATTGATCGTGTTTAGAGCGAAACAAGTTGCATTAGAATTTAAAACTGGTACGTAAACTACCTTTGAAACTTAAAAACCATTAAATCTTCTTAAAGCATTGCAGCGTGCACAAAATTTTGGTGATTTTTAATGTGCTCGCAGCAATCTTTTACTCAAATTCATGTACGACTGGGAAAATAGTAACGAAATTCCTCGTCTTCAAAAACAGGGTTTAAAGAAGTTTTGACTTGTCTCCTTTCATCCAAGGAGTAGACTTTGCTCTTTGACACTACTTATCCCCCGGTGTGATACATGGAATGGCTCTCCACCTGATAGTCGTCTTCTGTTCTTTATTAGCCAATTCGAACAATGATGACATCTCACATCTCATACCTTGCTCTTATTAGTTACATCACGGGAAAGAAAGTGTACTTCCACGTGCATACACATACTCCTTCTCTGCTTTCTTCGACCTCTCTCCTGTGACAGAATTTAATGCCAAGTTATGGAAGACAGGAATCTGCACCAGCGCCAGTCACGGTCATAAACGCGTCTCTTGTTTTTTACTAGCAGTATTTTTGCTGAACTTTTCCAAAAAATTCTTCTATAACGAATGAAAAGGCGGATATGCATAAGATATCTAAACCAATATTATTGTACGAGCATCCAAAGTCTTCAATATGTTGTGCTTCAGAGAACCGCCTAATTTGCTATCAGCTCGACATGCTACCCAGTGGTCATAGCACCAGTAACTTAGTTATGCATGGGTTGTTCTGTTTAAAGTGTTTTCTCGATCTCAATCAAAATTAATTATTTTCTTATTTCCCCATATATTAACCCAAGGGATATCTAGTGCTTATCGTGAATTCTGTTGAGATTCTACACATGCACGAATGAGGCGACCCAAGAACGTTTCAACTAGATAATATCGCCAAAAATGGAGTAACTGCTTATTTGGTGCTGAAGGAGAGTAAATCAGAGGGTGTTCATGCCTAAAAACGGCAAGAGATTATACGAATGGGTCAATGTTACCCACAAAACCACGGTGGCCTATAAGCTCCGTACTAGTGTCAGCACTTTGCACATATTTGGGAAAGTGGTTTGATTTTGCCACGGCTACTAAGTCATATGCCTCAGTTGCTACAGTTGACCTCCCAAGAGGTACCGTTGTTCATAGCACGGTTAGTGAGGTCGCACACGAGTAGATGGATAAATAAAAAGAAGCACTTGTTCTTCATCACACAATTCCAGAGTGTAGATGTGGTCAGCTTCCCTCATAGATAGAAAATAAATCCACTTAAGGATCACTCCATATTGCTGATATCTGTAGGTAACTTTTCCAAGGAAGCCAATGTCCCAATAAAAACTCCCAGGGAAGGATATGTCAGTGGATGGAAAATGGAATCTACTCACCGCTGTAGACAGGAGTACCTGACTTATATGATTCTTCATGTGCCCAAAACTGTCTTATCTATATCTTCAGGAGCTGACCCATTAGACAGCACTGCGGCTTCTTTTAGACGTGGTTTTACAACACAAGATGCTATATACCCCGCGGACCATCAAGATCTCAACCGGACTAATCAAAAATAGGGCTTCCGAAAAACGCTCCCGCAAAGTGATTACAAGTGCATATAAAGTGTGTCCTCACAGATTCGGGTACGTGGGTGTCAATTCGGAGACGTCAACAGGCGTGCGAAACAGAGAACACTTTACAATGTCTAGGAAATTACATTTTAATTCATCCTAGATACCGGTTCTAGCGATATATCTGTAGGTGTTGTATTCTCACAAGGTGTTAGAACAGGGAATGACGTGAACAACTCAGTGACGTTTTGATGTGAAGATTCATAGTTGTGCAGTTTTATCGTGCAGTATAGGAATGGGACGTCATACAAACCCACTGCAAACGCAAAGTAATCATAGGGCAAATCGTCTAAATTCATTTAGCACGACGGATTGACATTTGCTTTGAACGATTGGATTCTGTTATATCAGGATTAAACTGGAGGACCGAAATGGGTCGTGCAAAGAACAATAGGAGCTGGAAAAGTGATTTCTCTGACAAACGCTATCAGTGAACTTTGGGCACTCAAGCTATCCGTGTTTTTCCTTAACCCAGCACTGCCTGCGGTAAATTCAAAGACCTCTTGTCCCCCTGGCCTTAACACTTAAGTTTATGCCCACAAGGGCTCATTGCTATTGTTGGTTCTATACCTACCACGGATTTAAGAAATGTGAACATATTTGCAAAGAAGGAATTCCCAAGGACCAAAGATACGGAAACAGGAGCATCAATTTCCCCTTACCAATGGATCTGGCAAAATGTAATCCTCGAGACTGCACCTAGTGACTACAGTGCCATATTCGAAAGGCAGATAATGGAAATTATATTAATCTTAGGAATGAGATGTTGTGAAACCTTATAACACCTCTTCCTTTCCCCGCAATGGAGGCCATCATGAAAAGAATCATTCGAGTCACAATGAAGCATAGTCTCTCATAACATTATGCGACGCCATAGAGGAATGCTACGAGGTGGATGTGAAGGCGAAGGAATCCCTCCAGCTTTCAAAGAAGCAATTGTTAAGAAAAGCATTGATGCCAAGACTCAAAACAGCAATGACACTATGTAATACATGCTGCATTTTCCTACGTATTTTGGATCAAAAGACCGTCAGTTCAACAAACTCGAAGCCATTAAAGTCTTTACCGGTGCAAGAAACCCCTATATGTCCCATAATCGTTGGTCACATCCACGTAAAAATAAGTTAACACTTGTGATTTAAGGGCTTTATTTTAGTACTCTCTTCACAGAATATTAAAAATGTGGACGACGACCCATTCCTCTCTTCATTTCTGCCACCTTGAGCCGATACTACAGTCCCACAAACACGCGTATGTAACTGACCGAAGTAGTAACAGTAGTAATTATGACCCAGTCGTGGTATCTGCAAGCTGTTCATTAATTGCTTGATTTACATTTGACCACAGACACCGGAAGAGCGGCCATAGAGGTCGAAGTGCCCTCCTTAACGGGTGCTAGAATAGCGACAGAACCCGTGGCGATGACAGTGCCAATGGGAAAGGGTCAGTTCCGAATGTAAAAGGCAAAAGCGGAAAAACCAGCTCAATACCGTGTCGAAGGAGGTATTTTCGCATCAAAGAAGCCTAAAAATGCAGCAAATTCTTTTATTACGCCTGGAGATGGCTTGGGATTCTACGCCTGAGTAATAATTTGGTTGATTCCTTCATTATTAGGAGGTCTAAAAGCGCTGAAGTATACCTTTACATTATTGAGTGCCAAAATTATGACGCCTACATTTTGGCGCGGTCATTTCAGCAGCGGTAATTTGACAAATTTATAGATGACCAAAAGAAAAAAGTACTTGTTAATTACTGCATTATAATGCACTGGAATGAGATTTAACCGGAAAATGCCCTTAGATTCTTTTAGTTCTAGAATTTGGGCTATGTTTTTTGAACGCGATTTAAATTGTTAGCCCGAAAGGGGTTTTTTATTCGTTTATTTGTTTATACAGGTCAGGAATTACACGAAAAAAGAAAGTTTTGCAATGTACTGGCGGTTTTATAACTTTTGCATTCTATTTCTATGCATTATAGAATGCGTAACCTACTGGATTACCACTTATTTGTAGAACAAATTTGTTGTTTGAATGTGTGCAGTTGGGACGCAAGACAAATCATGTGCTGGGTCGCATACTTTGCCGTCGACTGTTGGGTTTCGGCGCGGGGTTCGTCTTTTCCCCAAGCGATGGGTATTCAATCTGTGGGTTTCTGTTTTCCTGCACGAGGTCTGGCAGTCCACTTCAAGACCTTATCTTCCCCTCCTGTTTTGATACAGGTTGGTCTTTCTATTTCAATCAGGGGTGTTGTACATGAACGCTTTTGCATTTTGCTATTGCTCTGATCGTTGTACACATCTAAAATGTAGTTGTCACGTATTGCGGTTTTAGTCTGCAACATGCTCACAAACTATTGCCAGGGTTCCCTGGGTTTTTATAACACAACAGAAATGCATATTATACGGGGTGCGATGGAAAGACGTAGTTAGGACGCTAACACATGTGATCCTACTTTTTTTCATTTTAGGCATGCCTCTAGTCGGCGCCTTTGGAAAACAGCGAATTATAACTCGCCACGAGCATGCAATGCTTTGATGCTCCGTCTTAGTACCCGTGAGATTACCTTGTCGCCTAGGTAGGAAAATTGTGATTCGCTAATTGGTGTCATGCGTTGTTGTGATGGCTGTGGTTAACAAGTCGGGATGCGCCTTTGAAGCTGCCCCTGCAGTTGCTCTCTTGTTCGGCGGATGGGTATGTCTCCGTTTTGCTTTTCCTGGTTTGCTGGCCGACTTGAAGATTGAGGGGTAGAGAGATGTGGGTAGCTCGTCTCCTTGCAATCGCTCTCTACTGTTTGTCCATCGGCCAGAAATAAATCGTGCCTTTTTCTTTCCCTGCTTTGCAATCGAAGCAGTGGTATACGCAGGGGCCACAGTCTTTTAAAATAGCCTCTTTTTACCTGTACCTTACCCTTAGTCTGTAAGAAGACTAAGGACGCTTGTGCTTCTCTGTATTCCTGATTAATGAGCAGTGGTTACTGGGCGGTCGCGTAGTTCATAATGCTGGTTTTCATGAATTCAATGGGGCAATACTACGTAAACGCAGGTGAAATTTGGTGTGTAGGGTAAAGATTAAATTTATTGGTGGAGTGATATACAATTAGGGACAGTTTGACGTAGTAATTTTTTCATGTATTTATATGTCAGGCTAAACTTTCAATGCAGTAAATACCGATGACAAATGTGGGATTCCACTCATAGTACATGAGTAAGACGTGGTCGATAGCTCTTTCATTGGCCCCCGTTTGTTTTACTTTACTGCAACTTCCACAGTGGTTGAAGGTGATTAGTCCTAGTTTGTTTTTGCTGCTCTTAGCTGAGCAGTTTAGGTGGACAATTTTCTGCTCGTTTTCACTTTTACTGTTAGGCTGCCGTTGGCGCCTAGCTTCAGTCAGAATTAATGCAACCTCACTTGATTGTCACTAGTACTCTCGGATTCACCTTTTTTTTCACCACTGGAGAAATTAATTCCACGTCCTAAATGGTAAAATCGAATATGTGAGGAAACCTCATGATGGAATATAGTTGAATACCAACGTTCAAGCTGGTGGATAATGGGTTCTCCTATCAGAAAATCTTTCAGATTCGTTATACCGCTTCAGCGAAAAAAGGTCAGAGATAGTAAGGTTCCTTGTAGGCTTATTTACCTTGTTTTTTGGGTATTTTCGCAAAATAGTACTTACTCTATAGTATAGAAAAATATTTTTTGTCTTGCATTTTAGCGACGAAAATGACGGCGGACCTTTGCGGATATTTCAGACAATGTGATGCCTGTGTCAATGTTTTCACCCAAATATAGACTTGTTCCCTCAGCCATTGTCGTGATATGTGGCTTTGGCATCTGAATGTCGATAACGTCGAGTAAAATTAATAAATTGAGAAAGGTTTCTCAATTTGCGTAATTTTAGCATCCCAGCTAGACTAAAATAGGGATGGGAATTTGTGGGAATTGATCAAGGGGTGAGTGGTCCCTGTCATTGCCAGACTGTAGTGATTCGGTCTTTTGTCTATGTTGAATCGCACCAGCTCTTCAGTCACCATGGTTTGTGTTTTCGTCTGGGGGCGTAACGCTGCAAAGCACCAAGGGATTTTGAAATACGTATCCGTTATGGTATTTTTAGAGTAATTCGGATATCTACCTCACTGGATTCTTTGAGAACGGAGCTACTTTACCCGTATTCATCGGAGGCACACTGGGGGTCCACGCGCTTAAAATCTCGCCTTTAGGCACTGTTGACCCTCACGTAGCGTCCTTCCCATTGCTCAAGCGCTAAACGTTTGACCGATACTGTTTATAGGATGTTAACTAACTCCTGGTCAAGGTGGGGTAACCAGGGAAAGTTTGTTAAAATCTCGATTGATACGATATGAAAGTTATTTCATCAACTGACTGTGCTTGTGTCCAAATAAGTGAGGTCTCGTGCATTACTTTATATAAACACTGGAGGCGTTTGAGTCGAAGCCGGGCTTGGTTTTACGAAGGGTGTCCTCTTGTGCTCCATTGCCTTGTTCATGTTCATGACCGTGTTCATGGGCATATGAGACGATTCTTGGTGGAAGTGGTGCAGTTTTGCATTAAGCCCTCCGTTGAAGGTGGAGGGGATGTGCTCAAAAATAGGCCAAACAAGAATACGCCAACAAACTTGCTTGCGAAGGTTCCCTCATTACAAAGGATATGTGTGGAGAGAACCCAAGACGCGCCCCCTTTCTACTTTCCACCTCCAGCGAAAGTTAAGCTTCCGTTCACCGGAGTAGAGGTTTTCTAGAATGGGTTCTAAAGAGGGCAAGGGAAAGGTCGATGAGGCATTTTGTCTGCAATTTTTCCCTTTGGAAGGTTTCGATAATGCCTTGATTGCCTTTGTTTTTTCCCCTTATCCAGCGTCTTCGGATTTCTCCGATTACTTCGATGTAGTTCCTCTGTAGGCGTCTTTCGTCAAGATAACCGAGATTTATGACGCACACTTGTTTACCGGTTCGTCGCATATTTTCATGTGGAATGGGGAGAGGGGATGTGAAGAAGCGGTTATTCGTCGTGTTTTCCTTCTTTGACGTGGATATTGACGCCACCTTTTGACAGTTCGCCAGTGCCAACCGCATGCTTTCAGCACCGAAGCTGAACCATTCGCTAGTCGTGGGATACCCCTTCCTTCAAAGAATAAGCGAAGGTCTCATCGGGTGGAAGAAAAATTGGGAATAGACTCTTTTTAATTTTGATTTTATGTGGCATCTTCGTGAACTATCTGGGGTAAAGGTCACAGATTTTGCAGCCAATTATGAGGCAACGAAAAGAGGTCACTTTTTAGAGATTGAGAAGTCATCCAACTGCGAGTCCACTTCACTACTTCACAGGTCAGGAGGTCAGCTCAACCCGACCAAATCACACCTTACAATGTCTACATTTAATTTAACCAATATGTCTCTTTTCGATAGACTACCACGCAATCCTCAAGCTGAAGTTTTCAAATTCTTCAATGGTGCCGATCTGCTAACTATATGCGAGGTCTATCCCAGTTTGAGTTGAATCCTCGACACCGCAGACATTAGAAGTAGTTTATTCACATATTTTGACCATTTGGAATGGATGAGTTGGGATACTTATGATGTAAAGTAAAGTCCTTCAACTTTGTGAAAACGAGATGATATTCTTCGCCAATTATCCGGAGCAAAACCCTCCCAAAAGGAAAAGTATTGTCAACTTTCTATTCTTAAACTGTTTCTTTCACTATGCTCCCATTACAAAGCGCTTGTTTGACACGTTCTTTGGAGCTACCGACGAGAATGGGCGGATTATCTTTCGATGCCTGATTGATCGTTCTGATTTCAAAAGACTATGTGGTTCCCTGTCTTCCTATGCCATCATTATTGGCATTTATATGGCAAAGATTTGGAATGAGTTGTTCGAAGACGAAATTTTCAAATATACCATGGTATAATAATACGTTGTGAATTCCAAGCCGAGAAGTCCTTTTTGGTTATATGCACGAAGGGAATTAGGCTGCATCCAAAAGGCCATGGCTCATATCGTGGCATTTCAACCGCCCTTTTTTATCCTTCTGGACGCCAACTCGATGCCGGCAATGCCATCGACCGACTTTATTATTCGGAGTTGCCTCTGGAACACCTTCTACCATCTTTCAGTGCCCATTTTCCGAAATTTTTCCGATAGCGATGTGACCAGAAGAAATTCCAGGCTATGGCGTCTTCGTCATGAAAGTAAAAAATATGTTAACCTATTGGATATCTTTCGTTGGGCTGTAGCATTTGTCGCCTCTGAAAACAACTGTTTGAAGCTCCTTCTCTAAACTGCACAATCCGTCCATGCTATGGTTTCACCTGCCACTTAAATGTGTACTTTTGCTTTTAAAATAAATGTTTTTTGGCCATTTGTCCTAATTTTATCATTGTTATAACATTTTTAAGTTGGGATTGGTTGGGTAGAGCGTTTAGCTAATTAAACAGAAGACTTTGTCATTCTCCAAGTCCACGATTGCAATCCACCCCACGAGCATGGGGTGGACGGTGAACAAGTGGATGGTTTGAGGATAACCCATAATGCATCAACTCGCTTAAACAGCGTTGAAATACAAAAGCCATTTCTTATCTCAAGTCAGTAGATTAGCAAACAATCCTTCCTTGCAATTAACGTAGCCTTTGGTCTGCCATCCGTCGTTAAGGCATGTGGAATCGCACTTGCATAGTAGCTTCTATGACTGCTTAGTTTCAGTGGAATCTTGTAAACTTTTAGAGTTAATATTGTTTAATCACATTCCACCCCTCAAGTCTGATAAATAAGACAGCATTGTCTTCACTGTTAATGTCAGGATTCCGCGATTATCGATGCTGCTTGGCCTGTTGATGGCATCGGAGACCACCTGACGCCACTGCAGTTCCAGCAATCGGTTTTCCAAGCCCTCTTCTTGCCGCTATGCCTCCTCAATACTGGAATGTGGTGCATCTTGTCAAATAGAGAAAAAATGCTTCAGCGTAGTCGTAAGTTGTTTAAACAAACTGTTTGACGTGATTCAAGGTTAAATTTTAAAAGTAAGTCTAGTGATTTGACACTGTATGACTGCGTGTTAAACTACGCCGATACTTGAGTCTCCACGGGCTGTACGTCTCCTCTGTGAAGAGACCCTCGGACCGTGCCTCCGACCGAGTGACCGTCCTAAAAACCCCCAAAGTGAGACTTTCAAATGCCTTAGCGTAGCTTGTTTCTTAAAAACTTGTAACCATTCTGTAACATCCATGGCATGTAACGCCGATGGCCCGATTTAAGCTTTCTCGCGAAAAGGAGAAGACAAATTTATAAACATCTTAACGATGGTGATCTGCTGAATATCTCCGAATCACTCCTCGCCCACTTCACCGACGCTGCCCTAAAATGTGAAAACCAGAATGAGTGAGTTGTTGCAACTCCGTAATGATGGTCTTCTACCGCGCTTGCCAAGGAATCCAAACCAGGTATCGCATTACCTCCTCAAGCAGAATCACAGCTACTTTTTAATAATTTATAGTGTAATAATGGACTCTAACATTTTTGGATTTTTTCTTAGAGCATTCTTTGACTCAATTGATCGAAGGTGAGGCAGAATACTCCAATCACAAATAAGCGAATTCAAATATGCGCAAGAAGATGCTCTGGCATCGTTGCTTAGGTCAGTTAACAAGTGAGGTTCACTGCTCGGTTGCAACCAAACGCTCATTTTCCATCTTTTTTAATTGCACCACGCTTAAGTCAGCAAATGATGTGCATTCACTTCCGTCCGTCTGCCTGTCTCAAGTGTCAGGACAACTAGACTGCAGCACCACCCAAATACACGTTTCCTGCCTCATGCGTTGCCAGTTATCAAAATGTATATCTACTTCGTTAACGAAAGCACTTACAGCAAATGAAAGTAAAGAACCTCAGGGACCTTTTAATCCACTGAGCTATACCTCTCAACATTCTTTTTACAAAAAGTTGTCTTTTTAGAAATCGCCTTTTCACCTTCTTTGCCCTCTTTTCTCTCCATCTCTCCCCCACACCCACCTTTTCATCCATCCAATCTCACTAGCCTGCTAATGGGCCTTCACCTCCCATTGCAGCACTGCCAGTGGTGGCCGTGTTCGCGGTGTAGCGGCTTGACAGTGGCGCTTAGTGCGGTCCCACGTCTTCCATAGTAATAATGGCAGTAATCACCGAATAGTTATTAAAATGTATGCCAACAGATGAGACTGTTCCTGTATTGCATAATAACGACTTGACTAGTCGTCCTGATGAGTGGATTTCGTCCGACCTATCCTCGCACAAATGGGTATCAACAAAACTGTGCGTTATCCAGTGAGAACATTTCGGTAATCACTTTGTTCCTTCTTTGCCATCGCCATCACCGCCTTAGCAATTACGACTAAGAGTTTTGTCGAACGACTAATCGTGGCACTGATGATGGCGGTGGTGAGGTGGTTTACTTCACTTAGGGTGATGGAATGAGGTGAATGGACGCTTATTCTACCAAAGCGAGGACAGATTTTAATCAAGGGAGTCCATTTTGTCTTCTCCACCAGTTTAAATCAAATTCACTCAAACAGACTACATCGGAGCCTGCAACTCACCTTCCCTTGACACCACGCAAATGTCCCGAGTTGAGACATTTACCAAAGACCTACAGATTAAGATTCTTGAATACCTCAATAATCCTGATCTTGTAATTTTCTCGACGCATTTCCCAAAACATGTGGGACTCCACAGCTCCCCTATACCACCTGCGGCCTGCATAATTATGTGGACCAAATGAAGTGGCTGGATGTGACTATGTGTCAAATGCTTCCTTCTATACTTGCAGAGGCATCCAGTACAGCCCTCTATGATGCCATTCGATATTACCAACGACTTACATAGGCGAGTACTCTTATTGAGGCAACGAATTCACCAATACTTCCGGTGTCATAAACGCTTTTATGTTTCCCATTTGTTTTGTCAACGCTCGGCTCCATCTACCCCTGCGAAGTTGCTATAAATATTTTCACGACAGAAGGATGGAATGTAGATTATCCCATCCAGTTTGTCTATGACTACTATTGTGTGATGTGCAAAATAATCCTCAAGACTCTACGGTAGATGCGATATAACACTATTGACCTCCCGAATGATTGCCCCCCGTTACTGTTTATACCCGATGCCAATGTGGCGACAATTAACAGAGGTCAATTCAATGGTCTCGCATGCAATGTCCACATTTTAGCCGATGATCGCCTTTAAATTTCACGAACCACCACACCGTTTAATCCGTGGAAGTTGTGACGTCCTAATCGCCAGCTACGGATTTACACCAACTTGATGGATGTCTGTCAGTGTTGGTGATACCCATTTGATTAGCCAAAACTGTAAAACAGTTTGGAGGTGCCGAGGCACCGCCTTTTCACTGGTCAAAATAGAAAATATCCATATTTTACACCTGTCATTCTGTCCTGTCCATCCACCATCTTTTAAAAGGCCGCCATGTGCCAACTCATTCTTCATCGCAAGTAGACGAAACTTGTAAGCAATCGTATCTTTCGTCTGGATCAGAGTAGGTTATGCGGAATGGGTAGAGAGGAACGATTTATCTATGCGATGGAAGGTAGACGCCTTCTCCAGAATTACTCCCTCACCTGTCCACAAGTGTAGAACGTGGAAATAGCAAATGGCATGCAAAGACCATCAAATGGACGCATCAGCGAGGCTTTAAAATGGGATGCATGAGAGGGATGTATGAAAAAGGGAGAGAGAGAAGGTTATATGAGGGGTTAAGAGGCGAGTTGTAAAAAGGCAAAACCGCTTAATAAGATTTTGGGAGGTATAGCTCAGTGGACTGAAAGGTCTCTGCGATTCTTTACTCTCCTCCAATGTAAGTGCTTTCATTAACGATGCAGTTACACACTTTGACAACTAACAACAAATGTTTTAGGAAACGTGAATTAGGGAGGCACGATGGCCTGGGAGGCATAGTACTTGAGACGGACAGAAGTAAATGCTTATAACTTACCGACCTTAGGATAGAGGAGAGAGACGAGAGGGAGGGAGTGGCCACGGTTTGTCTACATCTTCATGCTTGGCATTTGCCTGACAATACTTTACCATGTCATGATTGCACAACAGTTTCGCGTCATTTAATGGAGGGACTAAACTTTCCAAGTTTTTATCCCAGCAGTAGTTGTCGAATTCTCAGGAAAACTGGAATGGTGAATTGAAATGCTGTTGGTTTTTATGGTAACTGGGCTGAAAACTTAGAAAGTCACGTCCCTCCATTGAATGAAATGAATTTGTTGCACGTGGGCTTGAGTCCTGTAGAGCTCCCAACCAGATTTGCCAGTGGGCGAGATCTTCAGTACAAATGCCTTTATTTGCCACTGGATGTGAGTAGGCAAGGCGGTACGACGCGGACGTACATGACAGCTGGCCGATTGGTGGACAACGTCAGATACCTCGCGGCCAATCAGGTGGGAGTAATTGGAGAGCGCAACATTCAGAAGTGTTCCGGAATTAGCCATGAAATCGAGACATAAATGTTTTTCGTGGTTGGAGACATCTTCAGTGGCAAACACTAACACAACAACCGGTCACTCATAAGGTGATAGCAAGTGGGTCCTCACCAATACGTCGAAACACTTCATGGACTTTTAACCGTCCTCATTCAAACCACAACGAGTGAAAGCTTATTTCCATGCTTGAGTAGTACTGCAATTTTAACTTAACCTCCTTTTTTGTACATGGGACCAGCTTAACACAAAGACACCACAATTTACTTACCATTATTGCCAGATTCGTAAGACTACTATGAAGCATTGAATCGGCAAATAAGTGGAGAGTCACGTTTGGTCAGAGATTGACATCTATAGCCCCCTCAAAATTAAGCCGTCTTACTGGAGATAGCTTTAACCTTTTGTGAAAGAAACTCCCCATAACTGACAACATACGCCTGTACAAGCTAAAGTTGGACGAAGCAATTTGGCCCAAAATAAAACAGGCCAAGGCAATACTCTGGGGACGATTTCTATCTTACAACGTGCATTTGTCAAGCGCCTTCCAACTTGCTCCAATAATTCTGCTGCTTTGCGATCCAGAGATATCCTCATTTATATTTTTGATAAAGCCTTCAAAAAGCCCTTGGTAGAACGATGAAGTTTGAATGATTTCCAAGGTTTAATCTTAAAATGAGGGGAAATTTTGTATCACAGGTAAAAAAGAAGAGACAGGCAGAGACAGAGATCGACAAACACACAGGCACGGTCAACATGGACATAATTGTCTTCCGTCAGTGAGTCCAGGTGACAGGCGGTGCCACTAGCTTTGTCGGACTCTGCACTTTGGTATTGGCAGTCCAAATGGCATTGGTAGCGATGACACCCACCGATTGAAAGTGGCAGTGTCCAGAACATGGATGATACTAGCAAGGCCATTGAGGTTACTGCTCTTGGCCCTTGCCGTCGGCTCCGCGTATGCACCCAAGAAAAGCAACATCTACAGAGGAGGTGCGGTGACGTTGCAGATGAAGTGATCTACTTCGTATGGTTTGATGTCACAATTACTACGACGTATGACAGGATCCATCACGTTTGACACAGTCATAAACAAGGATCGAGATGATTTTATGGAGCAGACTGGGACTCCTCTGTATCATCCACCTGATCGTACTCATGTTTTTAGAAATGCTGTAAGAGGATAGTAAAATAGATCACTCCTCGGGGCCTTTAACTCTGTTTCCGCCAGTAGTGATAAAGGTAGAAATGATGGACAGATGGACAGGTTACATTCTGATAATATTGATGGAAATGGCATTCAGCAACATCTTCAGTGTTTGTCACTGTCATAGATACATTTTAGACTGTTATGAAACCTTCCTTGATGACGCATTTATGGCGAACCATGGGCTTTTCCCGTCATATTGCTATTTTTTTAGCATTTAATATATTGTGGTCACGTAGTACAAAGCAGTTTACTCTATTTGGGTAACGAAGTGTTGGAGAGTAAAAATTGTGTAATCAGTGATAAATTAACCCAACAGAACCAGATATAGCCAAAAAACAGAAGCGTACTAAACCGCCGACGTTCTGCAGAGGATCTCCTCCATTCATTCACCACCCGGTCTCATTGTACAGCTAACACTGCCTTCCTCGCACATTAGAGTATCTCCAGCGTACAGGGTAACGGCTGTAGTACTCTTCTTATCAAAAATTTTAATGAGCATGCAAAACACCCGTCTACTTTAGCATATAATGAAGCAAATTTGAACGTCTAATGGTGGTGTCGCATTTTCAGCAGAATTGCAGGAAAGATAAATTCTATGCAGTTCTTTTGGATTTACTGAAATCTATTAAGTAGTACTTGATTGCAGTAACCAATATTTGCATGCGCAAGGCATTAGCTTCTTACTGAGGCCTACTGAGGCAGGTAGTTGCATAGCTTCAAAATATAAATATATATATTTATATATATATATTTATATATATATAAATATATATATTTTCTGACGGCCTTGACAAGCTTTTCGAGAAAAAATAATTCGGCAACCCCTAGGAGGCCGTAAGGAAGAACATTGATGCCCAAATGACCCAGAAAACGAACTCCGAATTCAAAAGTAGTGCTTTCGAGATACATAGACAAGACAGGCAGACAGACAGAAATACAGTTCCCGCAATTTTTTTCAATAAATATGTTGGGGAATAAAACACTACTGGGTGCCATGCGATGTCGAGGGTGTGTCAGACTGGGCTTTAAAGCGTCGCCTTTCCCAAACAGCGTCGGCACCGGTGATATCCGCTATAGCCCACTGAAGGGCCCTCAACACGTTGGTGAACTTCCCTTCTCGTTGATAAATACGCCACACACACCACTGACTTAAGTTGAGTGCAGCCAATGAACTATTTGGCGTTAGACTAGTGTCGATTCTTCGACCGAGGCGACTGAGACGATCATATTGATCATTGTCCTCGGCTGCCTCTGGTGTTGCCGTTGCCTCCATACTGGCGGCTAGAACAAGCATCAGTGGTTCACGGTATGTTGTGACACTGGCAGTCATACTGGCAATGTCGTCTATTTCACTAAGGTATTTATACTTGTCCGATTCAAACTGTATCACACTTAGCACGCAGTCGTAAGCGCTGAACAAGCTGTCAAAAAGTAGACAGAATTGCCGTTTGTAATAATCATCGAAGGTGTAAATATGGATTAAAATGGGGTATGAAGAAATGTTGCCAGTAACTTTCCAAAAGCTGTCGTTTTTTCCTTCAGGCTTTAAAAGAGGGCTTCCATTCTCATCGGTAAGGCTCAAAATGGTATCAAACAAATGGTCAAGAAGAGGTCGATCAATCCTTCTACTACGAAACACCAAAAATTTGATGACTCTACTGCTCTGGCGAGGATTCGCATTCAAGCGGTCCCTGCGTTTGATCTCGCGAATGTGGTGCAGAATGGCAGTTTTGAGTGCTGGCTGTTCTGCCTTGTCGAGAGTGGGACGAAGCGTATGAAAAAGCACTGTGTCTAGCCACTGCGTTCGACTCAAATATTCACGCATCTGGCGGGAGAATATGGTGTAGTTAAGCATTGATTCCATCCTAGGATATGCAATACAAACATTTATGAGGTCGGTAATGCTGAGGTATCGACAAATTTCCTTTAGTATTATCTCAGGAAGCCTCTGGAGTAAATTCATTTCGGTTAAATCTGAAAGTCGGTGACTGGCGATTTGTGAGAAGTGGGAAAAGACATCACTGCCCTAGTTCTGCTCACTTTTGAGCATCAATTCCTCCGTCTTCTTCCATTGGCTGTCTAATCAACAATTATTGGGTTAAAAAAATGAAAAATTATTGTAGACATTTTGTTTATTTAGGTAAAATGGTAATTTCCTGCTGCTGAAATGCCTCAAATATTTCTTGTCTTAAGTAGCTGACCCGAAAATTGAAATGGCAACATTTTTCTCCTCCGAGATGTTTATTTCAAACAAGTGCCCCCATTCCTGCCTTCTGCTTTATCTCGATGAGGCATTTGCTTATACCTCTTTGAAAGCAATTTGTGTGAACGGCAAGCACCTCTCTGCCGACGTAGAAGTGGGTCTTGCTTCAATTCTACGCGTCTCCTTCTACTACCGCCACCTGAAGGTTTGTTTGTGAAAAATGAGATTAAAAAGGGGATGTTTTTTCCGTCTCTTTTCCCTAAGTTTTTCCCAACGTCCTTAAGGCTGTTAAGGTGATGCGGAATTTAGCCTTAACCGGGAGAATGCATGAATGACTAATCCTTCATAAGTAGCATAATGAAGATCCACGTGTCGAGTTGCTCTCTTTTGCTGAGATGACAGTCGTCTTGCCTGGTTCACATTGGATTTTACATCTCATATTTCTAATCCGAAAAAATGCCCATACTGAAGTCCATTTAAATACCGTTTGCATATAAACTTACTACAAATGCTTCTTGATATTTTGTATTTGAGCCACCCGTCCCTTTCAAAAGATGTACTTGATAGCTGAGGAATAGTTATTTTCTCTCGAAGCTAAAACTCCAACCCCAGTCACCTCCTTTTCCATCACACGTGTGGTTGTCAAACGCCGAGAGAGAGAGAGAAGTAAAAATCAACAATTGGAGAAAGATCATCAGGCGAGACAGCATCACTTCCTCTCCCTCTCGAGCCTAATGCATAAAATAGCATCCCTCGACGGTGGGTTTCGCAGTGCAGCGTAAAAATTACCAATCCCTTTGTCTACCTCTGAGTATTTCTAGTTTTGGAGGAAGATATTGACTCGATCTGTGAGAATTTTTCATCACGAAAGGGTTTCATAAATAATCACCTTTAAGGCTCATCGACTAGGAAAAGTGGGAGTTGAAAAACCATCAGTGGTAGTCTGAATGATTATGCTCCTTCCAATCATAAGGAATTTGGCGAATTTGCTGTAACGGACGGTTTCATCTCGAGAATGGGTTATTGCGGTGGTGGTAGTATGACATAATTTCTCTGAGGACCGAGTTTCATGCCTCTCTAAGTGTAGGAGAGAGGCTTAGACAGAGTCCCATCCACAAAATCAGGCAGATGGTTCGTGAAAGTGTTAACGTCATGCATCTAATTTCCCATTTGGAAATCCTCCTTTTTACAAAAAGGCGTAGAAAATTGGGACACCAATGCCCTGTTCCAGGGAGTAACAATTCTATTCACCGTTAGAAAAAAGCCAAGTTTACTCACTATTTTATAATACCTCTATCTTCTTACCTACGCAAATACTCCAGTCTCTAAAGTTTGTACTTTTATTCGGTAGTCTGGCGTTTGGGCCTTGCAATTGTTCACCTAGTCCTTTCTACGGTATAGGGATGTGTTCCACCATATTGTTTTGGCTTGTTCAGAATTCAGCGATGACTAGAGATGGTACAATTTTCTACCTCCGAATGGTGACTCAAAAGACATGCTGATGAACTTCCTCAACATTGGTGGGTTTCATAACAAAACATTTACAATTTCACTGATCGCCTACGTTGATAGTATTCCACTACCCAGCAATTGGTGATAAACTCAATAAGAAAATGATGCTATAATTTCATTTCTTCTCTCTTCTACCTCTGATTATAGATGGTCGGAACGAAAAAAGTAACTAAAAGAAGGCATCTTAAAAATTATCAGTTTAATGGAAAAAAAATTGAAATCAGTGAAGTCCGCTCGGTTACGTAATAAATGCAATCTGATCGTTTGTCACCTAAAAAGGTGTACTTAAAGGAGTGCACATCATAGAACTAAGTATTAACACTCATCGTTCCTATTAGGAGTAGCATGACACTTAAGCATAACAAGTTGGATGCTTAACTCTCGGTTTTGGTAAAGGGGTCATGTTGGGTCTGCGCCATTTTGCCCACACCGGATGGGGTGACCTTCGCGCCATTTTAATGTAGTACGATAGTGGTTTATCCCTCGGTTCTGGTGAGGCGCCAATTTCGTACTTTGAATTAGCCCCGTTGTACCTCGCCGGGTGGGCTGGCCTTTTGGGCCATGCCAATAGCCCAGACACCTTCTCCGTGCTGAATATATATATTCTGCCCGGGTATTTTGTCTTCTTTCGCCTTCAGGGAGTCTCGGGACGCTACATTAATGGCCCTCAGCCTTACCGTATATAGAATATATTTACGTGTAATCAAATGTTTTATGTACCTTTTGGGTGAGAAGCGTTCATAAAACACAAATTTAGTAGCGAAAGATCTTCGGATTTCCTTTATGCTGATCAGGGTTCGGGACATTTATTCCCCTGACCTGTAGTCATCTCATCTATGATTACTAACAAACTTGTCCTTGCTAAATCCGTCCACTTGCTAAATGGGTTTGAGGGTTGGACAGAAAGAGCTAAGCAAAAAAACAGCTATATATAGGCATGGCGAAAAGCAGCACTCTTCGTCAGCATTAAGGATCAAACTTTCGAGGAGGTATGAAAAAGTCGACTTGCTTTATCAAATTTTAATAAATTATCCTAATTTCTGATACCGTCAACTTGAATGTCATCTACATCCCTTTACTTGCCTGCTTATCTGAGTAGGTGTTGCCCCTAATTTTCCAGCAAAAACCTGTGGAAACACCGGAACTGACTCTAGCGTACCATAACATGACAAAACTATTTAAAAATTCGTTTCATTTAAGCTATTTTGGAGTTTTATTAAACCACATTGGTTTCAAACGCATGCTCAGCCCCAACTTTGCCCATAAAATCCTAATTGTCTACAAATTTCAAAATTTGAAACGTGCTATTCAATTAATGAATGCTCTAAAATGAAGCACTTAGTTCTAGATCTAATATTAATGTTTAAATGCATAAAATGGGGGTCATTGCGGAGTACATACATGGGATTCCTTTTCGACACCTTCGTCGATTCCCGATTTCGGATGTATGGCTGTAATATTTTTTAAGAAGGTAATTCACTGTAGTTTTCTGAAACAAACGCTGTGATGTTGAGTATGTTAGTTTCAGCGCATTAGATTGAAAGCCCAAATTGAATATCTATGCAATCAGTAAAACATATTCAACGTTTTTTATTAAACAAATTTTTAATGCAAACTCTTTAGACCACTTTCCCCATTACGCCCCTTACATTTCATGTGATCAGCGGTTCAGATGAGGCCGCCTTTGTGTGTGAATAATGCCCTTAATTTTGGTGCCAATGTTACTGAGCAAGCTCAAAGATGTTTTCTGAGCAGGCGATTTCTTTCTTCTTTACATGATCGGACAACCTGTTGGCTTTTAATTTGTTTTTATAGGCTGAATGTTTTTAAATGGAGTTCTTTGGTTTTTAGAGTATCTAATTCTTTGGTCGTATTGCTGTGTATTTTCGATTAAGTTGTAAAATAATCGTTCTTTAAGTTAAATGAAGGTTGGACTAATGTAACTGGTCTATATTTACCTGTAAATATTCTTCTAAGATTACTGCAGTAGAAAATGCAACTTGAAATCGACTTGCCAAATCACTCGAACAACGCACGTCCAGCAATCACTCAAAGACCGCGACAGCATCCAAAAAGCAGGTCTAAAATCCGCTTTTGTGACACACCTAAAGCCACAGTGGCAAATTATCGCCTTTTTGGTGAAGAAGCCTTTAAAAATGCTCAGCGTGGGCATCAAGACCATCTCTGCCTCTTATCCTCCCACTTGCCCTCAGCCTCAGCTCACTCAGTTTCACGCCCTGAACAGCATCTACATCAGCCGAATCTACGACGCACTTCTATGACGGAGTAAGTTTTCTCACTTACTAGTTTAAAACAATAGCAGGTGGCGATATCTTTATTGCTGAGATTAATCGAGAACGTTAGGAAGTTAATTGACAAATCAGATTTGGTTTACAAGTCCCCTTTTTACCTATATACCCTCGTTAGATTTATCAAGTTATACTATCACCTGTAGCTCTCACGCTTTACGAACACTATCGCCCCTAGCAATGGTTTCAAGGCTTTGTTAGCAAACAATACAGAGTCGTTCGGAATGTTATATGAGTTTCTGTTAGTTAGCAGCACTACAAATCACTAAATGCCACAATCTTTCTGGAATGTGGAGCCATTAGTTGTTCAAGGTTTATTAACTTTCCTGTGGTAAAAATCGATTAGAATTCTTCAGCCAAACCTCTCCACATCTCCACAAGCTCCGCTATCCCACAGTCCTCGTCTGAGAGGCGAGGAAAGCCTGGAAATCTGGAGACGGAGCCATGGAACCTCCTCCCTACTCCGTCCTGGCCCCTCAGCAATCGTAGGTACCACCGATGACCTAAAATCTCGATGTCGAAATGAAGAGGTAGGCAGTGGGTATTTTACAAAAACAGTGATTTTTATAGTGTGACTCAACTAAACACGTTTTGTTACTCTGACATTAGTTCTTTCAGAACCTTTGGCGTGACCGATTTCGAAGGCAGTCATTTTTTGATCAAAACTCCACCTTCGTTCCCGTTAAACCCAATTTTTGCCGACCAAAAGTTACGGAAGAGGCCAAAGAAATTTTCATGAGGGGTCGGGGACTTACCAACGATGGAATGAACTTTATTCTCAACCAGGGTTGGTCAGAGTGAGTCATCAGTATGACCTTCCCCGGGTTCCCGTTAACCATTTAAAAAGTCATTGGTTTAAGCAAATTGAACTTTGGATTTGTCCTTAAAATTCGATGCTGCCTTTGCTGATTTAGCAACACTGGAATCAGAAGGGTTCAATCGGCTGTCGATGTGCAACGCTCCAAAGCTTTAACGCCCTATTCTAGCATTGACAATGTTGCCGATATTTGGAATTTCAAGGCACCACCAATAGAAGCAAAGCCTCAGGCCGTTGAACCGTACTTTCATGAGGGCTTACCATGGAAAAGCATGCGAGACAGTCGAGGAGTTGCGGCTGCCCTGGACCCTACAAAGAACTTTCTGTTTGACGGCCATAAAATACAACCCCGAGTTCAATTCGAGGTGGGTCATAGCGGTTGGTCTATAATGTATTAATGGCCGAAAAGAGCTAGTATGAGTAGTCTGTTAGTAGCCAAGCTTTTGAGCAAATTTATGAGTTTTTCCTTTGCGTATCCTTAGGGAGTAGAAATTGCACAGAAGAATCGAGGATCTGCTTTGTTTGGAGAATCCAATGAAAGCATGACCCATCCCGTTGCTAGAGTACGTCCAGAGGCGAAAGAAATTGCAAAAACTCACAAAGGTGACGATATCAAACTTCTTATTGCATCGTGAGTCCCCGATTACCAATTATTTGCGGCGAATCTACAGCTAACTTTACTTATCTGTTTATTTTGCTTCAGTCCGGGCAGATTAGAAGTCCCTCAACCGCCATTGCGGCGAAAACTTAGTCCAGATGGATACAGAATTGCACTTCTTTCGCGAGGTGGAAGCGCCAAGGCGTGCATTAATCCCAGTGGAATGAAACGATTTCCAATGAGGGCCATCAGGAACTAATTCGATTTTTTAAGCACAATACTTGCTACTTAAATATACAAAAGTAAGTTGTGCTTTTTTCGCGTTGTTATGCTTACGTGTACATGGGACAGGTTGCGCGAAGGTGTCATTTTCAGCTTTCTGCTTTCTGGACCCCTGATTTACTGGATTGCTCTCCTTTTCACCTAAATCCTCCTGTTTCATCTGTTTTCATGTCACTATTGGTACTATTTTTTGGAAGGTTGGCCTAGTTATTCAGGGCCAATATCCTCAGTTGTGACGTTTCCATTCTAATCTAATACATGACGTGTCAATCGGAAGACTGGAAGGCTCCCTTGAAAGGCGTTGCATACCGGTCTCACCTAGACGCATGACTCAAGAGCCTGAGTCAGTCATTAAAAATAGGCGGCGGGAGAAACAGATACTATCCGCCAAATCGACTGTTGAAAGAATGCAGAGTTGAGTTGGGAGACAGGGGGAGGACGAGGGTGGGGGGCGGAGGGGAGGGTTTGAGGCGTGGCGGTATTTCAAAAAAGTAGGCAGACCGGTTACTGCCGTGGAGATGGACAACGCCGATAGGCAGACGGTGCAAGACGCTGGAGAATGATGGAATGAACAGACAAGTAAACTTTAATGCGTAGATTTTTTTTTAATTTACTTTAGTAAATGGTCTCTATGACTCACAATGATAGGGTGACCTCTCTCCACCTATTGGAATCGATTTTTCGGAAGCACCAAGGTCATAGCTGCAGCCTTTGATAAATAACCAAAAAATACTTTTAGTCCTTGATGGAAAAAGTAAGAAGGTGATACTTGTGTATTCCTTTTAGCTCTATTCAACCGGCCGATATACTACTGGTAAACATTGCCCTCCATGTTTATTCTTGGGTCATTTAGGCTGTATGCAAATGTGTAGTTTTGAGCAAACAAATGACCTCCCCTACCCCTTTTAAAGGGATTCTATCGAGTTAGGTCTTGGGAAGTTAGGGAAGATATTGAGAAACAATCTTACCATTCAAAATAATAAAGGAACTTGTGACGATCTTATATTTTAACAAAGCTTATTTATTTCAAATTTTACTTACTTCATTCTCTCCATATTACACAAGAGCAGCGTTTCATGACAAGACAAATAATGAAAATCCTCCACGCATATCCACCAATCAAATCTAAGAAGGGAAGACAAAATCTTCATCGAAAATGGGTAGTAATTTGTTGTTGTTTGCGTTTTTAATAGAAAATACAACTCTCTGTACCCAGCCTCGACCACTCCCCATTTCGTCACGCTAGAAACCTCCCTTCACCCTGCTCTCTCCTCCCCTTTTGGCCTACTCCTCTTCCCCTTTTTATTGTTACAATTTGTGTGCGATCTGCTGCTGTTCGACAGTATCTTGTTGCTTCATTGGCGGTGATGGTTATGTTAATGGTGGTGTTAGCGAGGCGTTTCATATTATTGTCTTCTCCACCCAGCGCCCAACTTACAACGGTCGGCTATTGTTACATAGACACAAAGTAGGCTAAAGGTACCCTTTCATTCGCTCTTGTCCTCTCGCTTCTGCAGGTTTTAGTTCCTAGTGAATATACGACAAAGCAAAACGAGTTGCTTTCAGGTGTGAATTTTGAACTCGGTTTGACTGGTGCCTTGTTCTAGAGATCTGGGAAGACAATACCCTCCATTCACTAAGTGGGTTATCATGGCATTAAGCACGGACTGACCCAAGAAGCAGCAAAATACAATTTACTGTCTGCAACCTGAATAGTATCAACATAAGCTTGGGGAAAAGCCTTAGCTTGATGACTTTTTAAGATGGACAATAGTCGAACAGGCTACAAATCCCCACCACTAAAGTAGGAAGGATTGAGAGTGGTGGGGGAAGGAGGTGGATGAGCAAATGAGGTGAGTGAGTACATCGCCCAATTCCACGTCACGCTTGTATTGTCCTCCGCAGTTCGCTTGTTACAATTGTTTGACCAGTAGTTCTCCTCCTATCTTCGATTAGGCTGAAGAGAGGGAGAGAGCGGGGGAGGGGAAGGGGGTAACGATTGTTCCTCCTCTCATCCGACTAAGAGGTATCGTTACATTCGATTGTTATCGGCCTGCAAAATTAACAGACTGTGTACACATAATCGTAAGGCGTGAAATGAGGCTACGGTGAGTTACTGAATGAGTGAATGTATATGTAGGACTCGTCCTATTCACTGACCATACAACTTTTGAGTTGGAAGGGAAGGTGGGGAGGGTGGGAACCGGTGGCATGTGAAAGAATTTAGGCCTTGGTAAAATAACCTGCTCATCTGGCAAATCATGGATAAAAATTATGCAGTCGTTTAAGTCAACCCGACACTTCCCGATGAAATTATGTGACCATTAAGAAGGCACTTTCGGATGTGTGGATGTTTATGCCTTTTTCAATATTTCTGACTGCAAGCAAGTGTCAACTTGTCAAAACTTCACACACTGGTTTAGTGGCACTCTGTACCATTTTTCAGGTTATTATATAACCCTGATTTGCCAACTTTCAGTAAGCCACTTGAGGGGATTTGACTCCCAGACTTTGACCCTGAAACTCAGGCGTCACATTTGGCAGATTTGCCACAAGGTAATGAATCCCATGAATGGGCCTAGTGATTGTCATCACACGAAAAAAGTTCAAGGTAGTTTCAATGCGACAGAAGCCTCTCCACAGTTGAAATAGCGAAAT